CCCCCCCCCCGCAAGCCCTGTGGGTGGCCTGAAATGCTAACTGTAACTAGCCTCAGTGCAAGTCCTCTAATTTTGGACTGCAAGGTGAAGTGGAAGGCATTCTATACATACCCAGAAGTATCCATTGCCGGGTTAAGGCTAAAACTTGGCACCTGAAGTTTAAGAATGCACACAACATGGGTACAATGCCCTTCGCATGCAGCTGAGGGCAGAGTGACTGCCATGCTAGCCCACGGCTAACACCCTACGCCACTTTCTTCCTCGTTTCCAGTGACTTGGCTAGCCCAGTCGCTTGTCTTAGGCGTCTACATATTCTTTTTGCTAACAGGGGCTGATCAATTATGTTCAACTGCACCATGGCCAGGTTCTTTTGATTATCACAAACAAAGGCACTGGCAGAACTCATTTTTTTGTTCATTCTTCCAAGAATCCCGCCAAAAGCATGCCTGGAATACATGAATAAACGAGTTTAATGCTGAGACATCAGGGAATACTACTTGCCAACGAAGCCCCTCCATCTCCAAAGCAGTTTTCCCCTGGGAGTTGCAAGAGGCATAATTTGCTGAGAGCGCACAATGAGAGAGCTGGAAAGTGGTGGTGGTGGGGAGGGGGCCAGGGGAGGGGTCTTCATAACAACTCTGGAGGATGTACAGTCCTCCTTTCCGCCTCCTCCACAGCAATCCTTCCAGACACAGAGACCGCAATTCTTAGAAATCAGGTCTTTCAAAACTGCTCTTAAGGTGATTCATTGGATTCCATTGTTGAGATGCTCCTCACTGACAGAAAGAACTGTCTAAGTATACAACAGTAGTTCAGCAACAGAATAAAAGAAGCACTAAAACAATTTTTCTGGAGAGCAGAAATGCAAAGAAATGGTATCTGAGTTTCTATAGCCTGAAAGCACAAGCAGGATTTTGAAGCTCTTTACACAAAAAGGTTAATTTTTTTTAAATGTTTGGAGAAGAGTATCTATTGCCTGCGGTAGACAAGGAATAATCTGCTTAAGGATCTATCTGTGGGACTCCAGTCACAATTCAGCACAGGACAAGCCCTACCAGAATTAATAGAAGCGGCATAAATGCTCTACTGTGCTCTTAGCATTCAGCCTCCCGCACTGCTCGTGGCAACCATCTCTCCTTCAGGAGGGAAGGAAACCTGTAACTCCAACTCCCATCAATTTCAGCCAACATGCCTGGGAACGGTGAGAACTGTACTCCAACTGCTGGGAAGGCCACAGGCTTCTTACCCCTACCTTAAAGCTTTACTTGCACCAAAAGGCTCATGGAACCAACTCCAGTCTCACTGGCACTGCCTGGAAGTGAGTGAGAGGCCAGATAACGGTTGAGCATTTTATTAATCATAGAGAGGAAGGGGGAAAACAAGTGTACTCACAAAAACAATCCAACCATTTTAAAATGGCATGCCATTAACAGATAATGAGGGTGTGTGGTTGGAGCACACACAGAGTTTACTAGTCCAGTGCAAGGACCAGAGGCAGAAGCAGGGGACATAAAAACAGTGGGATCAGGAGATTACATGAAGCAAAGGTTGGGTGGAAGAAAGGAGGAAATGGGGTTGGTTCTTTTCCAATCACATGATAGAAAGTGGGAATTTCAATCAGTTAACATATCAATGCATAGTCCAAACATCCTCTGATTTGCCTTACATTCCTCCCTATAGATGCCCCTTTCACAAAGCACCCCTCCACCTGCTTGCATCGCTAAACTGACGAAGAATGAGTTTTTGGCTAAGACAACAGGAGTGCATAACTAGCTTGAGGCCAGAGGTATAGCCCAATGCTAGAGAGCAGCCCAGTGCCAGCTTATATATCCCCCATCCCAGGCTGGGTTTTCTTCAACACTTGCTCACTACAGGGGCCATACCACAGAGCTAGCTACTTCCAGCAGAGGGGGCTGCCATCTGGAAAGGGGGTGCATGAGACACTAAGAAACTTGAAAGGAAATAAGTCCTAACCAACAGTAGATTTTAATAAAGGGTTTAACTAGACCTCCTCATGTTCTCTGTGTGTGTGTGTGTGTGTGCGCGCGCGCGCGCGCGCGCGCGTGTGCGCGGGGGGGAGGGGGAGAAGGTGGGAGATGGAGAAGGCCTGCTCCATTCTATTTCAAGCAAAGGAGAAGTAAGTAGCCCCCAGGCTCCCAGCTTATTTTGTGTCTGATGCTCTCTCTGATCCACTGGTGTTAAACACTCAAGAGAACAGTAGGGTCTTTTTAATTCTTCAGATGGGAAAGCTGCAAGAGCTGTCAGGCTGCAAGCCGAGCCAAGATCATCAGGAGAAAGGCCAAATCGATACCTCATGCACTGCTACATACAGCACTGCAGGGACATTCCCATGCAAACTGTGGTGAATACATTATAAAGGACCCCCAAAGAGCATGACTCCTCTTTTCACCCCAAAGTGCTCACATTAACCACGCCAAGCACGGCGTTTAAGGGCCTGCTCTGCCTCTCTTGCATGCCTACATCAGGGCACAGAACTCGAGGCTGCCCCCTGGTGAAAGAACAAAACAAAAACAGAAACTCTAAGATGGGGAAGGGAGAGAATATCACAGCTGCCCAAGAAGGTCTGAAAAGATGGAACTAAGAGTAGGAGCTGGACTCCAAAGGGGGTTAGAATCAGCAACTGGCTGGTACGCCATGTGTATCTGGGGGTGGGGGTGGGGGTGGTGGACTGATCATACACATGCAGGGAAAAGGGGGAGGGAAGGTTCGGTCCCATGGCATCCAACTTGAAGGAGCAATAGAGCCAGGTCCCAGGGTTCAAGCCAGCGCCAACACTGTGAAGACACAAGAGAGAATGGGTTAAATTCAAAAAGGCTATTCGAAAAAGTTGCCTGCAATCCATTCCACAACTAGTTTCCACTTCTACTGGCTGGGTTACTCTGCTGCACAAACAATCCCTGCACAACTTTGCATGTTGTGAAGATCTATTGCTAGGGCTATCTTGGAAAAGTCAGGTTTCACACCTGTAACTGCCGTTCCTTGAGTGGTCGCTTGTGCCTTCACGCGTGGGCGTGCTGTGCCTGTGCAGTGCCACGTTCGGGAAGATTCCTGTAGCTACGGCTAGAATTTCTGGCCGCCCCTGCTTCCGTTGTATAAATAGGCAGGCCCTCACCATTTTCTCAGTCCAACTGGAGACCGATGTTTGCCCTTGTCTAGGTCTTGAACTGCCCTATTGATATGCAAATAGTAGGTAAAAGAAAGAACACCCACTGACACCGACCCGGGGACAGTGAGTGGGTTGTGTGAATGCAGATGACCACTCAAAGAGCAACAGTTTCAGGTATGCAACCTGACCTTTTTCATCGTGGTCTCTGTGCACTACACAGAGGGGCGGCTAGCAAGCATGCCATTAAGGGAGGTGGGAGGTATTGTTACAGAGGGATAGATGACAACACAGCCTGACCAAAGGAGCAGCCCTCTCCGGCTCTGACACTGAGCCGAGAGCGGTGGGCAAATGTGGACAGTGCTGACCATGTAGCTGCTTTGCCCAGTGCACCTAACAGAGCTTTGGAGGGGTACAGGAGCTTGTAGCTGGAGAGGGTTTAGGGAAGCCTTTGAATATCGGGGTGTAATACCTTCCCCTGCTCTTGGGACAGTAAGTTGGAATGGAGGGTAGATGTAGGAAGCTGCAGTTGGAGAGGTGGAGCAGGGATGGAAACCAGGGTTGTCTGGGCCACCGTGGCATTACTAGGATGGCTCAAGTGTGCTCCTTCCCTCGTTTTCGTAAGTCTTTGTGATGAGGGGAAAGGCAGAAAAAAGACGGTCCCTGTCCGTGGAATGAGGAAGGCCTCTCCCGTGGAGTTCTTGCCGATTCCAGCGCTGGATGGAGCAGTAGTTGCTGCATGTAGCGTTCTTCTCTGTGCAAAAGTTCTGCAGATGAGGTGCCCCATGCACCAAAGATCGTTCTTGCTTCGGGGCTCCATGCTGCGTTCCCATTCGTGGACGTGGAATCGAGTGTGACTGAGTACGTCTGCAGTGAAATTGTGTATCTCTGCCATATGGATGGCCACAAGAGTGATGTCGTGGCGGATACACCAGTCCCATATGAGTAGTGTCAGTCAAGGCACCCCGGCCGGTGAGGGATGCGTCAGTGGTGAGAGTCACTATCAGTTCTGAGGAAAGAAGCTGAAGTCTCTTTATCGGATTCGACTTACGCATTCAGCAGGCAAGGCTTGCCCTTATGTGGAGGGGCAGGGTTAGGGTTCTTTGTGGCAAGTTGTGCTCAGGCTGGAATGCCCTCGTGAACCAGAGCTGGGCGGACTCATTCGCAGCCTGGCATAATGCACCATAGTGATGGTCGATACCATGTGCCCTTGTAGCTGTTGAATTTTCTGAGCAGAGGATCTCAGGTTGGAGGCTGCATTCATGAACTTCTGCAGGGGTAGGTACACTTGAGCCAACATGGAATCAAGGACCACTCCAATGTACAGGATGGTCTCTGAAGAAGCAAGCGTGGTTTTTCCGATGTTGATGCACAGACCCAAGCGGTGAAGAGTTGTGTGGGTGGTTTTGATTGACCACAGTAAGTCCCGTTCAGTATTGGCTACTAGCGACCAGTCCTCTAAGTGGGGTCAAACGTGTATTCCTTGGAGTCGCGTATGTGCACAGACTTAGGCCACGCATTTAGGGAATACTCTCGGTGCCGTAGATATGCTCCACAGCAGCACCTCGAACTGATCTAGAACTATCGAAAGTGGGTGTAGTCAGGATGGATGCTGGTGTGGAAGTAAGTTTGATGGATGTGAACCAGTCCCCTTTTCGTAATGACGCATAGTGGCTTGCAGGGAGGCCATCTGGAACTTTGAGTGGGATGAAATGGTTTACTCCCTGCAGGTCCAAAATGGGTTGCTGACTGTTTTTTTCCGGAATGGTGAAAGAGTGTGACTAGAAACCATGCTCAGCTTTGGATCGGTTGCACCCTTTGCTAGTAAATTGCTGACATCCTCCATTAGGGTTGGAGGGGGAAGAGCGCAGACTGATCCGAGAAGAGGCAAGGTCTCACATTTGATTTTGCATCCATGGTATACTATGGAAAGTACCCACCAGTTGGATGTGGTGGATTCCCAGGTGGGAAGATGGTGACGTAGGCAGTCTGTAAATGGAGGTGATGCGTTGGTGAAGGGACTGGTGCGCTCTGCCCATCAGCGCGGTCTTCTATGGGCATCAAGTCGTTTCCTGCATGGCTGCGGTTGGGCACCATTCCGACGGCGTTGGCGGTTTTGTGGTGGCTGTCCATACTGAGGATGGCTGGGGTACAGACCTTGTCTGGAGTGGGAGGGCTGGTACCGGGAGGATCGGGCCCAGGGCCACTTAAGTGCCCTTGGCTGAAGTGGGTTGATGCCCATCCGCCGAGCTCTTGCCTTCTGGAGGGTGACCAGCCTTTTGTCTGTGCGGCTGTGAAAGAGCCCTTTTCCATCAAATGCCATACTCTCGATCCGGGAGCAGGTCTCTTGAGGGAGGTTAGCCGCCCGAAGCCACGCATGTCGTCGAATCGTGATCGCACCAACCAAGGCTCTCGAATCACAGTCGACGTGATGGCGTGCCGTTGAGATTTGTTGCTTTGAGAGCTGAATGCCTTCAGCAACGAAGGCTCTGGCGAGCTCTCGTTGTTGGTCTGGTAGAAAAGCTGCCAGAGCCTCCAGCTTCTGCCACAAGAATAACTGGTATCTCCCCATCATGGCTTCATAATTTGAGATGCGGAGGCCCAAGCCCATCGCAGTGTATATCCGTCGTGCCATCACGTCCAAGCGACGATCCTCTCTGTTGGCTGGTGCTGAGCGTTCCCTGTGTGGCCTTCCTTGTGCAAGTTTGGCAATGATGGAATTTGGGCGTGGATGGTACACAAGGTAAGGAACGTCTCTCTCCTGTACCCGGTACAGCCTTTCCAGTCGGCGGGAGGTGGGACGCGGCTGGTTGGGAAACTCCCAGGGTACTTTCATTGCCTTGGCCAGTGTTGGTATTAAGGGTATTGCTACCGCACACGAGTCCTCTGCCTGGATCAGGTCATAAATGCAGTCTTCACTAGGCTTCACAATTTGCTCAACCTGGATGCCCAAGGATGTGGCCATCCGGAGGACTTGCTCAGAGAAGTGTCCGAGGCTTTCCCCTGGGGATCCCAGGCCTTGTGAGATGATGTTGTCTGGGGATGTGGAGATGGGTTCTGTGGATTCTGCATCTGAGTTGTAATCCTTCGGGTTTGATGAGGCAGATCCGGATGACAGAGAAGGTGATCTTTGGACACCTGCAGGATGTTGTTCACTGGTTCGTTGAGGGGTCTGAGAAGTGCCCGGCTCGTGATCGGGTTGGTGGGGTGGACGTGGTGGGGACCAGCATTCCACAGATCTAGGTGGAGCTGGTGGCCACGAGTATTTGTGTGGGACTGCAGCACGTTCCCATGGATAACCCGGAAAGTAACATCCTTGGGAGGGGTATGCACCCCAGTACTGGTTCCCCCTATACGATTGTGCCATCGGTTCGAATTCACAGACAGAATGGTGAATGGATATTGGTGACAGGTTGGCCAAAGCAGAACCAAATGAATGAGGTGTCCAGGGGACCAGTTCAGTAATCACTTCATGGTGTGGTGCACAAAGCAATCTCGGAGGGGAGGTCGGAATGGCTGGAGACTGAACTGGTGAGTTGTGTATCTTCCCTTTGGTGAACAGTGTCCGTCCTGCCAGTTCAGGATGGACCCTGCTGTGGTCCAATTGAGCTGGATTGGCTGGGGGACGGGATGGAGAGGCTCGGGCTGGTAGCATGCCTGAGCTGGATAAGTCGGCTGGAGCGGCTGCATGGGTTGGTGAGCCGCGACGCTGGGAAGAGGCAGGAAAGCAATGTTCCGCTCTCTTCATATGTTTAGGATTACAAATCTTTTTAGCCTCTTTATGGCCCTCTGATTCGAGGTGCTTTCGTTTTTCTCTGTGCTTTTTAGGCATGTCTGAGGCAGCCGACGGCTTTGAAGCTGTTGACGTTGGCTTCGGCTTGCTTGGAGCATTGGCTGATGGACGCTTTCTTGTGGCCTCTGTTGAAGTTGAGGGTCCTTCACCCTCACTGCCGGCCATGTCTCTCACAGCGACGAGAGCACGCTCCCACATCTCCAGTATGAGGGGACCAGCCCTGTTCTTCCTGGCCAGTTGAGCAAAGGCCTGGCAGTGTTCCTCTCCTAAACAGAAGAGACACAAGGAGTGGCCGTCGGTTGACGGCATTTTGACTCCGCGCGCTTCCGAAACGCCAGTTTTAGTGCCATCGGGAGAGAAAAGGTGACAAGTAGAAAAGGTAAGGATTTCGAGGGGAGAAGCAATAGAAGGGTTTTTAATTTTATTTTTGTGAGGTGATGAGGAGGGGGGGTTGTGGAAATGGGAAATAAGTGAACATGGAAGAGTGAAGGGATTTCAGAGAGCAAAAAAGAATAAGAATTAGAGTTGGAGGTAACGAGTGCAGGGTAAAAGGCTAGAGATCCCGAGCTAGAGAGCTAGAGATCTAATAAGAGCTAGAGATCCCGAGGCACTGCAAATGGCAGTCGAAAGCAAACTGAGAAAATGGCGGGAGCCCATCTATTTAAAGAAGGGGAAAAGAGGGCAGGGCTTCCGCCAAAAACTCTAGGCTTAGCTAGAGGAATCTTCCTGAATGTGGCACTACACAGGCACAGCACACCCACGTGTGTGATGCCCAGAGACCACATTGAAGAACGGGGGTTGAGAGCTAAAAGGAGCAAGCAAGAGATCTAGTGCACTCTCCCAGGCTTGTTGGATGATGCGCACTGTGTGGACAAACCATGAGAGGTCAGCCAGAAATGTCTGCACCATCTCAACTGGAAGCATCTTCCAGGAAGTGTGCGTTCAAGCAAGGCAAGATTCATGAAGGCCAGGATAGTCAAGTGATCTGCTTGTACTTTGCCTGGTAGATATTCAGCTCCCGAGTGTCAGGAATAGGTAACCAAATGCATCTAGAGATTGGACCCACTGACCTACAAGGAAAGGGTCTTTTAGGCAAATAAGGGAGAACACGATAAGCATATGAAATTATGCATTATGTGGAGAGAGAAATGTTTTTGGCACTATAATACTAGATGCTGGGATCATCTAATAATGCTGAATGGAGGGAGATCCAGGACAGACAAGGGGAAGTCAGTCTCTGCACAACAGACCGGCATTTGTTACCATATGATGGGGCACCAGCCATGAATCCAGGGGCCTTTAAGGGGGATTAGAGGCAGTCCCGGAAGACACAGCAGTATCCTGGGACCAGAAGCTGCGTGTGTCTTTATACGAGGCGCTGCAGAACATGAACCGGACGCTGCATTTGCCTCTGCATCCCATTTGTAGGCTTCCCAGCAGCACGTCTGGTTGGCCCCTGTGCCCAAACAGGTGCTGTACTGGGTGGGTGTCTTGCTGGACCCGGTGGAGCTGCTCTTACATAAAAATGAGCACCCCTGTTGCACAACCAGCATTGACCTTCCCACCCTCCTCGAGGCCTGTGGATCCCTGTGCAGGGTCTCTCTCACCTCCCCTTGCAATAGCAGCTCTACCAGCCCTTGGGCTGGAAATGCCGGTCTAAGATGAAACGTGCTGATCGGTGCCCACCCAGCATCAGGGGAAGAGGGGGCACGAAGGCACCCAGGAACGCCGGGTGTGAAGGGAAGGGGCCTTGGTTCTGAAGCCTCTGTCCCCCTTCCCCCGGCAGCAAGACGCAGTGTAGAACTTGGGCGTGCTTGCTAGGGCTTGCAGCGCTGCCCCCACTGAAGAATCGGCACTGCCAACTCACCAGTTAGTGCCTCCTGGGCAAAGTATTTGACGTCCACATCAGGATCCTGTGTTAGCTTCTCCAGCACTGGCTTCACCTCATTCTGAAGGGTGCTGCGGGGGCAAGGGGGGCAGGAGTTAAAGCTGGGAGAGGCGGAGCCAGTATCCAAGCATCTCCAGAATCTGGACCCACCTGCTCACCTTCCCACATCCCACATGCATCCCCCAACCAAGAGAAGAAGAGGACTGTCGCCACAGGACTGGAGTGAGAAACTCCAGTCCAGGCCCCGAATTCAGTTTCAGGTGAAATTCTCAGGGCCACACTCCAATGCCGGAGGCACAAGGGACAGGCCACAACAGAGGCATGCTGTAGCTTAAAGCTCTTGCTGGCAAGAGTCAGCACTGAGAAAGCAGGGGAAGAGAAGAACTGCAGAAGCTGTGGAAACACTGCAGGATCCGTGGGGCAAAGGGCTGGCCCCATCTGAACAGCCCAGAGCCTAAGGGAATGGGGTGGTATGTAAACATTAAGGCAAGGGAATCTGAAGAACGCTGGATGGCCAGGATGGCATTTGTCTCCCAACCCTAGCGCAGAGAGCAGAATGCTACCACCCACGGACTCCCCGTACCTGTTATCCAAGATTGGTCCAATTTTCTGAAGGGACTTGGCGACATTGAAGCGGACGTTGGCGACCGCATCCCCTGCCATCCGCAGCACAGTGGGAAGCATGTGCTTGGTGGTGATCTCCTGCCCGCACACCTCTGACAGCACCTAATGAGGAAGGGAATTGGTGCTGGATTGAGAGCCCAGCGCATCCTCAGGCACTCAAGCTGCACTCGTAGGTGTGTTTAGACAGAGAGGAGGAGTACAACTCGCAGCACGCACAGGCGCTTAAGCCTTTCCCCATCTAGAAAACCATGAGGAAGGAGACTCTCCAGTCCCGAACTCAAGTCTTTTATTATGCCTAGCATATTGTGAAAGAATTGCTGTTCCTTTGTCAGGAATTGAAATTAAAATTAAACCATGAAGCATGGGTAACGTTTCTGAGCTACTCCAAACATTCTTAAACAGATCCTTTGTATAATGGAGTCCCACTGCTTTCACCATTCATCAAAACCCCATTAACAGGTTCACTGTGTTAAAACAAACAAGGTTGAATATCAAGTTCAAAATCCTGAAAGAACGTCTCACAAATAAGACACATTACGAGATTAAGATTACACCAGATAGAGCGTTAGCCTTTATATACGGTTTAACCTTAATCTCATGCTTTTAGCTTTAACTATGATGTGTGTGCTATTTAGCAGGTTTTTCCAGGTTTTAATTTTCAAAGTTGTTTATTTTCATTTTAACACAATGAACCTATTAGTGTTTCTCTGATGGATGGTATGAGCTGTGAAAACAGCAGGACTACATTATACAGAGAATTTGTGTGGGAATATTTGGAGTAACAGAAATTGCATCAATGTTTTATGGTTTTCATTTTGGTTTTTGCCTGAGGGAGGAGCAGTGATTTTCTGAAACGCGTCAGGCGTAACAAATGCCTCAAACTGGCACACAGATTCTCTGCTCTCTTTTATGTTGCTCCTGACAATCCCAAGGCCTTGCCTTCTCGCTGCATCTCCCCACCTTTTGGGGGAGGCGGGGGCTAAACGTGCACTGGATTGCAGCCTCCGCCGTACTTCTGCCTTTGTTGTCAAGGCCTGTGCTGCCCCTTCCTAGGCACAAACTCCGTCAGGCAGGCCAATGAGCTAAAATCATCACACAGACACAAGCAAGATGTGGGATCTTCTCCTATCCAGTGAATTAAATGCCTCCACACGTCAGTGCAAAGAGAAATATTAAAAATTCCTATGGGCATCTGGGAAGAATGATTCAGAAAGGGAGCCAAGAAGAAAAAGTTTTTGATTCCCTCCAGCTATTCAGCACCTGAAACAACCACCAAACTTCCCCCTGCAAGTTGCTCAGTGAAGAACATTCCACCATGTCCCCAAGGCAGCTTGTTCCACTGTGCAATAATTCCTATACGCTTGGTGCTGAAGAGGAAATCCAGGCATTCCAAGATGTATTTTGATAAAAAGAGTAATACTGTAAACGGAAGATTTGTTCCTTGGGGAGATCTTCCAGGAGCTTTCTTTTAATGGCCCCTGTCCCTCTTCTCCCCCACTCCACTCCTTGATGGTTGGAAAAGCAGCTTTCTTCAATTACCCACAGAAATTACATTTTGTGAAATATCCAGAATTCTGCATATAACACTCCTCAAAGGTTGCAAGAATTTTTTTTAAAAAGCTGTAGTTAATTCTGAAGCCAGTAACAGATTCATTATGTGGCCTTAGAGAAATGATGGAAACCTCAAGTAAAAGAGGGGCTGAAATTTCCGGCAGCAAGACTATCTGTATGCAAATGGAAACAAATTCATGCTCCCCGTGTCAAAATGGTTAACAGGATGAGTCGTAAGACAGAATTAGGATGTTCAACATATGTGTCGATAAGATAAGGACCAGGGGGTTTGTTTTTGCAATCTGGGATCCCTTGACCCAGAGACTGAATGGCCTGGCAGAAATGATTAATTTCTGTCCCATGTGGGATAATTATTAATTGTCCCACATATCCGATGGGATATATTTCCTCAACTTTAGCAATACACGCCTGGTGAGTTGTTTTACGCTTTGCTTCTCATTTTATGCGTGCAGAGACAGCTCAGAAAAGAAGACGCCAGTGTTCCAGAGAAACCTGGCATGTTGTTTCCCGGTTTGCCCATAACGATGAATGGCCCTTGCACAGAAAGGCCTCACTTGCAGCAGCAGGAAATGGACAGTGTGCATGCTTATTGCTGCATCCCACCAGCTCTCTGCATGTTCAGCGTTTCCCTTCCCTGCACACCTTATAAAATGCTTTAAGCTTAAAATGAAAAAATATATTTAATTCACTCCACTAGCAAGAGGTTGTCTTTCCTAAAAAGACAGACGGCTATTCTTGTAGGACAGGTAAACTCCCATCCCCCACAACTCACATTGATGCAGAAGAGTGTGGTCATGCGGTGCAGGTAGTTGGGGTCATTGGACATGGCCAGCACCTTGGGGATGATCGTGGCATGGGCCCAGTCCTTGCCAAACTTTTCCACAAGCTTCTTGAGGTTGCTGGTCGCTGCCTCTCGGATGGCGTAGACTGAGGATCAGAAAAAGGACAGCAGCGTGACCCAGCTATGTAGGTTAGAGCCCAGAGGTCTCTGCGGAGGATGCCAAACCTCTTTCAGCCCAAGGAGCAAATTAATTTTGTGAAACGCTGTTGCGGTGAGGTATTTTAGTGGCGTGTAGAGAAAGGAGGAAAATGGGAACAGGGCCAAAAGGACAAGCGTGTTTTAGCTGAGGCTCTAGCTGCCAGTAACATTAGGAGAGGGTCCACTTCAGTCAGGCTTCACAATGGGTTTGGGCACAGAAACAGTCCCTTTGAACGAGGAACCAAGTTGAGAGAAAGACGGGGGAATATGACCCCATTATAGACATTAGCCTTGGTTAAGAATGTCTGGATTGGAATTTTTTAATACACTGGTAACTGACTGAAACATTAAATGGCAGGCAATTTCATTGGGTGAAGAGATTAAAAAAGTGCAAATTCATTTTTCAACCTAGTTTGCTTGTGAAGAGTGGTTGAAAGCCTTTTACAAAAAAAATGACTAAGAAATAGCAGGTTTTGCTTTAAAAAAATCATGTCTTCATACTTTAATGTTCTCAAAATGAAACATGTATATTTAGATCATAAAAAATAAAATTACTAGAAAAATCAATCTGAAACATCCATCGAACTAAAGCATCTCTCCCTTGCTAAATACACATTGAGGTAATGCGGGGGGGGGGGGAACAGAAAGAAGCCACCATATTTTAACATCATGAAAAATACTGCTATTAAACCTTAATTGCTTCTATGGCTGAAAAAAGAATTCTCCCATGAAACAAAAATACAACCTAACATCTTAGTCCTGCACTAAAAGCTTCAATGAGTCAATTATCTCTGCTAGAAAAAGGAGTGTATACAATAGATCCCATTAGTTCTGAAGTATCCTCACAATGCCATAGATTACTACCTGCTAGATATAAAAGCATTTGATATTTTGCAGCCTTGGGCCAAAATCCAGAGAACTACTTTAGGATGGGTTCTCTCTTGCTGAGCCCCGTTCCCAAAGGTAATGGCATAATTGCACAGGAATAATAAAATCAGACCTTTAAACATGAGGAGAATGCCTTTTTATTCTTATGTAGACAAGCATTTCATTTATGGTTCACTAAAATAGTTACTGCACTGATCAGAAGCAACACTCTCTTGGAAGTTTTAAGAAGCAAACAGATTGTAGACTTTAAGATAACTTGGAAGGCTCGGGTGGTAGGGGGAAAGGGTCTTCACCTGGTTTGGAAAGCACCAGAAAATAGAGTCAGGAAACTTTCCCCAGAAAAGCATTCCACAGCTGGGGCTCCAGCACTGAAAAGATACTGGCCACATATCCTCCCGGTTGTGGCTTACTCTAGGGTTCTGCACTGGTTAGGAACTCAGCGGCCTCCCACTGCCGCTCCGTTCTGATGATACACAACCCAAGTGCAGCATGGGTAATTAGAGAATGGAGGTGAGGTGAGGTGACGACACCACCAGGGTCCCTCTTTTTCTGACTGTGCAGACACGATCACTTTCTCTTGAAGCCGCTTGCCGCACCTCATGTGGTGCAGACACCAAAAAGGGCCCTCTGGAAATGATCTCAGGGCCTGGTTTGGTAGATGGGGAGGCAATCTTCCACCGAACCTGGTCCTGAGCTATTTAGGGCTTTGTAGCTCAGAACCAGCACTTTCAACTGGGCCTGGAAACTATTTATAGTATTTTTTATCTCACCCTTTTGTCAAAATGGCTGCTCAAGTGACTTACAAAAATGTTGCTTAAAAGACAGTCTTCGCCCACAGGTTTCAGTCTAACAGACATGATGAAACAGGGAAGGGAACTGGGTGGAAGGAGGAAACACAGCAAATTCGGGCACTAGAGTCTTGCTTGCAAGGTTCAGCAGGTCAGGTGCACAAGTGGAAAGTCTGCTGCTTCCTCTCTCTTTGAGGCTTTAGCGATGACCATTGGTAACAGGAGGGAGGGTGGGTGGGTGGGGGTGAGCTGAGCCTGTATCCAGCCATGAGGGAGGGATAATGTGTGCCCGGTGCTTCCTCTCCCTCTGATGCAGCAGCCAGAAAGGAAGAGGCAGAAGCCAGTGCAGATGCAATATAACCCTATGGCGTGGTTCCAGCCAGTCCTGCATCCCTATTTTGGATTAACAGATAATCCAGACCGTTTTCCAAGACAGCCTCAGATACAGCACATCACAGTAATCAAAGCAAGATGAACTCTGCCTTGGTAGGGTCACAGCTGGCCTATTTGCCAAGATGCTCTGAGCCACAGAGGTCACTTATGCCCGTAATCAATGGCCACTCCAAAGCTGAGGAACTGGTGATTCAGGGGGAATGCAACTCTATCTGGATTAGATGGCCCACCTTTAATTTTTTTGACAGACAATACTTGAATTATTTAGACATGCAAATACAGCAAACATTAAAGGAGAAAAGCAGACAGTGGAGAAAAGACCTAAAGGGGCCTATTTGTTCCAACTGAGAGCCTTACCGTGATCAACCAGCCATGCCATGCAGAGGGAATTCAGCTTCTCATCAAAGAATTCCACCCCCTGAAGATGGAAAAATTAAACCAAATGAGTCCAGATTAACTTGCAAGGCTGCAAGTTACGGAATTCCTGAAGCCAGAAACAAAACTTGGAGGAGGTGGGTGTTGCTCAAACAGCAGATAGGGCACACCAGTACGAAGGGTGCGGAAAGCCCCCAAATGCTGAATGAACAGTTGGCACTCCAGAGCTTACTGGCGTTAAGCACCAGAGTCCTCCACAAGCAGGAAGACACACAAGCCAGTGGCGTCCCAGTATTAACACACTCCTGTTACAAGCCAGGTCCAGCTGACCCGAGAAAGTCCAGGTCGTGGAGTTCTCCTGGCACATCAGGTCTGCTTCATTTGCTTCCCAAAGGGCATAGGGACACTTACCAACTGCCCAGCTAAAAGGGGCATGTATTCAATGATGGCTAACCGCACCCGCCACTTGGCATCCTCTGCCAGCTCCACAATGGCCGGCAGCAGGGACTGGGACAACTGCCGAATGCCGATCACCTCATTCACGCAGTCCAGGTTGGAGATTATATTGAGCCGGACTTCAGGACACTGAAAAAAAGGGAGCGGGAGTGATGGGAAAAGCATACCCTAAACCCCACTCCCTCTTGCAGAGCTAGCCTAGATGGAAAGCGGTCAGAATCTCTGTTCATCTCACTTGTTTCTGTACAGCCCCACAGCTGAAGCTCTCCGCCATATCAAAATGAGGCTTGCACGCTTTGTTTATAACAAGACTGCTTCTAAGCACGTAGCACTAAACGTGGCAATTCATTCCCAAAAACAAAGCAAGAGGAGCAGGGAAGAGACTCCACAAGCAGCTGCTAATTCTTCCTAGTCCTGCCACTGTGTTCTGCCGCCAGAAGGAGAAGCAATATGCTTATGTAGAGCAGCTGCTGGCAACACAAGCAGGAGGATGCCACTATGCCCGTGTCTGGCTTGCTGTAGGAAGCTGGTTGGCCGTTGTGTGAGCACCAGGCTAGAAACGGTGAGCCTTTGGTCTGATCTGCCACAGCTCTTATTTCCTTTACTGCTAAGTCCACTGAGCTTGGGATGGTGGGCTCTCCGCGGACTTTTCTTTCCTCACCATGTTACCCAAGATAATTTAACTAGGAGACTGAATATGCAACTTGGTACACAGAAAGGACATGCTCTGTAACTTGTCTACAGTCCTGTAATACAGCTCAGCTCCCGGGGGGGAAGCTGTACAAATTGTGTTAGTTTCATTTGTAGTGTGTGGATCCCTCCCTAGACACATCTGTGACAACAATCCTTCTACAAGACGGCTCCTCCAGCATTTTGCTAAACGCTCCTGTGGTGAAGAAACTGGCCAGCCGTGCAAAAATGCCTATTACAAGTTCAGGGCAGGGAACTGCTCCATCCAGTATCAACCCCGAACAGCTGACAAGGACATCTCTCTGGTGGTCTAAAGGGATGGGGAAGGACCACTCACCTCATCCTTGAGCTGTGCCAGAAAGAGAGGCAGAAGGTGCTCGATCGTGTTGTCCTTGCCCAAAATGGGAGACAATCCCATGATCACAGATGCCAGTGCTGATTTTACATGCTGATTGGCATCCGATACCAGTTCCTGGATGGGAAAAAGAAGCACTTTCAAATAAATAAGACAAGTGGACTCAAACATGTATAAAGCATCATTTTCGTCCCCGCTACTAAGTATACCCATCTTGTTTCCTGATACTCTGTACAACAGCAGCTGCGGGAAAGGGTACATACACCTTGTTAACACCACATCATGCTTCTGTGCCTAACCACAACACACTACAAGCTTTTCCTCCTGCTACACCCTCTCCCTCTCCCTCTCCCTCACACACACACGAAGTCAGCCAAGATCTGTACAAGTTTTTGCAATCTTAAGAGGCACCAAAGCCTTGATCAAAAGTGGAAGTAAGAGAGGTCTCCCCTTTTCCACTCTGCTTCTTGAAAGACAACCTTGTTTCCCTGGTTTCTTCAGCCCTTAACTCTTATTACATGCTTGCTCCTCACTGGGGCACTTAAAGGCTCAAGGCTCACTAAAGATGGTGGTCTGGCATGTACCTTGATGCAGGGCAAGATCTGAGTCATGATGACATTTTCACGGCAATCACCAGACAGGTTCTCACAGAATTCTAAAAGAAAAGGAAAATGGCCATTATGCTGGTGAAGCATTGCAACTGAAATGACTCAATGGTGGAACAGCTTTTTCTCTGGCTAACAAGGATGTTTCCATTCCATCATTAGACTTGCTATGGGACCCAGTGTGATAAACCTCCTATTCCTGGCCTCCAATCTGGAAGCTGTCACTCTATGACTGGATTTAGACTACTGTTTCTATGCACAGAATTATACAACTGCCAAAAGTTTTGCTGCTGCAGAATCAAAGCTATTCAATGTGCCACTTCCTTTCCTGTTCATATGAAGAGCCTCAGCTACAACTGCACGAGGTCAGGTCCCTCATAAGAGAAAAGGCCAGACTTTCACTGAATTTCAGTTGCCTTCTCAGCATGTTTCTAAATCTCATGCCACAGAAATAATCTTGAAATAAGCAGGTATTTTTAAAAAGCTCCAGCATTTAGTATACGGACCATGAATTCATCATACTACACTTCCCTGCCAGGCCATTAATCTCTTCACCTAAACAGATACATTTCATTTGCTTGTACTGTCCCCCCGCATAAGTTTCTTCAAGGCATTCTACAGGAAGCTCAGAAGAAAGTAGGCATATGGAACAAGAAGTATATAAAGCAAGGTGAAGGATGTAATTTTTGTTATTTGAGTGCCGAATTTGCTTTTTTTTGGAGCAGAACATTTCTATCTGTGGACCAAACATGGGAAGGAATCTGTAAGATATTAGGTCAGTCAGACCCATTCATTCCATAACTTTTGAAGGCATAGCTCACCTCCCCACTTACTTTCCCCATTCAGGCTCCATCCACATTCAAAAGCTTTCAGACATGGTCCCCAACAGAGGTGTTATGTGGTCAATACGGCAGGATTCCAAGTCAAGCAAGGATAACTGTGGTGAGGAACTGAGACAGTACTGGACAGTACAGAAATGGAATAATCAACAAATCAGCTGACCTTTGACCTTGTGAGAAGCAGCAGCCCGCACTTCGGCTTCACAGTCTTTCATAAGGTTCTGGAAGGCTGGAACCAAGTCAGTCTTGGTAATTTCTGCTCCAACAGCTTTCTGGAGCTAAGGGAAAGAAAAGGAACCAAACTTATTTAAAGCTTTTATACCTTGCCCATCATGGTGTCTCGGGGTGGAAAAACTTGATAATGCAGAGATCCCTAGTGGCTCTCCAGCATCCCTGCCAGAAAAAATCCTGCTCCAACCACCGGAGATCCAGGTACTAGAAGAAGGAAGAACTAAATCGCCAGGAGAGAAACTAGGGTGCCAGGTATGCGAGAGTGTAGTCTATCATTAAAACGGCATGTTGTCTTGGAGATTATTCGATTTAAATACAAGGTCTGGCATTTGATTTTACAGTAAGTGCCACACAACTCTCTCCATTGCTAGATGCTGTCATAACACACACATAATTCTAAGTACCTCTGTGAACTTGTCAGCCACCATGTAACGGACCCGCCAAGACTTGTCCTCTGCTGCTTGCCGAAGCGTTGGCATCACCAAGGACTCCAGGTCCTCCTGGGGCAGGAGCTGAGCAATATTGACACAGGCTTCTACGGCCAACAAGCGCACAGAATCCTGTAGGAAACACACACAAGATGGGTCACAGAAGACTCTCCATGCAGCTGATCTGAACAGTCCCCAGCTTCACCAAAGCTCCCGTTCCCTCCTAGAACTGAACATGCCATCCCACAGACCTGCTCATCAGAGGCCAAGTTGGAGAACATGGGAATGATCTCACTCTTGACGTGCTCCAGCTCCAAGACCTTGGCAAATTCACCCAGTTTGGAGGCTGCAGCTCGCCTCACCATTGGAGTATCATCTGAGCACAAGTTCCGGAAGTATCTGCAGAAAAGGGAGAAACAACAGCACCCACAAGTTATTTGTTTTTTGGCGCCAGGTTAAGACCTTTTTATTCCAGCAATATTTTAATAAGTTTTAATATTGTCTTTTCTATGTTTTTAACATAGAAAAGTGTGGGTCGGGAATTTATTTATGTTATACTTTGTTATTTCTTTTGTGTAAGCTGTCCTGAGGCTTTTGCGACAGGACGACATATAAATATCTTAAATAAATAAAATACAGAACCATCCGATGGACAGCTCCCCAATTGGCCACCCATCACACAAACCGGAGGGCTCCAGCCTCTAATGCAAAGTGTCCCACTTACTGTCGGAGCTCAGCTTTGACCAAACTGGAGACTCTGGGGTAGCAGACACTGAAGAGGCCACAAGCAGAGGTGCGGGAGGTGAACCAGTCGCCTCCTGCCAGGCGCTTCACCAGGGGCACAAAGTGGGCCTCGAGGTCAGACGGAGAGTGCTCGTGAGAGATGGCTCGGAGGGACTCCACTGCCTTGTCCCGCACCACTGTCTCCTCAACTGTAGCAAGGCTCTCCAGCGGGGGCTGCAGCGGAATGAGGGAGGATATATTACATGGTCAGTGCATTTCAAACAGGTCAAAAACTATAATTACACCTAACAGTAGAAAGACAAACATTGAAACTGGGCAGATACAACACCCCTTTGATTGATAGAAAAACACAAGGAAGAAAAGCTTTCTAACAATTTAATTGTTTTCTTGCTGGGCATCTCTAGGATTGCTGAAAACACAACCTTCTGTTTTCAGTAAGAATCGTGGGGAGATGAGAAAGAATATACAGGAAGCAAGGGCTGTGAGCAGGAAGTGCTGATCTGTCTGCTGGATCAAATGTCCAAGTTCCAGGTGAAATCACCTGCTGCTTTGGTGCGATCATAAGCAGCCTAGAAATCATTACATATTGCCATTCACTGCAGAGGAAAGTGAACACAGAGGACCATCTTTTCACACCATTTTACCACTTGACAGTATGATTCAGGAAAAAACACGTTATCCCAGGATAGAAGAATCACTTCAGGGAAGCCAGGCCTTGGTGTGAGCTCAACAATACTCCCCACATCAACATTTGGAAGAAACAGAAGCATTCTCAAATCTTCTCACTGTGTTCAGTCATGCTCCTTCCCAGTCCTGCACTGAAAAGCTCTCATAACTTACCAACAAACAGTGAACATATTCAGGCCCGCCAACAAGAGCTGTAAATGTCCCCAGCTGTTCTGCCAGAGCGAGTAGCACCTCATCTTCATCGTAAATAGTGTCTGCAGGAGAAAAACCAAATAAATGCTAGAACATGCATGGCCACAGAGCATAGAACTAAGGAAGTAAACTGTTAGCAATCCAGTACAACCCTAACCTCCAACTTGCAAAACCTCTCCATCTGGGCTGGTGAATCCCTTCTTTCCCTTGAAGTCCTACCTTGCACCATCTCTGTGCAGGCAGAGGAAAGAGAAAGGCACAATCTGGGCAATAGAGGAAGGGAGGCAGTCCAAGTCACACTCCCATCTCAATGCAGAGAGGAAAAAGCATTTCCCTTCTCCACAGAGATCTGACCTGAGCATCAGGGAAGGAGAGCTGGTCTCTTTCTCCCTTGTACAGATATCAGTGGGATTAAAGTGCCAGGGTGGGGTGGGAATTGTATGTGTGAATGCTTGCACATTGTGGGAGCATGTGTATGTGCATGGTCCTTCTCACTGCTGGAATGCACTGCTAATGTCCTTGTCCTGAGCCAGTCTGGTTCAAAGCATGTCCTCCCACCCCTGCTCAGCGCTTCAGGCACATGATTCCCTTTAAGAAACCAGTAGGTGTATGTATGATGATTACTACGCTAAATTGATATTGGCCACAGATGGTGGAAATTGCTTTCCAAAGCATCTAGAAGGCACCAGACGGGGTGCCTAAAATGTACTTTTTTTGAGAAAGATGTCTCCATTAGAAGTTGTCTCTAGACCACAAGAACTTATGCCATAACAAGACTCGTCATCTTCTTGGTTTGTTGTTTTGCAGAATTTAATCAGGTATCCCCAAACTGTTTGCATTTTCTAAAACTGGCCCTGGTTTTTGTGTTACCTGTGAGAAAAGGCAAGAGCTCACTGCGCGTCCTTTCAACACCCAGGGCCAGTGCAATGGTGGAAAGCTTCTTGATGCTGTTCAGACGAAGCTGCATACCAGAGAGAGCAATTTGGGGAATGGAGTCAATGAGATAAGCCGCTAAAGAACATCTGACAGCCTTGTTTCTACAGGAGACTGACTGCTGGCTACTAGGCTTCCAATTACACTAATTGTGCAATTCTTCACTTCTACATTCATCTTCATAATCCACAAATATAGGGCAGCGCAACCCCCTTTGTACATACATGTAAGCAAGACACACGCACACATTTAATGCTGGCTCACTGTCAAATCCACTCATGCAATCATATACACATGCCCGCGTACCCAGAACCTACGAGGGGCATTCAATGTATTCTCGGTATCGGGTTGATTTGCTACCAATGTGGATAATTTAATTATTTCATTAGCTAATGACACTCTCTCAGGATATACATGCAAAATTTCAAATAAGTGTGATCAATAGTTCCATAGTAATCCTCAGTGAAAGACAACCATGAGGACTGACAAGACAATGTTGAAGAAAAGTGAGCACTGCACTGTGATTAAGTTCCTTACAAAACAAGGAAAAAGTCAAAAAATCATTCACGAAGAGATGGTGGCCATTTACCAGGACTCTGCACCTTCATTATCTATTGTTCAAAAGTGGTCAAGTGAATTTAAAAGGGGCAGAGAAAGCACTGAAGATGACCCTCGCTCTGGTGGACTGGTTACTGCCACTACGAAAGAAAATGTGAAAAAAATTGAGACACCTGTATTGGAAGATGCCTGAATAAATATCAATATGTTAGCAGAGATGACACACCTATCCGTTGGTACCATATTTACTGTTTTTCATGACCATCTTAATCTTTCCAAGGTCTGTGCAAGATGGGTGCCGCGAATGCTCATGGTGCCTAAGAAACAAGTGCGAGTTGAGTGCTGCAGGGAGTTTTTAGAGCTCTGTGGTGAAGATCCATTGAGTACTTTCGACCGGATTGTTACTGGAGATGAAACCTGGGTTCATCACTATGACCCTGAAAGTAAGCAGGAGTCCATGCAGTGGCATAAAAATGGTGCTGACCCTCCGAAGAAATTCAAAGTCACTCCATTGGCTGGAAAAATCATGGTCACAGTGTTTTAGGACTCAAAAGGAATTTCATTGATCAAGTACATGAAAAAAGGTGAAACCATAAACGCAGCATCTTATGCAACCACTCTGCATAATTTAAGAGAAGCAATTGAAGAAAAAAGGTGGGGAAAACTGACTGCAGGTGTGTTGCTTCTTCACGACAATGCGCCCGTTCACACGGCGCGTGTTTCGAAGGCTGCTGTGCGAGACTGTGGTTTCGAAGAAATAAACCACCCACCCTATAGCCCGGACCTGGCCCCCAGTGACTACTACCTATTCTCGAATTTAAAAAAAGATCTTCGTGGAAAGCGATTTTCCGATGATGAAGAGCTCAAGGCGGCAATTAACGCACATTTTTTAGACAAGGAGGAAGGGTATTTTTTACATGGAATTGAAAAGTTAATTTCTAGATGTAATAAGTGTATTGAAGTTATGGGGGATTACACTGAAAAATAAAAATTATTTCAATTTATTATTCCTTTTTCTTCATGCTGATATCGAGAATACATTGAATGCCCCTCATAGCTCATCATCATCTTTCATCTGAGTACATCTCTAGTTTTAGTCACAGCTACTAAAGAAAGCATTCTGGTACTGAATTGTTGCCACTGGTTACAGCTGATTAAGGCAAGCCTGATTTTACAGTGAAATTTATTTAAACGTACATAGGATCGGACTATACAAACCTGAAAAATATTTCAGTGATGCCTACTACAAACTCTTACACACAGAAAACTTTCTTTCAGCTGAAGCATGAACACTGCTTATATCGAGCTCATGCAAAGTTGCTATTAACATAGCCAAGTATATCATAGCTGCAGCTAACACGAGAGGTGGTCTACTCAGTCTGCCTATCTATCCTGCCAGCCTCTTGTAGATTTCTCAAAAAAGCTAATTTATTAAGCACATGCACGCTAGACTACAGCAATTGTACATTAAAAAGTAAAGGTCTCCCAAGAGGTCACAAATTTATCTTCCAAGGACGGGCAGTGGAGTTACATGAGCTGTGTTTGCATGCCTTGCATTCTCTTTAAAGCAGCACAACAAAACAAGACATGCTAGAATAGAAAAGCAACGAAACAAAAAATAACTATTCTTTAGAAGATGTTCAGTGCGACTCATGCTAGCATACTGAAACATGAATAAGCCTGCTACTGCCAGAAAAGTGGTGTTTGGCCAAAAAACATGCACAATGCTAGGCGAAAAGGTTGAAGGGGAAAAAAGGCTTTCTTCACTTCACAAACAGCAAGCTTAAGCAGACTCAGTTTTGAGGAGAGGGCGGCAGATGGGAGGAAATACTCAGGAAACGAGGCCCATGATATCCTTGATGACAAAAGTAACAGAAAGATAGATCAACCTTGCAAACAGATCCACAAAAGCTGCTAGCTCACAGTGTTTCTGTATGACTTCCTTATCTGCAAACTGAGGGAGCACGGAGGTGGAGAAACAGCAAAATATCTACCAATTTGTAAGTTTTGGTGCTGGGAGATGGTTTGCAGTTGCCACAACTGAGTGAACAATTATGAGCTTGTTGCAATGGCCTTCCTTCTTCCCTCAAAAGCTTCCAAAATCTCTGAAGTTCCACCATCAGTGGGAATTGTCTCTACTGATTAGAGAATAGGCCAAGAAGGGGCTCCCTGCCTGTGTAGCCACCACATCACTGTGCCGCAACACAGAGTGAGTACTTGAAGCATACTTGCCAACGAGAAAACAAAGCTGATTGATGCTCTATCACAGTCATACAAAAGTACCACTGATGGATAATTCATGTAACCAGGATGATGTTTATGAAGTTCTGGATGGAGCTGTGCTCTCCTAAAGAATCAGGTTCACTGTTTGCAGTGCTGACTAACCCAGTTTAATCACGAAGGCAAACTGACAACCACAGCATAGACCACATTCCAGCAGATATGGCCAGAATGCCAAAATCAGCTCCTCCTAATCAGAAACAGGCTGGACATAGTCGGCTCTGGTAATCTTCAAATTAGTCTATAGCAGAAGCGGGCAATGTGTGACACTCTAGATGTTGTTGGCCTGTGATGCCCACCAGTTCTAGCCTGCACAGCCAATAGTGAAGAATGCTGAGAGATACAGTGCAACATCATCATCACTATGGTTTTCCCACTCCTAATCTAATGTGATTTCATCTAGGACTGCCAGATTTCCAAGAATGCAGCAACTCAGTGGCATACTGGAGCCAGCCAATGAGAGCACGTAACTGACTTCAACGCAGTCACACTGGGTGCTTCACAAGCACTTGCCTTTAAACTTCTATGTTGCTTAATCCATCAAGTGCCCTTGATAAGTTGTCTTTTCCTACACAAACCTCCCTGTACTTTAAGGATACCTCTGGAGTTTCTTTTCCCCGACCCCCCTCTCCCAATTCCCCAACACCTACGGAAATTCAGAATGAGGTGTCTGGAGAGAAGGCCCCTTCACTTACATCATTCTGCCGTTTGGATGTTCTCTAGGAGGACCACCTTGTGTTCCAAAGCAATGTTGTTTGATTTTGCTCTTTGATTTTGTATTACTCTACTGATGTTAAGTGTTATGATTTTATTCCATTTTTTGAAGCACTAGTAGTCACCCATCAAAAGGGTGGGAAATAAATCCTACCTTTACAAATAAGCAAATTGCAGCTGCTGAGATGGGTTTAGATAACTCTGCTTTTTGAAAAATGGGAAATGAACAACATCTGTCAGAAGAGGGGCTCTCCTTCTTCGCCTCCCTAGTTAAGGAGAGGCTTGGTAGTGCCTGTCACAAACTGCAGAGGAGACCACCCCTATTTGATAAAACTATAATTAATGGTATAGTTCCCTCAATGTACACAATATGATGCTTTAGCAATCCATAAACCAAGAAGCAAGAACCAAGAATCAGCCACAAGGCATCTAAATGCAAGGCAAGCCTATGGAATACGCTCCCCAGAGGGGTCTGCTTGGCGCCGTCGTTATTTGTTTTTCGGCGCCAGGTTAAGACCTTTTTATTCCAGCAACATTTTAATAAGTTTTAATATTGTCTTTTCTATGTTTTTAACTGCAGCCAGTGCAGGTCAGAAATTTATTTATGTTATATTTTATGTAAGCCGTCCTGAGGCTTTTGCGACAGGATGGCATATAAATATCTTAAATAAATAAAATAAATAATAAATCAATAGAGATGACTAAACGGAAGGTGCAAACAAGGTAGAAAGGCTGAATTTGCTGCTGCATAAATGCATCCTTGGCTACAAGCTCACAAGGTCAGTCATTCAATTAATTTTAAATCCAGAGCTGAAATCCAGAACTTTTCTGGATTCTGGCCCTGTTTGCCCCACGAAACAGAACTGCATCACAGTGGGTGTTCTACATCTTCTCTTCATACATCCTTTACTAACCTTGCGTTACCCTTACGGAATTTTTAATTGTAGGCTTATCAGGCCAAAGATTTATATTTTGCTACTTTAGAAACTACAGTGTTTATATCTGAGATATGTAAAACAGGTTTCCTTAGCCATGTACACTTCAGCATTAAAGCAGCAACAAGAAAATTATGTACACTGATTTCTTCTATAGGAAAATTTAAGAGAATAAAGTTTTCTTTCCTATTTGCAAGTCTTCTGACACCACATCTCAGCCATCCCACACTTGAAGCAACATACATTTTTAAGGGGGGAAACTTCTAAAAAGTAATAAAGCAGAGCTGGCTCTTCATGCAGCAACACTACACTGAGAAAGGGCCATAGCTCAGTGGACAGTGCATACGCTTTGTATGCAAAAGATGCCAGTTTCAGTCCCTGGTATTACCAGGCAGAGCTGAAAACGCTCTTGCATGAGACCCCGGAGAGCTGTTCACAGGCAGCATTGAAAATACTGAGCTAGATGGGCTCATCAGAAGGATGTTCCCTCTAAGTTCTGCCTGGCACCGTCGTTACTGGTTTTTCGGCGCCAGGTAAAGACCTTTTTATTTAAACATCATTTTGTTAAAACATATGATCTGGCCAGGGCAACTTCTTCTTCCTTCTCTTTCTCCTCCTATATTTTTATTTACTTAATTTATACTGATAATTTTAATCTTATATTTGTAAATCAATGTATTTTTTGTATTTTTGTATTTAATGGTAATTTATTATGTGCTATTGTATTTCAATGTATTTTATCGTGTTGTAAGCCGCCCCGAGGTTTTGGCAAGGGGCGGCATAGAAATGTTATAATAATAATAACAATAATAATAAGTTCCTATGGGCATTAATGGCACAGAGGGCTTCATGACGCCATTAACCACGGACAGAGAACTATCCATTCAGCTCATTCATAAGCATATGGGGGGGGGGGAATCACGTACCACCCTTCTCTCCATATCGCATGGCCATCTCCAAGATGGCATGCTTACTGACAGTTGCCTAATGCAGATCTCCTGCCCGGCTCGCCTCTCCGGGAAGAGGACAGCCATCCCTTCCCCGTTTACATTCTAGCAGACCGGGATTGGACTGGCACGCCCCTAGCAGAAAAAGCCACGGAATCAAGGCCAGAAGCCCCCCGGTCCACCCCGCCCAGGCAATTGCCAAGGCCCCTTTCCCTGATTGGGCAGGCAGCTTCCGTGTAATGAATGGGCGACGCCTAACCAATCAGAACCCTCTCTCAGCATTCCATGGACAGGCTCATTGAAAGAGAACGGCGGTCCGCCGGCCTGTGCTTAGCTCCCCCCGCCCCGCAGGAGGAAAACGTCGCCAAGCCAATCCCGCGGCTCCTCTCAGCGCAAGGAGGGGGGGGGGCATGCAGACCTCGATAATACGGACCCTTTCCTCAGCCAACACCCTCCCCCTCAGTTTCTTAAATGAGACCGCTACAACCAATCCGGTTCCAGTTCTGACTGCTCTCCTCCGCGCTGCTCACATGAAACAGAGCCACTGATTGGTTACTGTACCGGGGACTCTGTTCGCCGGCCTCCACTAGCCGAAAAGCCGCCTCGACCTTTTCCCTCAGTCCCAGCTAGGCGCCCGCAGGCCCGGGACGTACCTGAACGTCCTCGTTTCGGAGCTCATCGATCAGCACAGCAATAGGATAAAGCGAGTCATCTCCGTCCGCAGCCGCCATCTTAGCTCCCGGCTTCGGTTCTGAAGGGTGCGCGGGGTTCACGCTGACGTCTTGCAGGGGCGGTATAGACGCCATTGGTCGGCCAGGATTGCACGTCAGCGTATTCTTAAAGCTTATTGGCTCCTTTGGTATAAGCGCCACGCCTCCCGCGTTCCTATTCGCGTTCTCTTTCTACCAGGTATTCTGTATATGGAGTAGAATTTCAGAATTCGACTCTCCGCAGCGCGAATCGGGGCACTGGCCTCCACCTCTTTCTTAATGCTATTAGTTGGATGGACTCTCTTCCCTCCTCCTTCAACACGTAATTGGCTGAATTTCCCCATTCTTATTCGCTGCAACTTTCTGACATTCAGAGCTCAAGGTTGCTCCTCCATCCCTGACTATTGGATAAAAGCTTTGGAATAAAGACTGGTCTGAAATGGGGAGAGAAAAAGGAAGGAGAGGCTGCGGAGTGACTCTTATCGGAGGAATGAGATGGTGGTGACGTCACCGCATTCTGTGATTCAACCCGGTGTCCGCTGTGATGTCATCACGGTGGGATAGCATAAGATGCATGTTATCAAGACCTTTTTTGTTTGCTTCATTCTTTTCTTCTTTAATCGGTTTGGGGGTGGTTGTTGTACTGCATAATAAAACCAAATTTTAAAAAAGATACATTTCATCGCTGAAACTTACCAGCGTTCAAAGCCATATTGTGTCAAATCGTTATCTGAACAGATGCTATAATTGTCAAATCTTGGCAAATATTATGCACTAAGATGGAATCTGTGCCATCCACCCTGCTGTATGTTTATACGGTTGATGGGGGCTCAGTAATAGGGTGCTGTCAAAATGCTGCTTGTATTGGCATTTTGGGTAATTGTTTTTCCACTCCACTGGGTAAGATGTATAGTGCTCTCTCCGTGGAGATGGACTGACATCCCTTTCTCCATGGAGAATCCTGGTCAGTGTTGGCCAAATTATGGCTGGAAATTCTGGCTGCTTTTCATTTTTCTATGGGATGTTCCGGCAAGTGTCACTGGATATGTTTCTGCAATGAGTGAGGAGCCCGTGCTTTTCAAAGACATCCCCCTAATGCCTAACCTAGGGCCAGCTTTGCATTAATTGCCTCGTGCATAGCTGAGCCTGACTTTCCCTTTAGTGCAGAACTGCTTGCAGTCCAAGGACCGGACACCATTTCTGAGAACCTCTCTCGAGCTGCGTTTCTGTGGTGGGTGTGATCAATGGCCCAAATGATCAGGGCTAAAACGCAGAACATCCTAGCATAGTTGAGCTTACCGCACTGACCGCCAGCAACGAAGCCTAAAGAGAGGTATGTCAACTGTTCAAATTCTAAAGTTGAGAATAAGGCAGCAACTGATCAGTGGTTGGTGGAAAAGGAGGTAAGGCCAGGGAAAGGGGGGGGGGGGGGGGGCACAATGTCAAGGAAAACCAGGAGAGGGTGACTTGTCTCCCCACTCAGCTGCGTGGCGCTACTGCAGAGCAATGTGCTTCAGGCCCAGCCCAGAAAGGGGAGAAAAGATGAGAAGATCATGCCTCCTGCCCACTGACATGACTGCCCCGGTGGATGATGGGAACTGTCGGCACTTGATGCGTTTGGGATCCTACAGGAGAGACCCCGCTGAATGCAGCTTGCCCCAAGCCCTAGCTGCAGTCCTGATCCACCTGCCACTGCAGCCGTGGGTAAAGCGGACGCCTTTGGCTGGGTCTTCCCTGGAGCGGACCTAGCTGAATGCCTGCAGTTCCTCTCCCTCGGTGGATGTGCAGGAGGACCAGTCTTTTGGGACTCCTCGGGAAGAAACCTATGGGGATGCAGTTGCTTTGCTTGCCACAGTGCCTGCAAGCTGTCAGGGCAAGAAGCAATAGGGCAGGATGACCCAGGGTGACCAGCACCTAAAGACACCGTGTGCCTCTTCCTTGGCTGGGGCTTGCAAGGCAGCAATCTCACAGAGAGCCCCTTGGCCAGAGTGGCAAGGCTTTCTGCCTCTCTATCCTAACAGCTCTTTGGTTTTTGAGCTTGACTGTAGCTTAGTCTGTCATCCAGGTTCAGATAACACATTAAGCCATGGAGGGTAACATGCACCCTAGAACAAGCCATGGCTAGTTGAGGTAGCTTAGTAGCCACCCCAAATTCACACATGTCATGCTGGATTCAGACAACCTATTAAGCCAGGGGTCCTCAAACTTTTTCACCAGGGGGCCAGTTGGAAGTTGCCGGTGCCGGGCGCTGGCCAGAAAGGTGGTGCCAGCAGTGCGAGCGGGTAGGCAAGGGGGTGGGGGTGGTGCGTGCGGGTGCGATGAGGCAAGGCGAGGCGAGGCACGGGCGTGTGAGGCAGCGGCTCGCTCGCTCAGAGATCGTTTTCTCTGAGCTAGTCCAAAACGATCTCTGCGCAAGCAAGCCGCTGCCTCCCCATGCGCGGGGCGGGGCGAGGCGGGCGGGGGCGGGCACATGGGCACACGCGTGGTGAGTCCAAAACCTCTGAGGCGGGCCAGATAAATGGGCATGGTGGGCCGGATGTGGCCCGCGGGCCGTAGTTTGAGGACCCGCGTATTCATGGGTCCTCATGACTTCAAATGGCCAGTGGGCTGTGTGATCCTTTATTCCAATGCCATCCTGAACTGCATTTCCAGAAGTGGGAATCTGTCTGGAAGACCATGGAATTCTAGAAAACAACGAAGCAGGGTCTCCAAGTCTGAAACCTCCTTGCTGTTGGTATAGTGGTTAGAGCAGCTCTCCCTGGCTTTGTGTCCTCCAAGTCTATTGGACCACCAACACTAGGGTGGGTGGGGATGATGGGATTTGCAATCAAGCACATCTGGAGTGTGCCAGATCTAGGAAGGCTTGGTACATGTGGGTGACCAGGAATCAGACACTCAAAGCCCGTTCCTCCATAAAGTTCATTGGGTGACTTTGGGCTGGGGGCCTGGAAATAAGAGAGAGAGAAAAGACCATCCACTTTGCTCCGAATTCCTTGGACAGAAAATGGACTGAAAATGTCAGAAGTATATAGTTAAATAAATCCAGGCATGCTTTTTAAAAAGCAGGAAAACACTGCCTTTTTTAATGTCACAAAAGCAGCCTTCCCCAAACTGGTGCCCTCCAGATGTTTTGGACCTCGGCTCCTTTTGGCTCCTTTTTGGCCTTTTGGACACTGTGACCCAAACATCTTGAGAGCCCGGGATCAGGGGAAGGCACTAAAGCCACACTTACTGTGGGTGCTGTACAATGAAGTACTGCTGTGAACTTTTGCCTGCACTGGGAGGAAGATAATAAAAATCTCTCATCAGGGGTGTACAATTCATGTTTTTTGTATTCTGTGTAGGAAGCTGCTGCGTCTCATCCTAGTTTCCCCCTTCACAGATGGTTCCCTGCCTCCTTCTTCAAACCAGCCAAGTTTAGACTTGTGGTCAACAACTTCCCCGTTTCCCTGCTTTTCTGCAAGAAACAACTCCCCCCTCCCCCGCCCCCCCTGCAGTGTGCAATTGGCAGCATTTCCATACAAATAAGCCTAGCTTTTCATCCCTCCTCTTTTCAGCCTGCTTGTAATTCACTGCAGATCTGTTATCAGGTGCAGAATCTTGCCTGTACTTTGCTTTTCTTCTTAGCTCATTTCCCACTGCAGAAATGGACTCACTGATATAAACGAGCTATGCTGGAGGGACTATATAATTTAGATTTTAAAAAAAATAAACTAATTTTTAAAAATGGAGTCAAGGGTGGTAAATCACTGGTGCAGTATCCTGTTAATCTTCTCTGTACACATTTCGTATCTCAGACAGTTAGGCATAATCAGGAGTTGCATGCCTGCTATTTCACGTTAAATAATACGTCTTAGGGCATATAAAAATAGGCAGCACAATTCTAATTTTGTTGGGGCGGGAAAGCCACAAGACAGATCTATTGCATTATCTGCAGCCACAGCAGCTCTCCTTGGCTAGGGGGCAGAGGGTGGTAGTCCTTCCCCACCCCCAGAACAGCAGGGTTGTAAAGTTTCCTGCACCCGCTCAATCCTGGCCTAAATGGGGACCCCAAATTAGGCCTCTCCCACAGAGCAGAGCAGCTTTTGATCCAGAGTTCCAAAGGCAATTCTGAGCTGCCCTCATATCACCTCGAAGAATTTCTTAGCTCCTGCTTGCGGGAGAACTGCCAGTTACGCCGTTCACCTCCAGAGTTTTGTAGTCCCCACGACCCGCTCCGCTCCAACCATCAGAGCCATGGTGGACAGCCCTAGATGATGCTGTAGGGGATTATTGTGGCATCCCCAAATCTATAAGGACTCATCTGCAGTTGGTTGAAGTGCGAGGTACGCACACAGGGATCTAGAGTGTTGGTGGCTGTAATCTTTGCGGCCAAATAGCCATGAAATTGTAGGAGGACTGTCTGTGGCAATTTGCATGCAGCCTAATTTTATACAAGACCTCAGTGATTGCCTGCAGCAGTCGTAATTGGTGCTCTCCCATGTGGTGCTAATTTAGCCCTGTGCCAGCAACACCCCGGTTCAAATCTATCTTTGGCTGTCAATCCACTGGCTGACTTGGGCTGGGTCTGTTCAGCCCTCTGTCCATTCATGAGACTGAGCTCTGGGGTCTTAAATAAAAACAGATTTCCTTACAGGATTGTGGATGTAGTGCCGCAGCCTTCCAAAACCCGGGTCCCTCCAGGGATGTCACCTTCCACCAGATCCAGTCAGCAAGACTGGAATGGTGGGAGTTGTAGTCCAAAGCATCTCAAGGGAAAAGCTGTACTAAAAGCCTAATACAGAGGCGAAGGTTGCCCACCTAAATGCACACGGTCGGCGGAAAATGCGATGATTGCTGCAACGTACTGGGGTGGGGATCCCCATGAGGGGCTTTTCCCTGCATTGCAGTGCCTGCCTCACGGGGGTGTCACATGAAGCACACCCCAGACCGACCTCTTCTTGCTGCTTTGGCTGTTCAGCCCTGGATTTCTAGCAGGACTTTTAAGATACGCCACACACTTTTTCCAAGATTCATGCTTCAGGGTAGCACTGGCCCCTCTTGCCACCCTCTCCCAGTGCTTCTCTGCCCAGTGAACTGGAGGGTAAGTACGTGTGTGGCCACTTCCCCGTTCCTTCTCTCCTTCTGTGTACACACACAGCCCAGAGCCTGTTCAAGCCTCCCCAAAGGCCTCCTTTGTCCTTTCTATCCTTTTAATCTCCTTACCTCCTGGAACTATCAGCCAAAAATGCGCAAGTGCGCAAGCTGACCCAGAAGCGAGTCGTGTTCCTTGCATGGTGCTCCCTGCAGAAGCTCCATGGCCTTGGAGGTGGTGGTGCAGGGGACCAAGACGCAGCTTGTGCTGGCTTCACCCCATGGGAGCAGGTGGAAGCAGCACGGGCTCCCCCTCCTCTATTCCCACCCCTTCTACTTTTCCAGGGTTTTTTTCTGGGCAGCAGGAACAGCTGTCAATCACGTAAGAAACAATTCTCCATCTGTCTGCACCCACAAATGCTTCATGGATTAAAAAGAAAAGGAAACTTAAAGGGTCATTTCCCTGCACACATCCGCTTTTCAACTGCTTCACAAAGGCAGTTGTGTCTGATACAAGATCACCTTTTCAACAGCCGCAACTGTGCTGCATTCATTAGCATGTGCCTCTACAATGGTACATGTGTTTTACATAAATAATGTAAGAGTGCTTCCTGATATACAGAAAGGCCCCCCGATTTAAATAGCCCTGGGACTAGCTTCCAAATAAACGTGGCTTGAATTATGCTGTGTTAGGTTGATTGCCTAAAGTTCCAGAGGCCACCGCAATGGCGATGTTGCTCGAAGATGAAGGAGAAAAGGAGTGCGGGTGGCGGGGAGGCAGCAGCAGCGCTGCTTTGCTTGTTTGGTGCATCTGAGCTTGTCACGGCAGGGCAGGAAATAAGCATCACGGCCGACGCGGTGTGTGCTGCCGCTCACCTGCCTGAACATCATCATCTCAAACCAGGAGATTCAGTGGACTGGCATTCTTGGTCTAGACATGTCCATCCAAGATCAAGCCACCCTGGTCAAAATGTCAGGTCTTTTTAATTAGCCAAGGTCAGTGACATCATCTTTCCTTTATAGTTGTGCCTTCCTTGTCGAATGAAACACCCCTGGTGGTTCTGCATGGTCCTAAGATCTGTTGGAAGTCCACCTGGAGCAGCATCAGACAGCACATTCTGATGTGGATGCCCATCATTCTGAGCTCAAAGGCTTTACTGGCATCCTGTGGAAGCAGGAGGGGCATGGAGATGAAGGTGGCTTCTAGGACTCTCCCACTCAGAAAACATCCGGACGAGCAAGTGTTTCCCCCACAGCATGAGAAGATAAGGCTGAGTTCCCACCGCAGGACTACGTCTGCTGGGGGAACTGTCTTCTTCCCTCCCTGCCTTGCCCACGGGATGCCGTCTCCCTGGCTGATCTTGAGCTCACAGGTTCTTTCTGTGCCAGCTGGTAGGATGGAAGGAGGACACTCCAAGTTCAGAGTCCCAGCTCTGAGTTGGAGCAAGTTCCCAAGGTCAGACCTGGGATTCTGAATTCTGCGACAGGACTCCGGAGAGCATCTAGTGACCGTAGGATCAAACCCTTAATGAACTCTTTCCCTCTCTGTGGCTGATGTCCAGTAGTCAACTTTCCCCCCCATTTGTTAAAACCATTCTCATTTACACAAGTTTTCCTGAATGGCTGGCCATGGTTTTATAGGTATAAACTGGTTTTATATCCATTGTCCTTACATCTCATCACCACCGTCATCATCGTCATCATCTGGGTACTCTCCACAACTTGGGAATCCTTTTTTTTTTCTTTGTAAAATTAAACATAAAAATAAAATTACAGTTGCCCCTTGCGTGAGAAGGGCACTTCTGCTGCTGCTTTGCCAATGCCGGCATCCTCCACAAGGTGGACACAGAAAGTTTCATTTGAAGTTTCATTTCAGTAGAAATGACTGAAGCCTCACATGCTGTCTTATTTTTCCATGTCTCATTCAGGTGACTCGGGGGAATGTTTCTGCCTTGAAGTATTTGAGGAACTGAAAATTCAGCAGTCTTTCACTTTTACCACACCACCTAGACACCCTTATTTTTGTTAGCATTTTAATAAGATGCAGACTGTCATGCATTTCTAGGTTATATCGTGGGAGGTGGGAAAGACCCTGTCTCAGCAGAGCCTAGCTCAGATTCCCTCAGGTAACATATGGATAGTAGCATCCCTTGAATGCATATAATCACTGCCCATCTTGGAATGTCTGAGCATCTCCTGAGGATGCTGTGTGTGGAGCACCCATGTGGAACGGTTGTGAGCGCCCTGGACGAGAGACCCGGGAGGTCCAGGTTCTGGTCCCCACCCAACCTGGGTGGCTTTGGGCCAGTAACTCTCTCTCAGGTTAACCCACCTCAAGCTCAGGTTAACCTACCTCGCAGGGATGTTGTTGTGAGGATAAATGGAGCTATGCAAACTGTCTTGGGTTCCTTGCAAGGGGGAAGAAGACGGGAGATGATGCAATTAATAAATAACACATTGTTCTGTGCATGGTGCAGAGAAGGGCGGGAGCGCGTGTTGAGGGCTCAGCGCCCAGCAGGGTCCCCGGCGGTTCTGCTCCTCTTCGCCACTGCAGCTTCTTTGTTCCCCTGCTTCTCACACTGGCCCGCACAGCAGGGGTGGTGAGAAGGCACAGCGGCGGGTGCAGTGGCCAACTTGCTTCCTGGCCCTCTGCTTGTCAAGCAAGCAAGGGGCACGAAGATGAGAAAGGGGCTGAGGAGCAAACCAGTTGGGGATGATGGTGCTGAGGAGGCCCTGTGGAGGAAGGGGCTTATGGAGGGGGACTTTCTCCAGGGCCCTTGGAAGCCTAGAACTGGCACCCATGTAGCTGCCCGATGTCCTTGCCTAAAGAAGCCCGTGGTGGTAAGAATGGTGCTGCTTTATTTAGGCAAGAGCTAAATATGCTAAGTTGCTGTGCACTGTGACCAGGAGATGATGGACTCATGGCGCACCAAGCGTTTGCCTCGTCGGTGGCCTCGAGCAGGACCAGCCACAGCGCTGAGCAAAGCGAAGCAGCTGCTGTGTTAAACCCACGGCAAGGATAGGATTAAGCCGTGCTAACCGTTCTGCGTGGGCACACAAAGTATCTGTTGAGGGCTGGGTAAGCAGGCAGACTTTCACAGGGCAGGCTGCACCGTTGGGCAAATACTTATTTTATTCATTCATTCATTTAAAACTTTAATATCCCATCTGCCACTGAAGTCTCCGGACAGTCTTACAAAAAGCAGAATAGAGTACAACATCCAAATCATTTCTTATACAATAAAGCCCCACAATTAAAATCACAGTCAAGCCTTAAAATGATGGGAAAATACACTGTCTCTGGCCCCACATCATTGCTTTGGGTTTGGGGGTGGCCATGTCTTTGGCCCAAGGGGAAGAGGAGGCTGTCGCACGGGAATGTAGACTGTCTGCTCGACCTGCCGATCTGAACAGAAACGCTCCATTAGAGCCAGGGCCTCCCTCCTCAGGGAGCCTTGCAACGTGGACGCAAGAGGGTCCCGCGCACACAGGGAGCACCATTTTCTGCTGTGCACCAGGCAGCAAACTGCCTCGGCTGGCCCTGGTCATGCAACAAGACATACTTGGGCGAGGGACTGCACCAGAGTTTCTGCAATGGGTAGGTGTGATCTGAGTTATGCTGTCTGCTTTTGCTGGTACTGATGCAACACTAAAACTGACCCCTCCCAGGATCCTCGTTTCCTTCCTCCCCTGCTCAAAAGGGGAAGTGAATCATGTGAGAAGCACATTTCACACTCACTCTGCAACTCTCCTGTCCTGTCCCCTGCACAAGGACGCTTGCCTTGCCTTCCTGCAGCTGCATGTTGGATGTGCAACTGCACAGGTAAATATGAACGACTGCAAAACATTATTGGGAGGCCGGGAAGAAACAAGAGCAAAACGCCTGAGTTAAGACTCGATGGAGGGCCCTGTGAGGTGGGACGCGGCAGCGCCGTATTCCATCTTCCAGTCAGAAATTGGTCTTAGGCAAGGGAAGGGAGACGCCAGGGATTTATTGGACCGGAATTAAGAGTTGGAGTATTCTAGTGAATAGGGAGTTGAAATTATGTATTAATGATGTGTTTTTGCAGGAAGCTTTTGCATCTCTCAAGTCAGTGAAATGTTTTTCCTCCTCAGAATTAACTGCATCCCAGGTGTGGAGGACAATTTATTTAAAGCTGCTGTTCAGCTGGATGAAGCAGTGACTCTTGCCAGGTCTTGGTTAAAGTTCTCAGCTTAGTTGATGTTGGAATAGTTAGTGGTGCAGTTCCATGCAATGCACGCATGGTGCTTGTCACAGGGCCGCCTTAACAGCATGATGGGCCCCGGGCAAAGCAGTGCACGGGGGCCCCTATGACAACCACAACTACTGTTAATTTTGGAAGCTTTCCAATTTTCCAAGGGTTAACATACACAGATTAGTATGGGGCCCACGGGCATGTGCCCCTCAGGCCCCTGCGGTGAGACAGCCCTGGCTTGTCAGCCCCTGAACTCAGAGGTTTGCAGCATCCTATGAGGGATGGCAGAGGTGATCTTCACCTCCCCGTGCTCCTGTCCTGCATTTTTGCTAGCTGAGTGTTTCATCTGTCCAGTGAAAGAGTTTTGGAGAGGGAGGGAAAGATGCTGGAGAAGCCCCAGGATAGCCACTATCCTGACTTCTCCAGTCTCCTCCCATCCCTACCCAGAAAAACACTCCCTTTTACCCCTCTCCAAGGTTGCATTCCTGACTTTGAAGAGGCAGCACCATGGTTCTCCCTTGGCCAGTGGGGGACACAGTTTCCAACCTTGGAGCTGGGAATCTGAAATATCCTGTGACCTCTCAGAAGCAATTCTAGGGGCTGTAGGATTTTTCCCATTTCTGCCGGTGTCACGGAATCTCTTTGGCCCAAGTGCCACATTCAGTTTTGGATCTATTCTTCTGGCTGGCTGTCCTGTTTGTAGCAAAAGCAAGAGCGGCCCTGCACACGGCACATTGGTAGCACACTGCTCCCAGGGCTGTCTTCACGCATGGGCCTGAGGGGCATGTGCCCGTGGGCCCCATAGTAATCTGTGTATGTTAACCCTTGGAAAATTGGAAAGCTTCCAAAATTAACAGTAGTTGTGGTTGTTGTAGGGGCCCCAGGACACTGCTTTGCCCGGGGCCCATCATGCTGTTAAGGCGGCCCTGGCTGGTCCTCTCACTTTGGAATGCTCTTCTTAGGGAGATACTTTTCCATCTGTTTTCAAGAAAACACTGAATTCTTTTTAAACAAACTATCAAATATGCAAATAAATCCAGCCAGCTTTTAGATTATGGTAGGGTTCATTTTATAAAACTTCCAATAAGCTGGTTTGGGGCACTGTTGCCTGAGGGATTGTCCTTCCCATATATCTCTGTCTGAGTTCTAAAACCATCTTCAGTGGTTCTTCTCTGGAAACTCCCTTCCCAAGGCAGGCAGCTGGGTACATACTAGAAGAAGGGTCTTATTTGCAGTGGCACCCCCACTGCGGGATAACCTTCCCAGGAATGCCTGCCTGGTGCCTTCTCAGTGCCGGGTGATGACTGCTTTATTTTCCTAGGAATGTTCATTCCTGGTTTCTGTTTTAAATCTGACTCTGTACTTTTAATCTTAGCACAGCTGCTGGCTTTCATTTGGTTGCTGTTTTTATTTCGATACTGTAGCAATACCCTTTTAAAAGCTTAGACTGTATCATCTTGTATTGGATGCTTCTACTTGTTGTGAACTGCACTAAAAGGTTTGGCTATCAGGTGATTTAGAAACTGGATGAACATGCCATCTCCACTGCTGCATCCACACGTATAGTCGATGGTTTTCGTGCTCCCCTTTTGAGAAAGACGGGAACTAACTTACCTGCGGACCAGGACTCCAGTTGAGCAGTGTCATTGGCTCGAGAACTGTCCTTCCTGGAGAGATCAAGGTTCTAGCCAGCCAGCCAGCCAGCCGTTGTGGGGCTGGGGCCTTCCCAAGAGACCCTTTTGTTCTAGCACTGCAGCTGGAGAATCTGCAGGCAGAACCAGAGGGAGAACTACTTCTTCTCTCGGGTGTGTGTTGGCTCAGGAGAAACTACCAGGCGCTCCCTCAGAGGAGGGGTGCTTGGCCCCAGTGGGCCGAAGGAGCTCTCTTCGAAGGCGGGGCATCAAGGACAGCCACAGCTGCCACCGGCAGGGCAGATGGAAGGGTGGCTCAGCCAGGCTGGCATGGAAGGCTGGCTTCAAAGGCTGCAGAATGACACATCGTGCTTCCAGTCATGACCTGCCTGCCCCTCGTCTCCTTTTTGTGGCTTCTGCTCCCCAACTGCCTTTGCCCTCCAGCTACCATTGTATACTTTGGCTTCCTGAATGCAAACGGTTTCTTGCTTGACTTGGTAATTCATGACCTGGCGATTGACTTCGGACTGTTTGACAACTGTGCTCTTGCTATCCGCTTGGCGTGAGCCAGGGCGCCTCCTTTGTGCATTCAAAAGCCACAGAACTCTTCCTTGCACAGACCTTCCTTTGGTCAGTCTTTATGGCCCAAAAAGCACAGAAGACCCAGAATGAGTCTCTGGGCACGCACAGAGCAGCTTGTTGAACCCAATCTAGCAATCACCTCCAAGAACTCTCCTGATGAGCATGCCTGGCCCCATCCCGTCAGGAGGGGCCTTCTGAAAGTGAACGCTGCCTCTCTGTGCTTCAGTCTCTCGTTGTGCCACCCTCCTCTGCCGGCATTGTGCAGTGGGGTCGAGGGCTGTGCCCCAGCCTGTCTCTGGGAAACTCCCCCGATCCAAGCCCCCTCCTGCCAACAGTTCACCTTGGTTATTCCCACAGACTGCCTGCCCAGCTGGGGAGTCTGGTCTTAAGGCAAACGCCTCCATTTCTCTCGTCTCGGCGTCTGGTTTGGCTCACATTCTGAGCCCCCAGCCCCATTCTCCTGATCCTGGTTCTGATTCCTCTGAAGCCCAACCAGCGGTCGCTGAGAATGCATGCCCAAAGCAGCCATTTTTCTTTCCACGCCGCTTCTGAAAGTGGCCAATGGCACATGCCTGCCAGTTTAGTCATCGTGCTGGATAAGGACAATGCTACCTGCCTGCTTCCCGTCTTGTCCAAAGCAGGTGTATGCAAGAACTGTGCCTCTGCATCCCACATGCAAGGCTCTGCAGTTGGTCCTGATGGTCTATGTCTGTGCAACACTATCCTTCGCATATTTTTCTGGCAGCAGCCCTTGCATTCAAGAAACAATCTTTCTCCAACAAAGCAAACAAAAGCAAGCAGAAATTGTATGCCCAGCTCTTGCAATGTTCCAGCCCTTTTCCCTGACGTCCACCCTGCCTTGCGGCAAAGACAATGAAGCTCCGGGTACAAAAACAGCAAGCCTGTGGCATCAGATTTGAATGCCCCTTTCTGCTCTGCTTCTCACCTGTGACCAAGGGAGCATCTGCACTTTTGACAATGTTAAACAGCTTTCACAACCTTGGCTTGCCACAAAGAACCACGAGGATTTTACTGCTTTCAAAGGTCAGAACATCTGAGCTGTATCTGAGCAATGCTTAACCCTCAGCTCCTGCCCCAGTGATCCCATGATCAGTGTAGAAGAATCTTTTCTTTCTACTCACAGGTGCTTCAAAGTGTGCTTTAAACTAACCTGCTGCCTTTCGTCCCCCAGATCAAGTTGAATTGCCTCCCATTCCCCTGTAACAATGAAGAGAGGTAACCCGATGCTCTAAATTCTGTAGGCGATGGCATTTAGCAATCCATCAACTATGCCAAAAGTGTGATGCTGTCTGTAAAGCATGTGTTACAGACCTCTGCTGCCTACTGTTCCTCTTCTTGTGGTTGGGCAAGTTTCTTCAAGTGATGCCTTCAAAGATAATGTGACACCATGATGGAAAACTGGCACCACAGAGAAACTGGAGCGGTAATTCAGAAGGATAGGCTGCTGCTCCTGCATGTTTTGCCTGCAGAATATCTCAGGCTTCATCCTTGGCATCTTCCAGTGGAGCTGCAAAAATTCCTGCCTGAAATGCTGGAAAACCACTGCCATTCCATGCGGAAAATACAACAATTGCAATCCAGGTTCATGCTACCCCTTGGGCAGCAGAACAGCAGGGGCAAAATGTCATGCTGAGGGACACTCTTGAATTCTCTCATGACAGCCGGGCAGGAGGAGAAAGTCCTAAGATGGGGTGCAGAATTTCAGGCCTGGGGGCATTAACTCCACCCCTCCAGGGGCATCCCAATCTGCTCCCCAGGGATTGTCCAGAAGTCCGCACTCTCTTTCCTTGCCCCCTTTTAATCATCTGTTGTCTCCCAGGTTTTTATTCCTGCAGTCTTTTCTTCCTCATTCTGAAAGGTTGAGATGTCTGTCCCAAGGCTTAGTTACTGGCAGTGAGTGCTCTGAGCTACAGTATGCTATTTTTTGGCTCCACTGAACTTGCCAAAACTCCTCCAAAATGGAACTGGCCCTTTGGCTTGCAAGAGGTTGTGCATCCCCGTCTGAAGACAGCCAGGGCCCAAGCAGCCAGTGGGTGAGGCAAAAGAGAGCAGGATCTCCCCAAATGGTTGGGCCAACAAGGTTCCCTGGTTGGCTCCCCTTCCCCTGCCCTTCCCACACAGCTTTTTCCCTCCGCCCAAAGTGAAACTGACAGTTGCCTTCTGCAGTTGTGCTGATAGACAGCATTGTAATTCTGCATAACAGCAAGGGGGGAAACACCTGAGAAGGCCTTCAGCCCCTCAACATCCTTGCAAAAATGGCTTCCTGGCACTTCTGCTCTTCTGTTCCTGCCTATTGATTCCCCTGCTGCTTTTAGCAACATATTCAAACCTTCAACAGAAGGCAGAGGAAAACCTCAGAGGATAAGTGCATGTGATCAGAGAGGATAACAGAGCAAAGGGAGGGGAGGCTCCCTCCAGAGAGGACAGAGTTGAGGCGTGCAGTGACTGCAGCAACAATGGCAATAGCGAAGAAGTGGAGGCGAACTTAAATGTTGGGTGTCAGGCATTCCCAGCACGTGTAAAGAAGGCCTTTGATGAATGCAGGGATCTTCCTGTCGCTTGAGCCCTGGGGGTCCCTTGCAGTCAGAACCTGAACCAGAGTTCACACTTGAAAGCACCGTTTAGATAATCCCTCTTGGTGAACCAGGATTGAACTGGGATCAACATTTTTTTCAGTTGCCTCAGGCATGGACTCAAAAAGCACTAAAAGCAGAAGTTTCAGTTACCTGGGCAGTTATTTTGATGGTGGCAAGCCAATTCGTTCACTTTTCTCTTTCCGTAGCCTTTGCTTCTCACTTTACAGAGGCAGGGAAAAGTAACCATTTTTCCTAAGTGATGGTCGAAGTAGAAGGGACCACCTGGAACATTTTTCTGGTGGGAGCGCTCCAGTCCCAGGTCTGACTCCGTGGGAGTTCTCTGATCAGGATCTCATGCAGTCGATCTCAGCCACAGAAAGAAGTAATCTCATCAGCACAAATGTGCAGCTGCAAAAATTAGCCCCCTGCCCCGTCCCTGCAAAGGGAGGGGGAAAGGTCACAAGAATTTGCGTGGCTTAGAAGAAGCTGCTCTACCGCAGGCTCTGTAAGTCAGATTCACAAAATTCTAGTATGTTTACGCAAGCATGTTTTTTCCAGACATTTGCACCCGTTGCCATACACACAGAAACACACATGCACAATCAGCCCCAGCTTCAGGGTTCTGAGGGCCCTTGAGCAAACCAGGTTCAACGGGGTCCCTCCATCAACAAGTCATTTTCTCACTGCTGCTGCTGCTAATCCCTTCTCCCTTCCTGGCTACCCTTTGCAGCGCAATGATGGTTACGGCTCTCCCTTCTCCCCAGCCCTGTTGCCGAGGCCAGAGGGGAGGCAAGGGGACAAGAAGGCTGCTGTGGCAAGGCGGGCAGAGAGTGCAGGGGGCCCTGCGAGGCTGAGGGCCCTCAGCAGGTGCCCAGCCCTGCACCAACCCCTATCTGCACTGGAGGCAGACACGGCATCCTTAGGAGAGCTGAAGCAGCTCCTAAATATTTATTCCATACATCCAAGAGATGCCACTGCCCACAGGCTACCTGAGGGAATCTGAATGGTGCTGAGAGAAGGTCTTTCCCACCTCATGTGCTGTATCCCAGAAATAAGCTTCTCATAAAAATGATGAGGAAATGACGACTTCAAGAGGTCTTTGCCCAGGGACCCTCAGCAATTGCCCAACCATACCTGCTCTTGATGCTTGCTTGACACACACTGATGTCTTGGACTCCCAAGTGTTTGCGCAAACAAACATCCCTATTCTGGCTCTTATATTGCACTTATATCACACTTCCTGTTGCTGGGCTCTGCTTTTGCAAAGGACCCAAGCAAGCAGAACTAGGTGGCTAGGCTGAAGTTCCTGCTTCCTTTTCCTGTTCCCAAGATCAATATTTCATTGATTGATTGATTGATTTATAACCTTCCTTTTTCCTACAAAGGGTTCAAGGAAGCTAATATCATTGTTCTCCTCCATCTTATCCCCACAACAACGACCCTGTGAGGGAGGCTGGGCTGAGAGTCTGTGACTGGCCAAAGTCACCCAGCTGGCTCCATGGCCGAGCGGGGAGTAGAACCCAGATGGTCTGAGTCCCAGTCCCATGCTCTTAACCACCACCCAACACTGGCTATTTTTCAGAAGGAAAGACCCTGAGGTAATGTCTAGTCCAAGCCTTCCCCACTGCCCAGAACTTCTGCTGCTCTTCGGATATGTTCACTTTTCAAGAGCCAAGCATCTCTGCAATCATCCAGTAATCTTCCTTCCTCATACCTTGGTCAGGTCACTATCTCACACTGCTTTGCTCTCCATAACAGAGCTCCTGCTCCAGGAAGAAGCATCTGTTTTCAACAAGATGCCAGAAGATGGGAGAACTTGGCAGCTTGTGGATCTCCTTGGTAAAAAGAAGACTCTGCCTCCTTCTGTGTCAAGAGGGGTGATTCTGATCCTTGCCTTCCTCTGTAAAGGTAGGTGTGATATTCTGAAATGAGAAAATTGGGGAACAAAACATTGTTAACATGTTTCCAACTTCTCCAAGTGGTAAGATAGTTTTTCTGGAAGGAGCAGAACTGGTGACCAAGAATATAGTCCAGCTGAATACAGTCCAGAAGCAAGGGTGGTCCGAGACACCATGATCCTGGATAGGTTGCTGAGAACTAGTCACTTGTTGCATGTGTCTCAGCTCCCTTATATACCTCCTGTCCCTTCCCAGGTTCACCAGCCTGCCTGAAGGAAGCCCTGGGGCCTGAGAACCAGCACTAATTCAGCTGTCCATCTAGTCCTGCCGGTTGAACTGCCAGCACTCCTGAGCAGGAATAAGAGAGCATGGAGTTTGGCAGGAAATGCCTACTTTACTCCCGAGGGTGTGGTGCTGTGGATCCTGTTGCTAAAGTCTTTATTACTTCAGCAGTAAGGGACCCCCAGGCCTTCGAACTTGCAGTGTGTAGGCAGAGGCTTCTGATGAAGACAAAGCTTAGTCTTTGTCCTTGGGACAGAACAGTCACTGCCTCATTTAGTGTCCCCTATCCCCAGCCAGAGGACACAGAACTACCATTGTCCTCTGGCTTAGAGACTGCATCCCCAGAAGAATCTCCATCTCCCCCTGTTCACAGAAGCCCAAGACTGCAAAGTCTCAGGAAAGGGTCTTCAAACATGCCAGCTTCTCCAGAAGAGGCAGAGTGGTTCACAGTAAAGGCCTTGTCAGCCTTCACAAGGCTTCAGTTGGCTTTAGTTTTCCGCTGAGGCAATATTCTCCTGTTATTTAAGCAGGAGAGAGTTCCACCCGGCAGGCCCCACTGGGAGCTGTCCATGGTCCTGTTCTCTTGTTCCAACAGATGCTACTAGCTTCCCTTCTGTGTCTCAAAGGACCACAGAATGGGCCAGTCTTGGACTTCAGGTGTTCCTGGCTGTCAGGTTCAGGTTTGCTAACAGGGCTTGAACCCAGGGTCTTCATCACTGGCATCCCGTTCACCCCCCCCCCCATGCCTGAGTCTGCCTGGTTTTCCAGTTTAAGAAGGACCCAAGAGCATTGTTGCTTCAACAATCCTTACAACTTCTGCAGGAGCACATGGACCCACTGGTTTATGGTTCTCAGCCAGGCCCTGATCCAGGCAGGTGCTTGCTCACACTTCCCCATCTCCTGAGGAGAACCACGTACTAGGCACTTTCTCAGAAGCCCTAAAGCCTGGCTCATGATCTCACCTGCTCCTGTGGCCCTTGGGGTTGCATGGGTGGGCTTCAGGGGCCAGGAAGGAAGGCAGGCAGCTACTCTTAGGACCTCCGGACCAGGGGACTAGTTGTGGGGAGGTGTGGCTCAAGTGGCTCCTCAGGTTTGCTGGTGGCATAGGAGTCTGTGCACATCCTTCCTTCTGCTTCTTATCTGAGGATGCATCAGCTTCTAATTCTGGCAGGACTGATTTATGACAATCTTTGCATATTGGCCTCTTGGACTTCTGTCTTCTACTAACCACCCCCTCTCAACAAAACTTCTTCTTTTCATCCTTTACCTACTCATACACCAGCCTCAAATGAAGGTGGGACTCTCATTCCAAACCTTCTTGGGAGATCCCTGTATGAAGAAGCCATCTTCTCATAAGGGACATTTACTCACCACCTGGACACATTAGGATTAATTAGTGATTAGGCAAACTCCACAGTGGATCCAAATGAGTTCATAATTCTATAAATTCACCTGCAGATTCCACAAGGGACCAACTTTTTCCAAGCTGCATGGATTCCATCGACTTGCAGTTCAGTTTTACTTTATGGGAAGATTTGGGCAAGCACACATGTGCATTGTTGTGCATTGGTATGAGTGCACATGCGTGTGCTAATGTGCACTCGTGCAAGTAAACAAAATTGTTATTGATAACAGAAAAGGAAAAAGGAAAAAAGGTCTGACTCTCTGAATGAGCAGATGGCAGAATGAGAGACGCCGAGCAAGCTACAAAGCACAAAGAGAACAGATTTAAGAAAACCATACAGCTCTGGGTGTAAGAGAGCCATTCTTTTGTCAGAGCGCAAGGCGGCACAGCCTGAGCATGGCTTGTCATTCGGTGCAAACCCGGCTAAACCATCCCCAGCCTGGCTAGACCATGCAAATCTTCGCTAAGCATCTCCACAACCCAACCTGGCTGGGTTTGCACATAATAACCACCTGCGAGATGCCCTTGCTGCAGCTTGCATTTTTCAAATGACTGATGGCAAGCCCCGTGCGGAATTCACTCCTGGTGGCTTGCTACTGCAGCGGAATCCACTGAGTGAAATGGCAGAATCCCTTGGATGGGTCGCCACATTGCTCCCAGTGTATGGGACATTCCTGGGAGTCCTCGAAGCAGTTGAAGGGACCCAAGGGAAAATGGCCCCTCTTTGGGTGTCTGCACTCATACAATACCCTCTTTCTTCTTCCCTCCGGCAGATACGTTGAGCCAACCACCACAAAAGTACTCAATAAATGTTCCACATCATGTCGACGTGCAACGAGGTCTCTCTGCTCGTATTTCCTGCCAGTTCACTTATGCTCCACATGACCTCTATTGGGGGAATGAGATATATGGGTACTGGTTTAAGTTTCATGAAACAGAGCGACATTGTTTAAAACCAGACAGTTCCTGCCATCAGGGTCATCTTATGGCTACCAATGACTACAGACAGAGTGTTGAGACCTCTGCCAGGGACCGGTTCTATTTAACGGGAGATCCAAAGCAAAGAAGCTGCTCCTTCCTCATTGTTAATGCCCAGTTGGAAGATGCAGGACTGTACTACTTCAGAGTTCAGGCAGGATGGAAATTAAAATACAGTTACAGTATTTCACCTCAAGTTTCTGTGACAGGCAAGTGCTTTTCTTTTTATTAATTTGTTTTTCTGTTTTAATCTCTTTCATGTTGCAAAAAGAATTGCCTACAGTTGTGTCAGCAGCTCAGATATTGTGATGATGTGGGAGGTGGGGATAGGAAGCAGAAGGTCTTTGCTCTTCTAGTTACTCCACATCAGTCCCCAGTAGATCTTTCACATCTTCAGAAGCTGGAGTAGTTTTTTCTCCAGACTCCTGTGAACCTCTCTGTGAGGACAGATCCAGGAGGAACCTTCCTAAGGGGATAAATGTGTATTCTGCTCCAGATGCCACGGCAGAGTAGAGCAAGAGGCAGCGATTCCAGTTCACATCTGTCTCCTGGCCTACAAGCTTCCCAGCTGTGTGATGAGCAGTGATGGGAACATTCACTTCGCCAGGCCTTCAGTTCTAGAAAGTGCATTCTAGAAATCGGGGATAAGTAACCCCACTCTGACTTCTAGAGCAGAAGATGCCTTAGAACATCAAGCTGGAAGCTGCATTTTGGTTCCCAGGACTAGACCATTTCATGCAAGCCTTTGTCTGACCCAAAGCAGGCTCACTTCACTGCAGAGCAGATGCTCCCAAACAGTTCTCACAGATGAACCAGGCACAGTTTGTGGTGATTTTTCTTTTGACTTCTCAGACGTTCCTCCTGCGTAGCCTCCAAATGCCATTTATTTTAACATAAGCAGAATGACTTGCAGACTTCTGAGATCTAAAAGCCAGCAAACAAGCTCTGTACACATGGTTCAAGGTGCTTCTCTTGGACAAATGAGGATGAGAAATGGGCAGTATTTTAAAATACCAAAATCCATATTGAAACGGTTGACTCAAACAGAAGCCCTGGCCTCTAAGTTCCCATTCTCCACCTCTGGAATGGCAAGAGAAAGACGGACGGGGAAGGGGAAGAACCAGCTGGTATTTAAACTCCTATTTAAGAGCAGGGCTTGCTTACATATTTTTATTTTTTCTGGAGGGTTCTTTTTAATCCTGTCTTTCTGTTTCAAAGTGAAACACTAAACACTTATATACATTTTAAAATGATCATGAAATAGCCACAAAAACACAAAGCAAGAAAAACAGTCTCTCTCTCTCTGTATACATATTGTGCCTTCCTGCTGTATTTTGAACAGCTGAAAAATGAACCTGTCACTAGAAGCCACAGGAACTACCCCAAGGCAATTCAGTGGTGTATAAAGGTAATGATAACTTTTAAAAATGGAAGTGCTCACCTTAGGCTTCATCTATTTGTCATCTTCCATACTCTGATTCAGGAGTGTCCACAAGCAAAGATGGTATAAGGGCTTGATTGAGACTGCAATACCTGACCAGGTGCCTCTCCCAACCTGCACCTGCTAGCCAGAGACGATAGCAACACCCGGGGCTTTCTGCCAAGTGCCGCCAACAAGGCAGGGAGAGAAGGGGCCTCCACAGTGTTAGCCCCCACTTATGAAAAGATCTCCCAACTGAGGCCCACCGGGCACCAACACGGGCATCGTTTTGGCACCAAGTTAAGACTGTCGTCTTCTCCCAGGCATTTAGTGTCCCTTAAGAGGAATTTAATAGCATGGTAGAGAATGCATATCAGCTTTTTAAAACAGATCTAGTTGTACTACAATTGTTCTAGCGGTTAGCTTAAAAAAACCATTGTATATCAGAAAGCATATGCTTTTATTCTGTTTTGTGCTACTTTTCTTGCATTTGTAGACTGTGTTTTATGAATTGTAGTGAACTTCCTGGAGAACTTCAGGTTATGGGCTATATAGAAATGAAATTGATGATGCTATATTTAAATGCCCCCAACAGCTTCTTTTACCACCTTTTGATGCTCCCCGGCCACAGGGGACTAGTGATCTGTGGAAATGGATGTCATGAACCACGTGTGCTATAAAAGAGGCCCCACAAGGGGATCTCTCTCCCCAGGAGCAAAGGCGGCTTGGTATTGTTGGCAAAGGCTCTTCCTTGCATGTCTCTGAACAAATCCAGATCTCACATTCAGAGGAGGGCACTCCAGCTGGAAAGAGCATGAAAAATATAATGTTATGATGCCCACCCCCACCCCAGCATTCCCTCTAATAGTGAAATGGATGCCCCCCACTGAGCGATTTGGAAGCCAAGCAATTCCACCTACCAACAAAATGGAGGTTTCTGCAAAACAGAGATTTCCTTGTGAAGGTTTCTTCACTGACCACAGGAATGCAAGAGCCATGCTCAATCGGACCACAGGTCCATCTGTTCCAGCATTTTGCCCCTGCCGTGGCCAACCATCTACCCACAGGAAACCCACAAGCAGGTCCCGAGTGCAACAGCACCTTCCCACCCATGCTCCCCAGCAACTGGTGTACATAACCATCCTGCCCCAAGCGGCAGGGAGCAAAGAATGATTGAGACTAGCAGCCACTGGTATCTTCCTCCACCATGAGTTTGTCCAACCCCCTTTGAAGACATTATTCCATAGTCCCGTCACCACTCCCCTTCTTATGTTTCAGAAAAACCTCGGGACATCCAGGTCACAGTGGCCATATCGCAACATCAGCAGCAAGGTGAGATCCCAGCTCTGAATCTGGTTGCATGTGCCATCCGCCCTGTGCCCAGGCTCCCTTTGGGAACTTCAGGCTGGACAGCCAATAACTGCTCCTTGGCCCCAGGGTAGTGGGCAGGGGGCCATGCCAAGGAAAGGGTGCCTAGAGTGGACTCATATCTATCGAGACTGGCACAGCTGAGACAGAACGGGCAGCAAGAGAAGGGGTATCTTAAGAGCATTGCATCCCTTCCAGCAACCTTTTCCCATGTGAAACCTTGGCTCTGTCACCCCTACAAGGTGACATGGATCTTCAAGATATTTCTGTAAATATCATGGTGGGAGAATGTCCCACCACCCTGGTCTTAGCTCTCCTTTGCCTCTAAGCACCTGTCCCGAGATTGGAGTCCTGCAAAGCAGTTTGCTACTCTTGGCAATAAGGCTCCTGTCCCCTAAAGACCTTCCCACTGTCGGCATCCCTCTAAGGATAAGTGCCAAGGCTTCAAGGTGAGGTCTTTCGTCCCCTGCTTTGGGCCAGCTCCTCTGCCTGCCTCTCCATTTCACCCCTGTGAGGTAGGTAAGACTAAGCATCAGTGGCTGGCCCAAAGATCTTCCCATCCCCTGTCCAGCACATGAACCACCATCACACCCTGGCTTAAGTTCCTCCTTCCGACCATGTTTGGATTCCTGTCCCAAGGCAGGTACACCTGCGAGCTGGGCAAGGAGGTTTAGCTAAGCCAGGCCTGTGCAGGCTGACCCAGCCAGCTTTGCCAGTCTCCTCTTCTGCTGGCTGATGGAGAAAGGTTGTCCAGAGCCAGGCAGGCCCCAAGCTGTGGCCCCTGTGCTGTGTGTGCCTTAGTGGGTCAACAGTTGTGCAGGCCTGGTCTAAAGCACTATCCCAGAATAAGCACAAGGGCATCTTAACAGCAGGAGAGGCAAGCTTAGCCACATGCACCATCTCAAGGTTGTTGCCGAACGGTTCCGTTTCTCTTGTAGTCTCACATTTGCAGAAGAAGGAAGGGGATTTGGAGCCTGTGACTGTCCAGGAAGGGGACAGTGTCCACCTGCTCTGTCAGGCCAGTGGCAACCCTGATCCCGTCCTGACTTGGAGGAACCAGAATAAGACCTTCACGGAATCCCTTCCATTGGCCCAGGTTGGACTGGAGGCGGCTGGGGAGTACGAGTGCCAGGCAGTGAACTCACTCGGCTCAGCCAAGATCACCATTCAGCTGCTCGTGCAATGTAAGCAATGGGGGAAAGAGGTCTCTGTGGGGTGTTCAGTGGAGGGCGCCCGTCCATCCTCTGCCGAGTGTTTGAATCACAGCAAGCATTGCTCCTGCATTCTGCGAGTGTTGCTGCATTCCTTCCGTGAGAAGCGACACATTCTTTTGCAAGTGTGCTCTCAGTTGCAGAGCACAACTGGGTTGCGTTGCAGACTGCTGCCCCCCCCATCTCATGGAGAAGGAGTCCCACTGGGGCACCTGAAAGGCACACGTAGGCACGAGGTTTTCATGGACTCGAATCCCCTTCCTCTGATGCAGCTGCAACCTGAGAAGCGCAACTTGAACACTAAGTGGTTCCACTATAGAGCTAAGAAGTTCAGGGAGGATTGCACAGAGGTGTGGAAAAACCGTGCATCTCAACCACTGAACGGGATGTAGCGCCCGGCATTTCCGGATTTATCTGTCAGTTCAAGAGCACACACGGGCACACTTTTTAACTAGACAAGGACAACCAAGAATGTTGTGTGGAGCTGGGTCTAATTTACAATGGAAAGCTAGTGCAGGTAAGAGGAGCAAAACCATCCTCCGCTTTACCATTTCCTAGACGCATCACATCAAGCACTTTTCTCCAAGCTTCGCCTGAAGGAGGAAGCAGTTCAGGGTTCCTCAAGGCAGCAGAGATGAGGTTTCTGCTGGGGCATGGCAGAACAGGGCCTGCTCTTCTCCAGTTTACGAGATGGGATACATCTAGGAAAGATCACAGGTTCCGAACTGAGGGCCTCTTTCCTCTTGTGCTAATGCTTAGGAAGCTGCATGTGGTAGAGGTTGGAGCCACAACTTCTTCATAGGCTTGTCCTCCTTTCTCTCTTGAGATCTTCACAACGCACCATCTTAACTTTCTTGTGGTTCACTGGAACACGGGGCTCACATTCACTACTGCAGCTAATGCACGAAAATTCCTACTGACTTCTCATTCTAGGCCATTGCCACAAACCATCTTGTCTAAAAAGTTCTCATATTTCTGCTTCCTGCTTTTTATTGTTCCTTTTTCTATAAAACAAAGCATATCAATGGCCTAAAATGTTCCCCAAATCTTCTTAAGAGTAGTTCTACAGGGTACTTTTAAACCCGTAACCAAGGAGCACTGAGGTAAAGCTCTTTTTAAAGTTAGTAACCGAATCTTTTGTTATGCGGACACAAGGTCAGTGGCTCAAGCATTGCTATGACTGGACATTGCTATGCATTTGCTGGGGGCTAAAAGCCGGTCTTATGGGTCTTATGTTGATCGAAACTTCCTAAGGGAAATTTTCAGGCAGAACAAAGGTCTTTCATTGGCCTTGCCTCAGACATTTTTGCCTGGGCTAACGAAATGAGCCCAGATGGTGTTTTTGTTCAGGACAAGGGTTTAGAGAAAAGCGTCTGGCACAAAACCTATCTCTGCACTTGCTCATTGTTCCTTCAGGAGTGGTTTGAAAAGTGGCAGCAAGAGAGGGAGACTTCTTGGTGGCTGCCCCTCAAATATGCGATGCACTTCCCAGGGAGGCCCACCTGGCATCAAGAGGCTTTTCAGAGCCAGGTTTTAAGACCTTCCTCATCTCCCAGGCATTTGGCAGCACGTGATGACTCTTAATCCGGTCATGAGATATTGACTGGGGAAGGAAAAGGCTGATCATCACTTCCTCTGCCTCCAGCCCACGTGGTTTCTGTACAGGGAGGGAAGAACTAAAATCCTATTTTCTCCATGCAGCATGGAAGCCAAGTTAGCTGGCTGGACAGAGAGAGGGCAAAGGGACTGAATGGGCTCCAGCAAGAAATGCAATGGAGTGAAGATGGAGAGGCTTGCTCAAAAGTTAATTACTATTAAGTGGGTCTCATTTCCAAATGTGTGGGCACATGAGTGCATCTACCACAAGATGCACTTGTGTGCCAAGATCTACCCTGGGGGGGGGGGGTGAGGGTCAATCCCCTTTTCTTATTCTGAATATTATAGGATAGTCAGTGCTACATGCCTTTCACACTTGTAGAGTTATTATATAAGTACGGAATGTGAAATCTGTTTCTGATGTCCAGAAAGGGAACAGCGTGGCATTCTGTCAGTAACCTCCTTCAAAATACAGAGTGATTTGAAGACATAGATAATGATAGAAACAGAATAAATTATTCACAGATAAGTAAACAAGTATCATATTCTATTTGCAAAACGTTTTCTGATGACAGAAAATGGAAGGCAGCATTTTGATTTCTTCAGGGAGCGGGAGACATAGAAGGTGCACAGCCATCAGCTTAATGCTACACTATTTCTGGTGTTAAAGTGTGGTGCTATAAGCGTTTGATGTGCACAACAGATGGGGAAGTGCATTCCTCTAGAAAGTCGTTGATTGTTGCAGTTTGGACTTCCGTGAATCGGACGCCACAGTGGACCAGTGTTCTCTGAGTCACATGGATTCCATGGACTTGCAGACCAGGTCTCTGGGGAGTGGGTGCTTCACTAATTTCCATTAGTGCTCACGAGCACTTGAGCAAGTGTGCTAATCTAGAGTTAATGGGCCGGCACACACTGGGCGCAAGTAGAACAAAATTTGGGGGCAGGGGAAATTTATTCAGTCACTGAGTGAATGCCTGAATGAAATTTGCCTGACATTCAGCAAAGCATAAACAGAACAGATTTAATAAAATCTGTATATCATTGTTCACACCCCAAATTTCCTAGAAGATGGCCCTCTTTTGTCATCCAAAGGACCTGTAGTTTATCGGTGTAAAACAGCCTTCCTCAATCTGATAGCCACCAACCGTTTTGCATGACCACACCTATCAACCCTATTGGCCAAGTTGGTAGGGGCTAATGGGAGTTGTAGTCCAAACATGGAGGGCCCCTGGTTGGGTAGGCAATGGCTCTTTGCTAATTAACTCTTGGTCCATCTGTTCTAGATTCTCCAAGGACAATGACATTCCGTGTTTCCCGGGCTTCCAGGAAAAACCAAACACTCACCCGAGGTATCAGAGAGCAAAGGACAGCATACGATGCCCCTTCACCCCCTGCGATGACCATAGCTTCATCCAGAGGGTTGTTCATCTGTCGTGGAGGTGACTGACAGCTTGCTGTGATTACAGATGCCCCCCAGGAAGTGGCTGAAGGCTCCCAGTGGATGGCCGAGGAAGGCAGCTCGTTGTGGCTTCTTTGCAAGGCCGACAGCAGCCCTCCAGCCAAAGCACACTGGATAAAGGAAGGAAGGACCCTGGAGAGCTTCCCACATAGCTGGCTGGCGCTGACCAACCTGACAGTCACAGACGAGGGCAAATATACATGCCAGGCGGAGAACTTCCTGGGACTGATCTCGGGGACCTTCCATCTCTACGTAGCCCGTGAGTTGCCCAGGGTTGGGGTTACCTTCTGGGGCTCCCTGTTGCATTGAGAATGTTAAGAGGACTGAGTTCTGTGCTGCAGAGCATGCCTTGCAATGCAGTGCTGGTTCAACTCCTATCCCCTAGAGATTATCTCCTAGCAAAGCAGCTGCCTGGAGCAATATCCATATGTAGGGAAGCCAAATACGTTTTCCCACAGAGCCTTCCGTGTCTCTGGCAGGCAGAAATTCGGCCAGTGCAACTTCTGCCATGTTCGCAGTGCCACAGTGGGGAAAGCTTCGCCCCAGAGGCAATTGTTGGAATCATGCATATCATGCCTGCAAACTGAATCTCTATTTTCACTCTGAATCAAAGAGGCAGAGGCAGGATGGATGTGCTGATCCAGGCCAACCTGCTGAACTAGGCTGCTACTTCTGCAATAGAAGAAGGCCTGCTAGGAAGCCAGACAGTGGTGCCTCAGAGCTTTCCTAGATGAGGCAGCAATTGTGCACTTGTCATTTCCTGCCCACAGATCCTGCGGGTTCTCTAAATGATGATGCAACCCTCCAATTTTGCTTCTCATTTGAAGGAGCATTTCCAGTACATTGTTTGAGGGGAGCATTACTCCCAAGAGCGAAAAAAATACCCTTTCCACTTGTATATTCGCACCATTCCACTGTAGCACAGTGTAATCCAGAAAAGCATGATCGGAAGCAATCTTCTCGCAGGGCTCTGTCTTAGTTCTGCAGCAGACCTGAAAATAACCGCAGCTGCAATCCCATGGGTTGCCAGCTTTGGCCCTGTGAGTCAAGGGTCTGAAATCCTGTGATCCTGCGAAGGCCGTGCCCCCAGTCCCCTTGCAGCTGGCAAGGAAAGAACCAGACCGGCTGCCCCCATCGCCCAAGACCGCAAGAAGGCAGAAAGGGTAAGCTGGGGGGGGGGGGGGGGGAAGAATGCGGCTGCCTACATGAAACGCATGGTGCCAGGCGCAGTGGTGGCCGAGGCTACTATCACCACGCCTGCGCCCTGCATGGGAGATGCATAAGCCTCTGGGGCTTCTGCTATGTGCAGCAAAGCCACAGGGCATTGGACTGCGCCCACAGCGGATGGAGACTTTAGGGACCCTCTTCCTCATCTCACACTGCCTCTAGTGGAAGCTCTGCAGTATTGCAACGAGTGCGGCCACATCTGGATTGTGTGTGTGTGTGATATTATATTTACTGACAGCTAGTGTGGTGTAGTGGCAAAGAGCACGGGCGGTGGGGGCTCAGGTGATCTGCGTTCTGCTCCCCCTCAGCCATGGAGTCCACTTTCGACCAGCCACAGGCTCTCAGCCCGACCAACCCCACAGGGCTGTTGCGGGGAGAAGGTGGCGAGCAGCAGGAGGAGAATGAGGCGAGCTGCTGCGGGTTTTTTGTGAGAAAAGGTCAGGATGTAAATCTAGCAAATAAAAAAACAATCAAATGAATACAATTTCTATCCTGCCCAACAGGAAAAGTCCTCCAGGCAGCTCACAAAAGTTCATGCAGCTTGACATTCTTGTTTGTTGCTCTTGCTCCTTTCCAGATGCCCCAAAGGTCAGCCAAAACTCCCTGAGAAATACTACGTGTTGGTACAGGGACAAGGGCTTTGTCTGTGATTGCTCCCTGTCCTCCAAGCCTGGCCCCGAGATCCAGTGGCAGGTGGATGGGGAGCTGATCAGCGGGAGCAGCAATGACAGCAACTGGCAGGTGACTTCCTTGGTCCAGGAAGAAGAGGCCACCAGCTCCCTAAACTGGACAGGAAGCCTGGAGACTGATCACAGGATCACCTGCACTGGGAGAAATGCTTTTGGAGTCTGCACAGTGCAATTCCTGCTCAGCTCCTTGAAAAACTGCACCATCACCGCCTCCTCCACAGGTGGGAAACTCCGCCAGCTTTTGGATTGCAATGCACACCTGCCAAGGGTGAAAAAATTCACACAGGTCAACCTGCGTCCTGATCCTAAACACTTCTAACTCACAAGAAAGGTCTTACTTACGTCAGGCAGTGCTCCCTATATGCTTCGGGGTTCGGTCTCAGGCTCTTTACCCCCCCCCACCCCCCATGCCCTGGGGTCTAGAAGTTCCACTATTCTTTGCTCAGAATATCACTAATTCAAACTAGAGCATCTTGATATTTGCAGACACTCAGGTTGTGGTCCCAATTTTTATTTTAAAAGCAAAAAAGGGATTCTTTGCCCTCAGTTGAGGCAGGTCTGATCTGTAAACCTGAAAAAAAAAATCCAAGGGCTTCTCCACATGAGGCATATCCTGTGTACTTTTGATTCCTCGCTCATGGTCGTTTGCCACTGCGTGACACAATGTCATCACGCCCCTGGGCCTGGCTCATGTTTTCCAAGGATGTACATTTTGGGGTTTGTTCAGAGTGAGGAAATTGAGCTATTAATGGGCTGTTTTGCTAAATCATGCTAAAAAAAAAAAACCCCTTGAATTTCCACAGCTGCGCTATGCTTTGTGGTTGTAATATGGAACATGGAGGAAGGCAGAGAGGAAGAAAAAGCACCAAAGAAAGAAAAAAAGGCCCAGGGAAGGGAACCAAACTTAAACCTGCAAAGATTCCGGAAATAGAAGCCTTGGCAAAGTGGCAAGTTAAAAGGCTCATAGAGAAGCCCTAAATAGCCACCTGTGCCGTTCTGTCCCTGCAAACTTTCAGGTGGCCTCTTAGAACAGGGGAGGGCAGCCTGGCGGCTCTCAGCAGTCAAGTGCCTGCCGAGAACCTGCCCCTCCCCTGCTGGTACGCTGATGGAAGTCAGAAGGAGAAAAGGAAATGAGAGCAGCAGACAGAGGCCAGGGCATGACAGAAAGGGCTGATCCGCCCACTGTTGGCTATGGGCCACCATGTCATGCAAAACGGCATGTGGCCCTCTGAGAAGGGGGTTGCCCACTTCCGCTCGGCAAGGAAGCCCTGCTGAGTCTGGGGTCCATCCCTTTTGGATGCGCCCCCTTTGCATTGCCCACTTACCCCCTCCTGTGCTCCAATCCGCACTGCCAGCCAGAGGGAGGTGGCAAGACAAGCCGCGTCTCCTGTCCCCTTGCCTGGCTTTCCTTGCAGAAAAAGAGGAAGAGGCAAGGACTGCGAGGGGAGGAGAGGCCCTCAGGACACGGCAGCGGCCCAGCTGGGGCGGGAGTCTGGGAAGGTGCCCCGTGATGCCAGGTGCCGGCGCCGGCCCAGCGAGGGGATGTGGCTCATTCGATCAGCTCCGCTCTTGAAACTTCCCATTTTTACCCGCTGACCCCAGCATGGGGGCACTGGGCAAACGTGGCCAGAGGAAGACGGATCACCCCTCGACACTCACGGGGCCTGACACGGGGGAACTTGAGCCGCTGAGAGCTAAGAAGACCCTTCTGTGGCACCTGCCAGCTTGGGTGGCAGGAGAAGAGAGAGCGAGGCTTCGCCGCTGCAAAGGGCAGCAGCCGATCTGCCCCGCGAGAAGGAGGAACGTTTGCACGGGGGTGGGAGGGCTGGGGCCAGGGCTCAGCGCCCCGTCTCCCCTCAGCTCTTGGCTTTACCATTGCAGGAAGCCCTGCGCCTTGGTTCGTCTCCGGGCTCTTTGGGGGCTGGCTGGCAGCCAGCCTCATCCTGCTGGGCCTGTGGATGCTCAGGTGGGTTTCTCTGCTTCTGCCCTCATGTGCCTTGTGCCGGTTCTCCCCCACTCCCTGGCCCGCTCCGGCTTGTCAGCCATTGAAGGCCCATCCCGGTACAGAAGCAGCCCTGGCAAGCTCAGTACAGCCTTATCAGCCAGCCCAGCAATGGCTTTCCCCATCCTGGAACCCTGCAGCTGTGTTGGCAATGGTGGCTGGGGATGATGGGAGCTGCAGACTTGGCTTGGGCATGCTGGGGACTGTGGGATTATGTATTTATTTTGTCTAAACATGCATAGGATTGCACCTGTAAGCAGACATGAGCTTTGCTCAGGTGCTCCTAGGCAGGGGTTGGAAATCTGTGGTCCCAAGATCTTTTGGCCTGCAATTTCCATCATTCCCATTGTCTGTGCTGGTTGGAGTGGATGCAGACCAAAGCATCTGGAAGGCCAGGAGTGGCCCACCCTTGCTGTAAATGAAGAGAAAGAGAGAGGCACCCAATGCAGGTGTTCTTGTCCGAGAAAAATTCACTAAAATGAAGCATGAGACTCTTACAGTGTTCTGGTCAATTTTCTGTTAGGTTTCATAACCAGAAGAAAACCCACTCAAAAGCAAGCAGCGTCGGACCTGTAGATCTCACCAATGGAGAACATCAGAGAGCGAACAGCAGCAGTCTGATCTACAGCAACATTTTACCTGGGGTAGGTGTTACAGCTTTGCACTCCAGCATCCATCTTCTCAGCCACTAGAGAGAAAGCAAATAGCTCCTGGATGCTTAATCACAGCGAGCACCATGCTCTGTGTTTCAGATGGCTTAAATCTGGAGTAAGTACCAGCTAGAAGGCATGTCCAGTGGTGTCATTCCATCAGCACAACTAACATTGCACTGGGGGGGGGGGGGGAGGCAGCATTCCAAACGATGTGCAAGAGCAGAATCCGCTTAAGGTACATTTGTGCAAGCAGCTATGCATTGCAGTTGCACAACTGGTGGTGCATCGCTCTTGTGAAGCCCACTGAGAAACTGGCTGCACACTCCATTTCCACAGCTTGATGTTTAATAGTTGTGCAGCTGCTTGCAGAGACATGAAATGCAAACGCCTGTTTGATGGAAAGATTTGAATCTGCACAATGGCGCCACTGCTTGGGTGGGACCTTGGGGTTTACTGCTCAAATGAGGTGTAGAATATTAGGCGAGCATTAGCCAGAAGCAAGACTCCCCCCCCCCCCGCAGAACATGTTCTCAAAAGTGGCAATAAAAAACTTAAATCCAACGATTTTCTGCATGAACACCCCCTTCATCATAAGCAGTAGAGATCGTCAAAGCATCACTATTCAGTGGGGATGGAGGAAAGAGAGAAAAAACTCAACATACTCTCCTTACACAAGAGCTCCCTGTAAGGGGCAGACCATACAGCCCATGCTCTGAAGTCAATGGGGCTCAGCTTTGAGCCCCTGGCCTCTCTAGCTAAGTAGGGCCCAAGAGAGACCTGGGCTAGCAATCCCATTGCACAGACCCCACGCAACTGTCCTAACCAGTCAATTTTCAGACCAGCTTTCTTTATTCACAGAGGAATTAGGTCTTCACAAGTAATGCCCCTCATGTGTCAACAAGACCAGCATCTTTGACCCAGCACTGCTCATGTTCCTCCCAGACTGCAGATTTAGTCCTGTATTCGAAATCAGGAGCGTTCCCTAAACTGTGCATTTCTGTGCACATCCGTGCAAAGATAAGCCCTGCAGAGTTCAGCAGAACTTCAGAACTCTTCTGCTTGCTAATTGGTTCTTAAAGGCAGGGGGAATCAGCGCGCTCTTGCTGCTCTTTGAACGTCCGGTGCTTTGGGCTCAATCAGCTAAAATGTTGTGGTCATTTTTGTATTTTCATGTATGATGATTCACGACTTAATAAACATTGAAAGCAAACATTTTGCTATGTTTTAAGACCAAGCAGGACCAATCAGTAAATGTTAAGGCCACTCCACTCCCTTGTCCAATTGCAATTGCTCAGCAACTGATAACTTGCAAAGCTTATCTTGATTAAGTTGGGAAAACAGTCCTTGTGAGAAGCTCTGTGTTAAGGTTGTCAGCCCAGATGTTGCGGAGGTGACCGTTATTGTCCAAAACCCATGCAGGACAGATTTTGCTATTTTTCTTGTGCTGTTTGCATATGCAGTGGCACAGTGGTATGTTTGAAGTGGAGGAACTGATGGTGACAGTCTTGGAGCCCATCCCCAGGAGGTACATTGGTCGACCAATGCTCTACTTTTCTATTATTTATACTCTAAGCAGTATAAAAACTGTTTTAAAACTCCACCATGACACTCATGTGGGGTTGCATGGCCTGCAGGACAGGGCTTCAGTCCTATCCATAGTTACCTGGAAGTAAGCTGCAACGTACACATTTCTGCTTTTTTCTGACTGCAGGGGTTTGGTTTGTAAAACACAATGGCCTTTAATAAATGAAATTGAGGCAGTTAAAACACAAATCATGTTTTAACCCTCCTGCAAAGAGGCTTGGCTGAATTAGGAATTCCATCCAAAAAAAGAGGGAAAAATCCATTTAAGAAAGTGTGTGTGTGTGTGTGTGTGTGGGGTCATTTTCTGACTCCCTGCATGCTGATTTATTACCAGTCGTAGAACCATCAGTTCATTGACTTGCCAGAGTAAGGAAGCTCCACCAGTTAGCCAGGTGGTAAAGCAGGAGACACCTTGGCCCCTGCTCTGAAAAGACCAGGCGCTGGGCTTCCTCACAACCAGCACAGGTCATTGTCAGTTCCATCCCTGCACCCATCAACACCATCCCAGGGTGAATTTGCCACTGGGGAAATGGGACTGAGTTTTCCCACAGCATCATTTCTTTCTCTCAGGCTCCAAGAACACACCTTGTTGGCCCGTCCAAAGCAGCTGAGGAGAGAAGTCCTAAACCTGGCCCAGTCCGCAGAATTCCCAGCCCGAGAACAGCTGATCCAGAGCAGCTCCATTACGCATCCCTGGCATTCAACCTGAAGAGCAGAGGAGTCCCCACACCAGACGAGGAAGCCACAGAATATTCAGCAATCAAATAGAAATAATGCTCTTGTTCCTCAGCAGCCCCCCCATGGGGGAGGCAGGCGATTCAGGGACGGGCACAGGTTGCTCTGCTAACCATGCAAGACTCCAATGGATTCAGTACTTCCCAGTGCAGAAGGAAAACTGGGGTGGATGCAGTTGGAAGAACAACTCCCCTCAATACACCATCAAGTTCCCACTCCTGATGGGCTGAGGAGAAAAAGCCTTGGGGCACTCCAGAGATGGATGGAGAATTCCATTACGGCAACTCGCTTACCTTGGTATCATATGCACGCCTCACCTGGGAAGGAAGGATCAGAAAGAGATGACTGTGGGCTCATCCAACTACCTTATGCATCATAAGCTAAACAGAACCTGCCCATGTGCCCGGGAACTGCCCATTTCCTTGATTAGCTGAGCTACTCTGATGTCGCAGAATGTTCTCTGGAAAGGCAGGAACTGCCAACACAAAAGTATTCATGTACATTGCACCATCTCCTAAAACTTATTGTGGCTCAAACAGTTCATCTTGCAAAGCATGTGCACTTGGAGGTGTCCATAAACACAGATATGTTTATTTTATCCATTTCTATTTTTCTAAATATTTTCAGTCACTATCCCTATTATTTCTGGCTTTGAGGGTATCATTCTTTCATGTATCTATCTGATAAACTTAGATGCTTTTTATATGGTGCAGCAATTCCATAGGGTTACTTTCTATGTCTGTGGTTTGATTTGCAAACGCTGTCCTAGTTCTTATGAGGATCACCTCTATAGCTCTTGTTATAGGTCTTTTCTTATTGCCACATGGAATGCTACCTTTAGAGACCATAACTTGCCCAAAGTGACGCAGTAAGCTAACATCTGTAGGACTGAACAGCACCCATGATGCTTACGCCAAAATAAATTGGTTAAACTTTAAGGGGCTGTAAGACACTTTCATGTTCTTACAGTGAGCTAAGTGTGCAATTAAAGCTGAAGACCAAACCTGTTGTGAGCTTGTCCATTGGGCTCTAAGGCAGGGGAAGCGGGTGGGGTGGGGTGGGGTGGGGTGGGCGGAATTGGCAGGTCTATGCAGTGGCATATGCAGGGGAGGGAAGGAGAGGGGTGGAAATCCAACACACACCTGGGAGCAATTGTCCAGAACCAAGGTTCTTCCTTCACACATTCAAAAGCCACAGACCTTCTTTCCATGACAGTCTCTGCTCCCCTAAAAAATGCTACAGAGGGTGTTGGGGGACCCTCGTATATGGGGTGAACCTTAACAAAGTGGGGAGAGGGATCTTTCAGAATTTGGTGGAAGCACCTTCCATGAGCAGCACCCTTCTGCCAGTGGAAGACCTCGAATCTAACTGGTTATCTATATTCTTTGCAGAGCAGAAGCTTTACTTATGATTAGATGAAGATTTTTAAAGTCTTTTGAATTCTTGCATGTATGCTCTCTGTGTGTGTTTTAATAAAGTTGTCATTCTTTCTCCAAGCTTGTGGACATAAGGTGGGTTAGGGTCTGAAACAACCCACCCTTTTTGGCAGCTTTTCCCATCACCATCATATCTTCACCAGCCATATGCAAAGTAATCAATTTTTAGAATTATTCTTAACATTAAATGTGCAACCATAATAAAATTGTATCAGAGCAGCCAAAGGGGGCATTATCACAGGAAAGTGGTCCTCAGCTCAAAAACCAGAGTTCACAAAGATGGCAAAACCACAATAAATCAGCCCTACTCTGCCTGTTCCCACTTCCGCATGTTTAATTGTGGTGTTACGCCAGGTAATCTTGGGGGAAAATGCACCTCAAAAGGAGAGATGTGGCCTCCAGATTTCCTTGAAAAGTTCGGGATCTTTTGCTGGGGTGTAATGTGCACAGCCACAGAGAGCAAGCCCTTGTTTTGCATACACATGTGCGCGCGCACGCGCACACACACACACACACACACACACACACACCATTCAGAACCCAGCCAGGAAGCGATTCACTTTCCCATGCACAGCTGTTCTCCTTCAAGAGATGCAGAAATTTCTGAATTTGGGAGAAATTCAGAACCCAGAGTGCAGGACAGCTCCTCTGAACTTCCCACTGTGTCTGAAGAAGGGAGACTATTGTTCTCTGCCCTTCACATCCCAGAGAAGATCCACAACCCCACAGTAGATCTATGCACTTCTAGCCTCCAACAGACAATTCTCTATTCTCTCTCTCTCTCCTCCTCCTCTTCCTCCTCCTCCTCCTCCTCCAACAGCCTCAAAGCTGTTTCTTCACACATTCTGCTCCCTTCTTTAGATGTATTGCCCTTGTGTGATGCTCTCTTCACTCTAAACATACAGGACAACACTGTACAAAGTAGATCCATCTGTGTACTGAGCTCCTCTAAAGACTTGTGGTGTTCCATTCTGCATGTGGCACCCTAAAGAGCAGAAGCTTTTGCAGAGTGTGAAATTCAGAAGTCCACTCTGGTGTCTGAGAAAACTCGGGCCAGAAGCATTCATGCTACTGGGATTCAGAGCATGACATACCTCTGCATCATCTATCCAATGATTAAGAGACATTAAATGACCATTAGGGATTTTATTTTCTATTTATTGAAGAGTTAGAACCTGTTGACACTTGTGCAATACAGAAAAAAATCTATTCCATAAAAACAGCAATAAACACTAATGTCAGGGAGACAAAAGGCAGCATTTAAAAGTGAAACAGAGCATCTACCAGAACCCAGGAAAACCTTCTGGAATAAAACTGTTCATCAGCAGAAGAGGGAAAGGAAAGGGGACAACCACATTCCACAGGCCAAGGTGTTCCCTGATCTGGCTGCGCCTGTTTCTCGTTCCTGTTTCCGCTCTATATGGGATGCAGAGAAGGGCATCTCCTTCTGAACTTTGGGAGCATGTGGGGTGTGATCAGAAGAGGAGCTCCCATGATCAGCAATCTGGTGCTGTCCAGATGTTTTGGACTACAATCCCCTAAGCCACAGCCAGCACGGACAAGAGTCATGGATTCTGAAAACTCTAACACCAGACATCTGGAGGGGTGCACCTTTCCTAATGTATTTGGGGCCAAAACCATTTAGGGCTCTAAAGGTAATCGCCAACACCTTGAATGGTACCTGGAAATAGATTGGGTGGTCAGCAGTGCAGCCTGCAATTAAACAGTCCCCCAGGTGTTGCGAGTTCATTGTTTATTCTGTATTCCTTCTCCCACCCAGTGGTTGCCAGGATGTTAAACAGCAAATATTGGACAAAGAGCTGACATCTGACAACACAAGCATCATATAACTGATGAAACCCGGCTAAGAGATTTTTGAATTAAAATGGTCAGTGCTGGGGAAGTTTTAACCTGGAGCTGAAAGAATGCAATGGACTGGTTTAAGAAGCATTTTCCATGACCAGGGTGCATTACCCAAATAATCTTCATCTCCTGTTTTGCCTTATATTTGGGAAGGGCTCTGTCACTGCAGTTTTGTCTGGACGAGTCAGGAAAAGAGGAATAGCGGAGCATTAGCTAAACTGATTATTTGGACGAGGGACGGATGAGGGATCTGTTGGATTCCCTGGCCTCAGCTGCCTGGACTTCACTCTGCTTTGGTGCAGCTGTGAGTCCTGGGGAGCATGTCCAGTGTTCACAAGAAATGGGGCTTGGCACAAGTGCTGGCAGAGCTCTTCTCTGCCCCACATGCCTTTGCTTGTGCTGCTTTCATTCTGGGAGTGTTTGTGGAATCGGGTCATTTTATCAGACAGGGCTGATCGAGAGGAAGTCTACGAATGCTGGAGAGATGGATTCCAACATACTGCTACCCTGGAGGAATAGTGCTAAATCTGACGGGTTTGTTTTCCATAACTCTCACATTGTTTCCAACCATGCATGCATTCTGCCTCATTTCCACATCAGCTGGTGTTTTGTTTTTTGCAAAAGCCCCCACAAAAAATAATTTGCATTTTATTATTATTATAACATTTCTATGCCGCCCCTTGCCGAAACCTCAGTACACATGAAAATCCATACACACCTTTGCATATATAGTTTATTTGGGTATTTTTACCATGTCCAATATGTTGCGGGTCTCTGGACGGCTTACAAGTCAAAATCCAATAAATACATATAAACCCAAATAATACAAAATAATCCATGACTGAGCATAAAACATAGTTAAAATATTAACATTAAAATTACGGAAAAATAAAAAGGTCTTGACCTGGTGCCAAACAGCATATAATGTCGGTGCAGAGGACTGGTGTCATATGAGAATAATGATCGGCTTCCAAAAACAATCTGGCAGCTCTGTTCTGAACCAATTGAAGTATCTGGACCATCTTTAAGGGCAGTCCCACCTAAAGCACATTACAATAGTCCAACTGGGAGGTTACCAGAGCGTGTGTCACTGTTGCTTGGCAGTGATCGTCCAGATAAAGATGCAGCAGGTGGATCAGCCGAAGCTGAAGGAAAGGGACAGCTCCGGGTCGAGGAGCACTTCCAAGCTGCGGACCCTGTCCTTTAGGGGGAGTGCAACCCTGTCCAGGACAGGGCCAAAATCACTTACTTGAAAACCTGAACCACCTACCAAAGGGACCTCTGTCTTATCTGGATTGAGTCTGTTTGTTGGCCCTCGTCCAGCCCGACACCTCAGCCAGGCACCAGTTCAGGACAACCACTGCCTCACCTGGATTGGTGGAGAACGAGAGGTAGAGCTGGGTGTCATCAGCGTACTGACGACTCCTCAGCCCAAACCTCCTGATGACCTCTCCCAGTGGGTTCATGTAAATCGTAAATAGCAAGGGGGACAACAAGGAACCCCATGGTACTCCAAGGCAGAATTGCCATGGCACAGCGTCCTAGTCCCCCAGCATCACCTTCTGGAATCAGCCGGCCAAATAGGGGTGGAACCACTGCCAAGTGGTGCCTATTCTCCTAATAAAATCATTTTCTTTGACAAGAACTTCCCCTTAACTCTATAATGATATTTCCCTGATGCAAGCCTGTTTGTAGATAATTTTCCACACACAGACATTTTTGTGAAAACCAGAAGGGCATTGCCTTCCAGTTTGCGCATTAGTTCAGGACATGTGGGATGAAATTAACTCAAATTACAATGTGAAATATCTTTCAGTTTGACTGACTGCCATTTAACCCTCTGAATATATCAGTAACTTGTTTAAAATATCACTTCCCTTTAAAGGAATTTCACTGGAAAGGACAATTAGTTACTTACTTGTACAGTTGCTTTTCTCAATTTATACAGATTTGTAGAAAGACCTAGTTAAATTTGAAAGTATTTTTCTTTTTGAAGACTATGATAAGCAGAGGACAGCAAATCTGAAAAAAATATTGGTTCGCTGCCATTAAAATAGGTTTACTTATGGTGACCCATGACCAGTTTTTCAAAGAATCACTTTAGTTTGGTAATCTTTCTTAGGATCGTTTTATATTAGATGAATTTTGTGGTTGGTACGGATAGATAGAAAGATAATTGGCTCATTCAAAACACGGTGCTGGAGGAGAGCTTTGCAAATACCCTGAACTGACAGAAAGACAAACAAGTTGGTCCTAAATTGAATCAAACCAGAACTTTCAGAATAAAAAATACTGAACCTAAAGCTGTTGTACTGAAGCTAGGGAAAGTTGAAGGCGGAAAAGGAAGAGGAAGACCAGCTTATGAGATGTCTCAATTCATGAAGGAAGCCAGAGCTTTGACATTACAGGAACTGTGTGGGGCAGACAAGGCATTTTGGGAAGTACTCATTCTTAAGTCTGCCATTAGTCAGGGACAACTTGATGGCACCCAACAACAGCAACAAGCAACAATATGAGTTAGACAATATCATATCTGCTCTGTGGAATTTTGTTAGCTTCAGCAGCTCATAATAGATGTACATAAAACTTCTATTCCATTCTAATGCAAGCCAAACACATTTCTCTCTTCCCCCCTCATTTGTCTCTTTTCTGCAAAAGTTCTGGAAAGGCATCTTGTCCAGGGCAAGGACAAGTAGAGGCATCTGACTTGGAACCAGAAGGGCTGGACATTGATTCACTTTTTCTGAAAAAATCCTTCTGTATTAGCTCTTTATTTTCCCAGTCAAGCCACACATTTCACTATCTGCGAGTTCATAGATGTTGCAACCTACCATAACCATTTGCAAAGGGTAACCACTTCTGCTTTTTGAAGGTACTTAGTTCTGGGAAACTCTTTCTTTCCTGAATTACAGCGCTGGTAAGAGGACAAGATGACTAAACTGATACTTTAACTCCAGGAAGGCCACAACTAAGACTGGTGCCAGAACAGAGAGGTAAGAATATTCCTCTTATTGCTGAGGTTGGTTCAGACAAAGCCAACAATTTGTAATTTTGAAGAGTTGCCACTGAGATTAAATGAATGTTTGAAGCACCTAACTTTGGCTGGATTTCATTTCCAAAGATTGTTTGCTCGATTGTTCATTATCAGTTTCCTTCTCGTCTACTGACCTTTAGCTTGGCTGGACTGTCTAAGGTTCTAGCTTGTTATTAGTTATTCTGAAATCTCTTTGTAATGTGACAAGGGACTGCCTGTATAACGTTGGGAATTGAGTCAAGCGTTTTTTCTTTTTCTTCTTAGTCATGCTTCTGCCTTCCCACTGGAGAAAAATTTATATAAAGTGCTTTTCTCTACTGTTTGCCTGTGTTAGAATATGCAGGCTTCTGGGACTGTACAGGTCTCCACATCATGCAGAATCCTAAAAAGCTCTGTGTAACTTGGAAATCCACCATGCTTGCACTTTGTCTAACATCAGGCTACATTATCAGATATGGATGCTATCATACCTGTTCTTCCTCTTGACTTGACTATCAACTTAGCCCTGCCCAAATACTTTGGCTTATGTGAATTGTATGTCTGCTAATTGGGGTGGGGTTGGGGTGGGGGTGGGGTTGGGGTGGGGGTGGGGGGTCTAGAAGAGACCAGAATTGTGACAAGAAGCAGAGCAGACTCAAAGACATGTACTGTCTTCTGGAGGATACCATGTGAATCGCCCCTCAGGCTGGCCTCTTAGATGCTGAAGTGGGGAATACATCCTGGGTTCTCAGTCTGGCTTTCCAGGAGGGAGACCCAATCCAGACTTCCTGATCTCGTCAAACAAACCAGGGTGGAAAACCTGTGCTGATGCAATTTCCAGACAAGCTCATGGAAGGGTCTCCTGGAGCTAGCAAGTCTGAAAAACAGATTTTGTTTAAAGGAAAAAAGTTGTTTTCTTATAAAAACTAAATATAAAAAACTCCTATACCTATATTCTTTTAACAAAGCAAGAGAAAAGCCCTTGGCTTTTCATTTCATTCGTTTATTTTCCTCAGAGCAAAATTTGTGTAGATACAAATTGTGTATTCCACAGATGGACATGGATAGATTCTTTATGGTACTACAACAATTTCTCTTTTTGAAGGGATCTAATTTTTATCAAAATCACATGTTTTGAAATCCAGGCCTGCAAATAGGAAGTGGCCACTTACAGCAAGCAAACAGAAAACCTCACTGCCTTGAGAAATCTATGTGCCAGGAAGAGGACTGCGTGGTTTGCATTCTCTCTTTGGGTCTTACAGCTCAGTCCCAGGCCTATTACGCAAAAGTAAATCTCTCCAAATTCAGTGGGATTTAGGCTGCAACCCAATGCATGCTTAGCTGGAAGCAAGCCCCACTAAACTCACTGGGGCTTACTTCTGAGTAGACATGCCTGGGACTGCACTTTTTCTTGCTGGAGACAGGTTTAGAATTATAGCCAAAGAAGGAGGGAATACCTTCAGTGTTGGCAGAGCCCAGCTATGCTTCCTTTAGGGGAAGGAAGAAAATAGATCTGAAAAACAAATACCATTCCAGTTTCCTTCTGCTTTCATGGGTACGACAGTGACCATCCATGATTTGTTTCTCAAAAAGGAGTGAGAAGTTATGCTTAGGAGATATAGAATGCTGTGAGGGTCGACTATTCTAGGAAAACATTTCAGGGTTTTTGGTCTGGAAGGAAGGAAAATAGCAGGGTGTGTTTGGGAGAAGTTTATAAATTTTTTTATGGAGGAAGTAGATAGAAGAATATGTTGCCTCCCATCTCTCCTTTTGCCTGCACTTCTCGCTCATAAATTGAGTGTTGGGTTCTTCTAAATCCTGGTAGGCTAACTCAATTAGTGAGGAAATACCTCTGTTCCTATCAGCTGCAGAAAAACTGAAATAATGGTGCCCATGTGTTTCTGAAGGGGCCCACCTAAGCATCTAGTCCCACAGAGTCAAGTCCATGCAGACTGTAGTTGTCAAACCAGATTTCCTGAATGGTTCCTCCATCAGATATATTTGCATGTTTAAACAGACAGACCTGGCTGACCTGAATTGTCAAGAATTTGCTAGACTGACCTATCAATACAGCAATCAGTATTGTTTTTCATATTATTGTTACCGATATTTCTGATCGGTTTAGAACATTACATCATGCCCAAAGACACCAGGATGCTATTGCACTCACATTATCTGGAAACTCAACACCCTGTATTGGTGTATGTGACTAGCAGGTTATAAAAGTGGCTGTACATGGGCTGTGATTATGCAGTTGGCAGTGAGAGCCACCACCCGGGAGCATGCTGTCGAAAGTGAATGCAGGAGTCCTGGATGATCTTTCAATAACACTGTTGAGGTCCAAGGCGAAAGGGGGCTTTCCTGACTGAACCTGGTTATCTTTGTTGCGGCTGCCATGGAGGGTTTCCTGACACTAGAATCAAAATCAGACTGAACAATGAACAGAATGGTGGGAGATTCAGAGCAGGCAGATAGAGAATATCTTAAAACATGGGGCATAGTTACACTATGGAACTCACTGCCACAGGATGCTGTTGTGACCACTACCAACCCAGATGGCTTGAGAAGAGGGATTAGGTCTTTCAGGATGATGGGTGCATATTATTTCCAGCGTCGGAAGCAGCCCGGCTGCAGATTCCAGTCGCTGGGTTGGAAGGAAGGCAGGGCAACTTCTCAAAGCCACTGCCAGGGGCCCAGCCGTGCCCCTCTTTCAACCACCTGCCCTGTCCGAGCACCAGATCCCCCAAATTCTTCCATGAAAAGATCTCTAAAGTTTTTGTAAAACCATCCCAAGATGCTAGTAGTTGGCCGGGATATAAAAGCTTCAAATAAACAAACAAACAAACAAACGAAAGGGAGCCATTTTGGTTATGTGATGCCTTCCCTATGCAAAGCACATAACTTGTTAGATTCCCAAAGTGGTTTCTTCTGTTTTCTTTAGGGAAGGAAGAAGCAAGAGTGGCCTTTTGTATGAGGGCTGGCTCATCGGTCGTTTGGAGCTTTCTGTTGGCTGCCAGCATGATTTGCCGTGTTCTTGCCAGACGGCTTTCCCTGCAGCGTACTGAAGAGTAACCTCGCTGCCCATTTGTTTCAAGGCATTGTTCAGGTGCAGGGCTGGTTATACCCTTTAAAACCTTGAAAGCACGATCCGGTGCATATGTAGACTGCATGGATGCCTGGGGAAAGCCGGGCGTTGTAGGCTCTCTGGATCAGCATGCATAGGATTGCATCCTACACAGGCTAGGCTTGGGGCACCCAGAGGACTCTCCACACCTAGTTGAACCTGTATTAACTGGCATTAACATCCTCACGGGAGGCAGGGAACGAAACGGCCCCTTCGTTTAATGTGGTGCGAACAAGGCCAGGCCTTCTGGTGGCTCCTTCCCATTCTTTGAAATGGGGGCTGCTTTCCCAGTCTTTCTGTGGTGTTTAATGACTTGTGCAGAGCTGGGCTGCTGCTTCTCAAGGGGCGTTACCTGCAGCGATTTCTCTGCGTTTTCCCATAACTATATTGGAATAGCCACAGCAGCCTTAACGCAGTGCTAGGCGCTGCCTTGGCCATGTTGTGTTGATAGATGGGAGAAAATGTTCAAGGAAAGGAAGGGAAAGTTGCGGGGGGGGGCTTGGTGAGTTCCCCCCATTCCCTAAAACCATGCCTGGGGGGTCATGCAGCCTCAGAGTCCCTGCCACGGATAAGCCTGCAAGTCACACTGCTGCTGCTGGAGAGAACGGCTGTGGGAAGGGCTCCTACGGATGTCCCAGTGCACGGCATGGAGCTCTCCATGCGGGCGGGGGGCAGATCCTGCACCAGTCAGACTTTTCTGCCACTTAGAGGAGCCTTAAAGAGAGAAAATTCATTTTTGCTGTGTGCAGGCCACTCCTGTAAGTTTATATAAATAGCATGTATATTAGTACTTGGTTAGTACTTGGATGGGAGACCGCCTGGGAATACCGGGTGCTGTAGGCTTTTTTTTTCCAGATCCAAAAGGATCTGGACAGGCTATGGAAGTGGGTAGGAGACAACAGGATGGCATTCAATGTGGTTAAGTGCAAGGTCTTGCACTTGGGGCATAGGAATGGGTGTCATAAGTACAGGTTAGGTGACAAGTGGCTGGAGAGCAGCACTTGTGAAAGGGACCTCGGGGTGCTGGTTGACTGCAGGCTAAACATGATTCAGCCATGTGATGCGGTGGTCAAGAGGGAGAATGCCACCCGTGGTTACATAGCCAGAAGTGTGGCTTCTAGATCAAGAGAGGTATTACTACCACTCTATACGACTCTGGTGCGCCCACAACTGGAGTATTGTGCTCAGTTCTGACCCCCTCATTACAGAAAGGATATAGCCAGGTTGGAGTCAGTGCAGCGTAGGGCCACAAGGTTGGTGGCCAGTTTTCAGGGGATGTCATATGAGGCGAAACTGAGGGAACTGGGTTTCTTCAGTCTGGAGGAGACTCAGAGGGGAAATGTTGGCAACGTACAGGTATGTGAGGGGATGTCACACGGAGATGGGTAGAGCCCTGTTCTCCCCTGCAAAGGAAGGCAGGACACGCTCCAACGGAGCAAAGCTCAGGGAGCCAAGGTTCAATTTGGATGCCAGGAAGCACCTCCTGACAGCCAGGACCCCGAGGGTGTGGAATGGGCTTCCACGAGAGGTCGTTGAGGCTCCATCAATCTGGGTGTTCAAGAATAGGCTGGACGTGCACATGGTGGGCATGTCGTGAGCGGAGCCGGCTGGTGCCGGAGGTCAGACTAGATGGCCTGGGAGGCCCCTTCTGACTCGCGCTGTTTCTATGTTTCTATATGTACAAATTTACTGAATACCAATTATATATATATTAAGTTTGTAGAAGTTTAAATAAAGTTTTATAAATGGTTTATTCATAAAAATAATCTCTCTCTCTCTCTCTGGCATGGTTAGCATCTGTGCCATGGGAATTTCCTACCGTAAGGTGTGGCAGGATGGTGAGGGAGCCACTAGCGCTGCAGCATGTCGGGGCAGAGATGCCCAGGGAGCCCTCTCCTTCTCATTGCGTTTCCACCTCTCTCTCTCCTTTCCTCAGGATCCCGCGGGGCTGGAGGAAGAATCACTGAAGTCCAGGGAGGAGGAGAGGCAGGAAGGGAAGATGGGCCGGTCCCTCGGCGTCCTGATGCTTGGCCTGGCTTCGGCATGCCTGCTCTGGGAGGGTAAGGCTTGGCGGAGGGGGCGGCAGTCACATCCTGTGCGAACAGCACTGTCCGTTCTGGGGATTCCCGGGATTTTCCGGCCATGAGCAGGGAGGCAACCTGGATGCTGCCCTCTGCCTGGATGATCAGCGTCCTTCCCTCTTCCCCCTTGCAGGTGCACAATGCCTGTTACGGAATTACTGGCTGACGGCCCCTCCTGCTGTCTCCGTGCCGCTGGGACTCTGTGTCATCATCCCCTGCAATTTCACCTATGAACAAAGGCATGCGGACAGAGATGCCCCTTTGTATGGCTATTGGTTTGAAGCAGAAAGTGTTTACACAGGGGCTCCGGTGGCCACCAACAATCCAAGGAAAACAGTTCAAAGCTACACGAGGAATCGCTTTACTCTCTCGGAACATCTGGACCAAGGTGACTGTTCGCTCACCATCAAGAATGCCAGGAAAACTGATCGAAAGCAGTACATTTTCAGAGTGGAGAGAGAGCCTCGTGCAAAATTCACTTACAGTTTTTATGCCGTGCCCTATGTGAATGTAACAGGTGAGCGCTTGTGGGGCTGCCTGCTCTCTGCCCAAGCCCCGGATTTCGGGCGGGATACGCCACGCACAGCAATAAAACACGAATGAGCCACGACTGTGAGGCAGGATCAGGCAGGCACCCCGCTCTCTGCATGTGACCCACGGGGTGCCGCAGGCAGAGGAGCCCCCGGGTGCCACGCGGTGCTCTGGGGAAAGCTTCTCCCACCTCCTTGCCTCTGATCCTGGTGCCTTTGCAAAGCCAACGGAAAGGTGTCCAGACTCTTTTGCGCTGGGCCTCCCTCCTTGCCCCGAGGGGCCTCCCGGATTCCTTCGAGCCCACGTGTTCGGGGCTGCCCTCCACCCGGTCCCCCGGCTCCGCTCGCACACTCAGGGTCTTCACGTCTGCGTGCGGCTGGAGATGAGGCCGAGGTGGTGCACACACCGGAGGGCGGTGCGGGGGGAGCTGAGTGCCCCGCCTGAGGGATTTCGGCAGAGTCAGGGCGAGCACAGCACCCTCCGCACCCAGATTCTGCAGGCACCCACGCTTGGCCGGCCCTTCCTTCTGCATGGTAGGCCGGCCGGCCTCCTTCAGCAGCAGAGAGGGGCTGCTGCCAGCAGAGCTGCATCCCCAGAACTGGCTGCAGAGGGGCAACAGGCAACCCACGGCTGGAGACCATCTTGGCCGAGGGCCACCGTGGCCGGGTGTGTCCCTCTCCCCCATGCTATGATTTCCAGGGATGCCCTGGGTTAACCTTTGCCAACGCAGGTCAACAGAGGCATGGGATCTCCACAGACTGGAGCATGTGAGCTCCTCGTGAGCATCCCCTGCCCCCGGGCAGACCTGAGCTCTGCAGATGCTTTCAGCATTTGCCCCAAAAGGACCCCCCCCCCACAAGTGAAAAGTTGGTGTGCTGGTTCTTGCCCGAGCGAGGGCGCCCTGGAGCTGCCCAAATCCTGGCCCCGATTCCCCCACTCCTGCTCGAGAGTTGGGACAGTCTGCTGGGGGCACCACCCCATTGAGGGGTGCCCAAGTGCCCCTGGCAGCAGTGCCGGTCTGGGGCAGCTCCCAGCCAAGCTGCCTGCCTGCCACTCTGGCCAGGGGGCTTGCTGGCGGGGGGGGGGGGGTCTGCATTCAGACAACATGACAGGCGGGGTGGCAGGGAGGAATGCCAGGAGAGACCACCCACAGTCCTCGTCCCGCTTCTGCTCTGGCTGGGACCTTCTCTGCTCCCTCTGCCAGAACAAGCGGGACTGCAAGAGGGATGGACTGCAAGCTGGGCAGGGGGAAAGGGGCCAGGAAAAGGCCAGGGGGCCAAGCAGGGGAGGGGCCACTGCACTGAGCAGCCAAATGACAGAAGGTCCACAAAACCGGCAGAGGAGGCCACATGAACCGGGGAAAGGCGTTTCAGGAGGAGACGGTGCGATCGCGCATTAGGCATCGCCTGGCAATGTTAAAGCTGCATGCAAGAAATCACTCGCAAAGAGCCACAGGCAAACTCTCCGATGTGCCAGATGGAAAACGAGGCGTGTGACCAGGCCTGGGTGGGCCCTTCAGTGCAAGATGATGGCCCTTGCCGGACTTCCCCGCGTGCAAAACGATGCTGCTTGGCATGACTGGAGGTGCACTTTCGCGACCCTCCGGTTCGCTGCACGCGGGTCGATCTCAGTGCACGCAGCTTCACTGTGGAGCCGTCCAATCAGTCTGACCATCAGAGGCAGCTGAGGGTTGCTGGTTGGGTCCGGGACGGCCTGCAGGAGGCGCTGTTGGGCCACTGCCCCTCGCACCAGGTGGCGCTGGAGGCTCTGGGAGGGCCTGGTTTGCAAGCTGGCACTTCTGCTATCCGTGCAGATGATCCCTCTGCGAAACCCGGTCTAGAGGTTTCCAAGGGGCGAGTCAGGAGCCCCGGCTGGGCCATATGAAGAGGGTCGCGCTGGAGGCCGCACTGTCTGATTGCTGTGGCCCTTTGCTGTTTGGGCTGCTGGAGAGATTTTTCAGGGGTAGGCAGAGTCCGTACCCAGAAGACAGAGGGAGACCGCAGGCAGATATGCTTAGCAAAGGAAGAAATTCGGAGTGGCTCCGTATTGCAGGGTGGAGCTGAGGATCAATCTAAGGGTCTTGATACAGATTTCCTCACACTTTGAACAGACTCACTGAAATGAGTGGAACTTAGATCCAGCATTCTATTTTTCTCTGCATACTTCAACCTCAGGCCAGGTGGGGGAAGGCCCCTAAGCTACGCTCCTAGCAGCTTGCTCAGAAGCTTTAGGGGCAGGGATGGAGATCTCAATGGACACGTTATTCTGTCCCAGGATAGAAAGGCCAGCCTGGTGCTTCGAATTTGTCTGAGACGAAGTGCAGCAGGTGGGCAGCTGTACATTGACTCCCTTGCTCTCTTCCTAGAACTGGGAAAGCCAGAAATACGGATTCCAAGAGAGCTTCGGGCAGGCCAGCCGGTAAATATCACGTGCACAGCCCCAGCAAGTTGTCCTCCGATGTCCCCAAACATGACCTGGGAAGGCATCTCTGAAGCATCCACCTCTGGGATCTCTGCCATGCTGCCAAGTCCAAGTGGCTCCGACGTTTATAGGACTGTGTTCAACTTCAGACCGTCAGTGGCAGACCATGGCAAGCTTCTCACGTGCAGCGTCAGCTACGGGAAGGGGCCCAGGGCAGTGCAAACGGCACACACCTTCATGCTGGATGTCCACTGTGAGTGACTCTTTATCTCCGTTCCCCCACAATTACTTCTGGGGACACCCTGCTTGCATAGCCCCACTCGCATGGGTCAACCGTGAGTGGAACGAACTGGAAAGCAGGAGAACGTTAGCTTGGCACTGTTCAGGGTCACCGTGAGGCTTGGCAGTCGTTCTCTTGCTCAGAGGTGGGTTCCCCGTTTGGATGCCATCCCTGGGCCCCAGAGGAACTCCTCTGCCCATGATGTTGTGGTCAGATGGAGGCCTTCGGAGGCACCGTGGGGCACTGTGCTCGAAGCCCTTGCCCTCACGAACTGGGAATTCCTGGGTGGAATGTGGCCTGGTGCAGTCCAGGCTCTGCTTCCCCAGTTTGCCGTTCCGGCTTCGCTGCTCCTGTGCCCTCCTTATGGGCAAACAGGACCTGGCCCCTGCCTGGAAGCAGCTTGCCTGCCTCGGATGCCCAAGCTGCAGCAGAGGGCGAAGGCACTTAGCCAAGCGGGCCCCTGAGCTGCCGGAAAGGGCTGGCTTGGCAGAGCCTCTGCCACCTCAGGATGCCCCGCTGCTCCTTCCCCGGCTCTGCAGAGCTGCTGCTGGGGGAAGCAGAGTCCCAGGCACGGCGGCCTTTCCCCCTCGGCTCCAGCACAGCAAGGCTCGTGCAGGGGGGAGCACAGGAAATGGCAGCCGAGCAGCAGCGGAGGGTCCAAAGGAGGTGGCGGTGGGAGGAGGGAAAGCGGTGGCACGGGAGAGGAGTGTCGAGGGTGGCCCTGTGCAGGCAAGAAGGGGAGGGAGAGATGCCGGGATGAGGCTCCCCACCACCACCCTGCTGCTGAATCCGACCGGAGGGGATTGCTGACCCACAGGGCTTGCTCTTGTCTTGCAGACCCGCCCCAGACGCCCCAGTTCAGCGGGGAACTCATACGCGCGAACAGAAGTAAGTTTCCACTGCACTTGCACAGCCGCGGGATTGCGCCTTCTTGCCCCACAGCTTCTGGAAGCAGAGGGCGAGAAACACCAGGGAAGCCCGCAGGCTCTTCCAGGCGAAGGTGGCCAGGAAAGACCACGCGGCCCGGCAGAGCGGCAAGTCCGGGAGGTGGCGGAGAAAGCAACCTCCCGTGCTGGGCGCGGAAACGGAGCCCTGGGGGCTCGGCTGCTGCTTCCCTTCGGACCTTCCCGCACAAGGCGCTTTCCGTGCGCCCCCGGCTCCTCGCTCGCCTGGATCCGGGCTTGGCCGGGCAAAGGCAGCGTGCCGCCCCCGCGCACGCGTAGTTCTGCCGCCCCGCAGAGCCCCCTGGCGCTTGGGAAACGCGGCCCGTAGGCAGGCAGAGGAAGAAAGACCCGGGGGTGAAGGGGGCGATCCCAACCGCCGGACGGACGGCGCGCAGCACGGCCGCTGGGGAAGGGGCGCCCGGGAGCCGCCTGATCGCGGAGCGTCGTGGCGGAGCCGCCCGTGCCTCCGTGGAGACAGCGAGGGCCGAACCTGACCTCCATCCTGCTGTCGGTAGCCGGCAGGCCAGCAGTCGCGTTCTTGCCCTGGAGGGCGAATCAGCCTTAATGATCGGCAGACCGCGATCACAGCGATCCCGCGGGGTTTGGGATCGCGCAGGCCAAAGGCTGAAGCGAGCGTCGCTTCCTTGCTTTGTCTTAAATCGGGCTAAGTTGTCCTGGGCTGGGGAAGTGCAGCAGCTCGTCCTGGGAGCGGAGAACTGGCGCAGCGCCTCACCATCTCTTTGCAATCTTGCAGGTTTGCAGAACTTTTCCGGTGTGACCCAGATTAGGGCACAGAGGGGTGACTCTGTGGTGCTACGGTGTGAGGTGAAGGGCAACCCCGTGCCCAGCGTGACTTGGGTGAGGGGCCCACAGCCCCCCCAGACACTCCAGCTGGTCTCCTCAGAGAACGAACTGAAGCTTTCCAGCCTGACACAGCAGCACGAGGGCAAATATGAATGCCGGGCCCAGAACAGCGAAGGCTTCAGCAATGCAACCTTCCTGCTCTCCATGAAATGTAAGTGAGGCGCTGCTGGGGTCCCTTCCGTGGGCATTGCCAAGCCAAGCCAACTGTCAGGAGGTGCTTCCAGATAAAGGGGGCTTGCGGCTCAGAGCCAGGAGGCCCTGGGCAGCATGTCCATCTTGTTTTTCTTTAACGGATTTTCTGTGGTAAGAAAATGATGGAAGACAAGACAAGATGGAAGAAGCAGAGGGAAAGCACAGGAGGGCTATAAGCATATGATGTGCACATCTGGACCGCCTACAAAATTCATGAATGAGGCGGGTGTAAGTGCCTCTCTTGGAAGCCCTCAGAGATTGGAAGGCTTTCAGCGAAACTGAACAGTGGGAGATTCCGAAGCCATAAAGGAAGAGCTTCTTCCCAGGGCACAGTGTGAAGCCGTAAATTCACTACCACACGATGTGGCAACAAGCACCAGTGTGAAAAGGCAATTAGGGAAATTCACGAAGGAGAAGGTGGTCAGTGTCCGCTTGCCATGTATGCGACCTCCAGTACGAGAGGCAGCTGATGTCTGAATTCCAGTTGCTGAGGAGCGACAGAAAGGTTGACCGCTCCTGCGCCCCTGCTTCTTGGCCACTGAGGCCAACCAGGCCCTGTGCGGGGTGGTTGGTCCGCTTCACTATGGTTCTTCTCACATTAATAGCAGAACTTATCCTTGAATGTCACAATGCAAGGAAGTAACCGAACATGTTCTAGAATCCTTGCTACAATGGGGCATTTGTGGAGTTCACAACTATGGGGAATATGGGGAGGGGGTGGCCTGGTACATTCCTGCAAAGGATATCAGGTTTCACCTTGACACCCCCCCCCCCGGTTACATGGAAGACATTATTGGGATTCGTGCCTTCGAGTTCTTCAAGCAACGGGACCATGCTTTACCAGTCTACCCATGGCATCATTTGCTCTGGTGGAGTTCCCAGCTTAGAAGTCTTGTAATAATATTTTTAAATTGATTGACAGAAAAGAGTGGGGGGAATGTCACTAGGTAAATTTGAATGTGTACACTGCGATGCATGACTATGAAGTGAGTGTGCAGACACACTTTCTAAAAATTATACTTAAACTTCAGCAAAGCAAACCAGGTACCCGTGTGTGTGTCCATTCCCAAGTGGTGCTTGCATGCAAACTGCTTAAATGTTGAACGGAGCGGTTGATCCTCAGCGCATTGCATTTCTAGGTGCTGAGTGTTTTCCCTTCTAGTGTTGCAGTATCAGGCTTTTAGCTTTCAAATGGCTTGAGCAGCACATTAACTTCCAGGAAGCTGGTAGGCGAGAAAAGAGGGCTACAATCCAGGGAGGGAAAGGCATCGGCACCGGGCATCCTCGGGGCACCGTAGGGAGACCAGCACCATGGCAGGGGGCTTTGCAAAGCTTTCTGGCCCAGTGCAGGGGTGCTTGTCCTGACTCCCATTTACACTTCCCACAATTATCAGCAGTGACTCTGCAGGAAGCCCCCCATGAACGATTAAAATGCTCCTGCTCTGTATCCTGCTGCCGGCAGCAGCCCTGCCACCCCAGAGCAGCCCACCAGGATCCACTGATAGGGAAGCCCAGCAGAAGGAGCTTCACCCAGCAGTCCCCTCAAAACGGCCCTGACTCCCAGCCTGAAGGCAGCTGGGAAGCAAAGTGGAGTTCATGGTCCTCACCACACCGATGTGCCTGAGCGCCACCTTGTGGCCGTGTGCATACATTGAGCAGAAGGAGGCCGAACAAAGCAGAGCCTCTGGGATCTGTGCAGAACAGCCCTTGGGGAAGCTGTAGACCAGGGGTCCTCAGACCTTTTAAACAGGGGGCAGTTCACTGACCCTCAGACTGTTGGGGCGGGCAGACAATAGTTTGAAAAAAATATGAACGAATTCCTATGCACACTGCACATATCTTATGTGTAGGGGGAAAAACAGGAAAAAACAATACAATTTTTAAAATGAAGAACAATTTTAATCAACATAAACTTATTAGTATTTCAGTGGGAAGTATGGACTCGGGTTGCAGGACTTAGTGACTATTCAGTGAGTTTCTCTCTTTTTTTAAACCTCTGTTTTGTCTTTTTTTTAATTAAAAAAGCTCTGCTTGCTTGGGCTGCCGCAGAAGCCCAGGATGACGCCACGCTGCGCGCCGACAGGGAGCGCACGACACGGGGGGAGCCCTGTGGGTGTGCCACCTTGGTGGAGGCCTCCCCGGCTCCTTGCCACTGCCCCGCTTGCGAGCTGGAGGAAGGGCTCCTCGCAGGCCCTCGCCTGGCTCCGGGAAGGGGAGCGGGAGGCCTGAGAGGCGAGCGTGGGGCAGCTCCCCCAGCCGGGGGAGGGCCGTGAGGAGGGAGGTGATGGTTGCTTTCCACGGGCCAAGGCAAGGGGAGGCGAGGGATGGGGCCACGGGGCCAAGCGGGCGCCTCCTGCCTCTCCCTGCCGTGGGGGAAGAAGCCTGGTGGCCGCTCTTTGGGGGCGGCTTGCCCTGAAAAGGCTGTGGTGGAGGCGCAGGATCCGCAGCCCCGCTCCCACTCTGCCTCGGCCTGTCTGCCCCCAGGTTCAGCAAGGTGGCGGCGGCTTGGCCTGCAGCCCAGGGACATGGCTCATATAGTTAAAAATACATTTAAAAAGTTATATTTTCTTACCTTCTATCTTTTTTTAGTGTCTTTGTCTCACTCTCTCTCCTCCCACTGCCCTCCTCTCTTCTGTATTCCCACTCTGTATTCAGAGCCAACTCATGCATGCAATGGGGGAAGAGCTGGCACATGCGCAGTTGAAGGGAGCCGTTACAGTTTGGTGCATGAGCCGGCTCTCTGCTAGTCTCTGAAACTGAAAGACTTTCAGAGAATGCCTGTGCCGGCTCAGAGCTTTTGCACTCATTCAGAGATCATTTTCATCCGAAAGAGTCCAAAACCTCTGAGGCGGGCCGAGTAAATGACCTTGGCGGGCCGTAGCTGGCCTGCGGGCCGTAGTTTGAGGACCCCTGCTGTAGAACAAGTGTGGTGTAAGGAGAGTGTCTGAGAATGAGAGACGGGTTCAAGCCCACATTCAGCTGTGGGGTGTTCTGCAAACCCCACCCTTTTCCTCCTTCATCCTTTCTCTCCCCCTCCCCTTTTGCTCTCTCTTCCTCTCTCCATTTCGCTCCCTCCCTTTTGGGATGCCCCTTAAGTTTGGATTCTCTCTGGCTTCACCCTCCTGAGATGCAGGAGCAGGTCTTGGGCTCTGTCCTGTAGCTGTAGCGGCCCCTCAGCTCAGGCTGGGCAGCTGTTGCTCTGCTCCGTGCAGTCTCCTCTTACTCCCTCGCCCCTCTGGACAGGACCTCCTTGGTCTCCCTGTGCAGTCCCTGCTTAGAATCTGCAATCTCCCCATTTTGATCTCCCCAGAGAAGAGCTCTCAGCCCTCTAGGCAGCTTCAGGGGGCAAACGGGCGCGTACTCCAGCCGGCTAACCAAACGGAGTCACACGAAGCCAAGACAAAGGAAGAGAGGGAGGCTCCAGGTCCCCTAAATCTGATGCCATATGCAAAATGGACGCAGCCTGCAAAATTGTGCCACATAGGAGCTGTTTTGCTTTCAAGCTATAGAGAGCCCAGAGGAGATGGGATGTGGTTGGACTGGGTGAATGAGGAGCAGAATCCGTGCCAGGCCCTGGCAGGATTGGCTAGAGTGCTCACTCAGGACGGGCAGAAAGACGGGCCCTCTGTCCTGCATCGCCAAGAAAAGGGTCACACTTTCACATACAAGTTAATGTACAGAGGCAGCCAGGGATCATTAGCATTGGGCAGGACAGTCCTTCAACAAGAGCATAGTCCTTTGGCAGCCCGCGGACAGAGGACTGAGCTCTGCAGAAAGAGCACACAGTCACTCTAGACCCTGCTCTACATAGGTAGAAAACTAGATTTCTGCACATTTTAATGTGCTCTCACACCAAATAGACTCAAGTAGTGCCAGAATGCCTCCGATTTCTGTTTGCACATCTGCTGCCTCTTGGCCTGGGTGTTGCAACTTGAGATAACAGGGGCTAGAACTTCTGAATGGCCTGCTCATTCATGTGGATGCAGAGCAGGCAAGCAAGCTGTTTATTACATACACATCATCAGTAACCTTGGGTGAGAATTCCACTCCTGGATTTAATATACTGAGTACAGATATTACAGGGCATGAGCTGGCAACTCCTGACACTGTTCCCTTCTCTTTGACCCCTTTCCAGATAGCCCCAGGCCCTGCAATCAGGAGATGCCCCACTGCTGGAGTCATGGCACTGGGTTCCAGTGCAATTGCTCCCTCTGCGCCTCTCCTTCGCCCAAGATTAAGTGGCAGGTGGATGGGGAAACCCTGGAGGGGAACACCACCAAAGGGCCACTGGAGGTCACTACCTGGACTAAGGAGGAAGTAGCCACCAGCACCCTGCACTTCACAGGGCTCTGGAATGGAAAGCAGCGCATTACCTGCCTTGGATCCAACCTGAAGGGAGAGCTTCCCGTTATGTTCTTCCTGTTTAGGTCAGGTATGTCTCTGGAATGCAGGTCAGTCCTGTGTCGTATGTTATTCATTTCATCCATGTATAGACCATGTGGTTCTGTCGAGGAGTGTATCTCAAAGTGCTTGAAAACGTCCACATTTCTAATGCAGGGCACCCAGAACTGAAACATCAAAAGGCAGAACATCTCAGTGAAGAATTAGAAATATTGACAGATAAACATTCTAAATTAAAACCGGAGAACTAATGGTCAACCAGCTGTTGTTCTCCAGGTCCCTCTGTGTGGTCATCCCACACAGACTGGCCATATCGTAGGGTTGCCAGCCAAACAGAAAATGACCCAGCCTAGCCTCCTCCTCAGTCTTTAATTTCTCTTTCTCTGTTTCTCTCTCTCTCTCTCTCTCTCTCTCTCTCTCTCTCTCTCTCTCTCTCTCTCTCTCTCTCTCTCAGCAAGTCAGAAGGGATCAGAAATCAGCAGATGAGGCTTTTCACAGCATGCTGCAGCCTCCAGGTGAAGCAGCTGTTGAAGGGCACCAGGGCCGCGTCTTGCTGAAAGGCCGACCACCCTGAGCTCAGCAAACCTGCCCTGGCTCTTGATGCAGCTGCTTTGCTTCATTCTCTCTCCTTCCTTCTTCTCCTGCTTCTGTTAACCTCCTCTCTGAACTTTGGCTGTTCCTTGGATATAGGTTCTGTTTTCTATGACAAGAACATGTTGAGATGGAGGTACAGCAGCTGGCTCAGAGTCTCGTCAGCAGCAGAGAATGGGGCAGGCGCTAGTCTTAAGGCAGTGGGCTGGAAGATTTGTTTTTATGCACTGCGGATATTTGGAGCCAACTACACATATCCATACACTGGTCTTTACTTCTTTTACAGTTTTTTGTAAAGCAAATTAGATCGACTGGGGGAAGGGGCTGCTGAGTAATGGGATCAGAACAGGCATGGAAAAGGGGAATAGCCCTTTCTTCACTCCACTGGAAATTTAAAGGAATTTCTTCTCCTGTAACTAGTATTGTATTTGCTTTTTTGAGTCCCCCATACCACCCACGGGGGATAGCCTTCTGATGCAAGTAATAGCATCAAAGATGGAAATTTTCTCAGGATGGAAGCGGGGGGGGGAGCACTAAATCTTCCTCTATGCCTCTTCTGACCCCATTATCAGCCCTCATGTGTAGGTGCAATTTGCATTTTAGAAGAGAAAGGAAAAGCAGTGTTAACTGATACATTCTGGCCCTTAGTGAACAGCCAACTCTGCCCTTTCCCGAAATGGTACTTTTCAGATGTGCTTGGTTCCAGTTTCCAGTGGGGACCTTGGGTTGCTGAAAGCTGTGATCTAAGACATCTCGGGAGCACCAAGCTGGGGTGGGGCTGATGCGCTGAAGATGCGGTCCCATGCAACTTTAGACAGAGGGAAGTCATGCAGCTTCCAGGAGTCTCCACCTGGCTTGCTCTGAAGCACTGGATCGTGCCTTTCGTCTGGCTGGAAGTCAGGTGACTTTGGGAGAGGCTGATCTCCCAGTCCTCCTGCAAGGGGTCTTTTAGTTGGAGATGTCAGCTGAAGGACGCCAAACCCTTTGCTTCCAAAGCACGTGCTTTTAGCAATTGCTTTAGCTCATCTGAGTCGCAGTGGCTCCAGCCTAGCTCCTCCTATTCAGAGAAGACAGTCAGAGCATGGAAGGATGCGCAACATTAGTCACATCGATGTGCTCTCATGTGCTCCTGATCCCTCAGTTGAAGGAGTCGGTGGGCCTTTCCAGAGCATAACTTTTAAGTGGCAAAATTCCAGAGCAAAAGCCTTATGAAAAGTCACAGGTCTGCTCTAGTGCAGTTCTACTACAGCACCATCTTGTGCTTGGTTAATGGAATATACAGAAAAGCGGAGAAATACAAGTTACTGGGAAGAATATGCTACAGAACAAATATATTTTTCCTCCTGGAATGAAATTATAGAAGTAGCTCAGTGTATCAATAGATTGAACCACTTATGTAGATATTTCTTCAAACATTGACCAGTGGTGGCTCTAATTATTTACTCGTTTGCATGTTTGTTCCACTTCTGTGCCTCCCCATAGCCCAAAACTTCTCTGGACAGCTTACAAATGCTGGGAAGAGCATATAATACAGTTGATAAAAAATTAATAAAGCTGATAAAATAGATAGAACAATAAAATAATAGATAAAACCATCTGATGATGAAATGTAAATCCCGCACATGATAAATACAAGTGATAAATTAACAAGCCAGAAATTAAATAAATAATCTATAAAAAAATTATAAATTAAATAAATTAAATTAACCAAAAGCTTTTTTGAACAAAAACGTTTTCAGCTGGTGTCTTAAAGAAAGCAGAGCTGGAGCCAGCTGTATGTCCCTAGGGAGTCCCTGTTGCAATCAGGATGGCTAGATACAAAATGGACTCTGCATCTTAATGCACCTGCGAGGGTGGCAGCGTCTTTGCACTTATCGAATGACGCAGGAGCCCTGTCTTCTTGTGCATCTGGTCACCCTTGCTGTGACTCTAAGCAGTGGTTTACCTTTCCCCAGATGCATTCCAGAGGTGATGCAGGGAAGACACTCTACAGATGTTCAGAGGCACCCATTTCTTTGCTTATATTCTGTTATGCCCCTGAAAGCAACTTTTGATGGCTTATCCTTGGGGAAAATTAAGACAGGGCAGCGCTGTGTCTTTGTGTGCTTTAGAAAGTGATTTTTACAATCCTTTCCCCCATTCCTTAAAGAGCTTTCAGCATCTGGTCAGAAGGCAAGTCTGAGTGAGATTTTATTATATATATCCACGTTAATAACTTTAATTTGAGAAATAAATGATGGCTTTTAGAATAATTTAGTGCTGAACTGTTAGACGTTTATTATTTTCTTCTAATGGCTTATAAAAAGCGAATAGCACTGGTAATTCCATGTATTTATTTTTAATTGTAGAGATAATATTTTTGATTTTTGAATATCTTAGCAATGATTTTAGGTGCTATGTTAATGAGGAATAGCACTGCCAATTGTGGCACATTTCCTGCTCTATAGACCACTGGAGAATGTGCCGGATGTGTTGTCTAAAATGACAGCAATTTGGGATCAGGAGAACTAGTATGATATAGTGACAGAGTCTTTAATCCTGTACCCATTTATCTGGGAGTAGGCCTCATTTAACTCAGTGGGACTTGCTTCTGAGAAAACATTGCATTCTAGGTGTTTGAGAGGTGAGCTCTGAAACCCTGTTTCAAATTTAATGTCACCTTGCTTAGTAGCTTTGGGCCAGCCATGATCTTTCTGCCTCGGTCTTTCCATTGGAAATCGTTTTACTGCGCTCGTTTGTGCTCTCATAGCACATTCAGATGCACGTGACCCGATTAGTAAGGATCTGGAAGCAAGTTCCCGAGGAATGATGGCAAAATCTCTGCATGTTTAGCTGGCAGAAGAGAAAATTAGGGGGAAACATGGTAGTTGTCTTCAGATCTCTCAAGAGCAGTCATGCAGAAGAGAAGACAGCGGATTCATTCTCCATCATTCTAGAAGGCAGGCCTAGAACCAACCAGAGATCCTGGGGGATCCAGGCCAAGCTAGAACCCCATCCCACTGAGCAAGAAGAATGGAGGCTACATTGTAGCTCACACTTGCAGGTACTAGGAAAATTAGGAAGAGAAATCAGAGTAGATTTATCCTTATGAGCTCTGCTAGAGCCAATCAGTAGCGGTCCAGAACAAAGTTCTGAATGATGGCTTGTTAGCCTGGGCCTTTCTCTAGAATAAAACCAGGGAGCTTGTGCTGTTAAACCAGGATTTGCTTCTGGGACAGGCTTCCCTGCATCTGCCCTCTCCCAAGAATGACCTTCCCTGCAGTTAGTTGTGCACAGGCAAGAGGAAGAGATGAAGCACAAAAACAATCAGGGATGCTAATCTAGAGGACCAGTGCTGCTGGCCAAGGACAGGACAAACCTACAGCCTCTGAAGAGGCGAAGGAGTCCCCTCTCAGAGGCCACAGTCGCTGCTGTAACCATGAAAGGGGATCCAGGAATTGGATCCCTCCCCTTGTAGCCAGGCAGAAAGAACCGCCCCAGTTCTGGCCTTGCACCTTTGAGCAAATGGGGGAAAACTGCAGGGAACTGCAGATTTTAGCTATGCAGAGGAAACCTCCTAATGGAGAGAGCTGCTCACTAGAGGAACAGGCCTGGCCAGGAGGTGGTGGGCTCCCCTTTGTTGGGGGAATTCAGGCAGAGGCTACCCGGCTATCTGTTAGGGAGACTTTTATGCTGCTTGTACTACCATTTCTTTGCTTTTAGGGATCTATGTGGCACTTAAGCACCACCCTTTGCCCCAGAGGGTCCCAGGAGGCACACATGATCTTTCTTCTTTCCGTTCTATCCTTACAAGAACCCTGTGAGGTAGGCTTGGCTGAGAGGCAGTGACTGGCCCAAGAGTCCCAGGGAGCTTCATGGCAGTGTGGACTAGAACCTGGGTGTCCCAACTCTCCTTTCAGCACTAACCACTATGCCACAGAAGCATTGAGAAGTGGGGGTGAGGTCGGCCTAGGTGGCTTCCAAGGTGGCTTCCAACTCTAAAATCCTTTGGTTCAGTGTCCAACAAGCCCTCACTACCATTTCAGCCTTGACTTCCTGCTGCCCTTCTAATTTTTCTCCCTGAGTCCCCCATCTCCTGAAATACAACCCTCTGTAAGTACCTCCAAGGCTGCCACAAAGAGGAAGGTCAAGATCTCTTCATGCTGATGCCAGAGTGGAGGACATGGAATAATCAATTCAAGTTGCAACAGCCCAGATTCAGGCTGGACATCAGGAAAAGCTTCCTCACTGCCGGAGCAATACAGCAGTGGGACCAGCTGCCTGGAGAGGTGGTGGGCTCTCCCACACTGGAGATATTTAAAAAGAACCTGGACAGCCACCTGAGTGGGAGGTGTAACTTGATGTCCTGCAATAGCAGGGGCTGGACCTGAGGGCCTTCCTGGCCCCTTCCAACTCTACTATTCCATGATTTTATGAAACTGTTTTACAAATAGGAGTGTTCTTAGGAGACTGGTACCTTAAAAACAAACAGAGAGAGAAAGAGTGAAAGAAAGAGAGCCTTTATTTATGTAGTTATTAGATTTATGTCCCACCATCTTTCTTTTAAAGAACGAAAAGCAGCTTGCATCATTCTCCTCCTCCTGATCTCTATCTTATCCCCACAACAACAGCCCTGTGAGGTAGGTTGGGCTGGGAGTCTGTGACTGGCCCAAAGTCACCCAGTTGATGCCGTGGCTGAGTGGGGACTAGAACCCGGATCGCTCGAGTCCCAGTCGTGCGCCTTTAACCACCACCCGACACCAGCTCATGGGAAGCAGCACACACCCTGTTTTGTCGTTCCGTCCCTGAGACCGTCCCTGCAATGAACTTGGGCGCTCACCCCAGGCAGAGCAGAGCACGTGCTCTTTGAGCATGGGTGGAGCTGAGCGGGGGACTGCTCTGCTCCTCTGAACTCCGCCTGTTCTTCTTCGAAACAGTGGAAGACCCCAGCCCCTGGCGCCTGTGGCTGGTTAGCGGAGTGATTGGGGCCATCATCACGCTTGCGCTCACCGTGCTCATCATCGCCGTCATCGTGACGTCCAAAAGGTAAGCCACCGTGTCCGCTTGGCAGTGGCAGGCCTGCTTGAGGGTGCTGCGGGCGAGGGTGGGGGCTGTGGGGCCCGCTCCTGGCTTGGAGAGAATGGCAGTCTCCACTGCACCCCACGCTGGCACCTTGGGAGGGTTGCCACAGGCACCGGCGGCCGGTTTGCACACCCTGGTGGACGTGGGGATGAGCACACGGGGCAAGTCCATGATTGGTGAGCTGGAAAGGCCCGTAGGGTGCGGCAGAAGTCGGTGGCCGGGCATCTCGTCAAACTACACCATCATTGCTGCTGCAGAAGCTCTTACAGACCAGCGCTGGCCATTTCACACGCTCTTCCCAGACACTCGTCTTGTCCCAGGGGACGGCTCAGACACGGCATGGCCGCCTGGAAGGTGCCATCTAAGAAATGCACCTGTTGCTGGTAAACTGCTCTTTCCCCATAACATTTCTTAGAAGAGCTCTATGAGGGCGTGTGCCAGGGCTGCTGAGTTTTCCAGTGGGCTGATTTTGCGGGCGGGCTGGTACCCTCTGAGAACGGACCTCGTGTGCCGGTGCTGCTCGCGGGAGCAGCAGGTTGCATTTTGCACCCACCAGCCCTGTGCGCTGCGCACTCCCGTGCAGGCAAGCCCTCTTTCTCGTGTGGCAAGAGTGCCGGGCGCATCAGCAGCGCTCTGCGCTTTCCCAGCCCTTCCCCACCTGGTGTCCTCCGTGTGTGTTGGGCCACCACTCCCACCTCCTCCAGCCAGCATGATGGGAACTGCACTCCAACTCATATGGACAGCAGCACATTGAGAAATGTTTCTATTTCCTATTAAGATGAGAATTGCTTTTAAACGTTCGTTCTCCCTCTCATTCTCTCTAACATACACACACTTTTGGGAAATATTATCTACAATATGTCTCTCTTTTAGATGTGCTTTACAAGCTTTAACACATGTCCTGTTAAAGATAACCTGCTCCTTTTGTGCCGTTTTGCAAAATGTAGCTGTTGCTAATGCATCCCCCTCCCTCTGTTTGCCTCTGCCTCTTTCTTTTTAATTCCAATTTAAAAAAATCTTTATGAATGCCCCCTCATATGAGCTTTATTAGTTTCCCATATAGTTAGTTTATCTTTCTCAGGAGCATTATTAAGTCTGAAAAATCCCCTTAGTTCATCAGTACAAACCTCATTGTCTGAAAATAAGAAATTATTTAATTTCCTAGGGCAAAGTTGTGCTTATTTATAATTGATCACATTAAATATGTTGTGTTGCAAACCATTTATACTGAGGCACCTATTAGGCAGTCTGCAGAAGAAAGATTTCATAAGCAGGGGAAAGAACAGGCATATGGATCTTCCTAAACTGCAGTCAATTTAGCTGTGTGTTTCGCCCTGGCTGGCAATGGCTCTGGCTACGGGTCTTGCCAAGCCGGCCTCCTCCAAGGTTCTTTTAAACTGCAGTGGTGGAGAAGCTAAGCGCTTAAATCTGGTTCTCTTGTCCTGATTCAGCCCCCTGGGGCTTCCAAGATGACCCACCCCATTAGCCAATCTTGGAGGCTGCCTGTCTTTTTTTCCATACCCTAAAAGGCTGATTTTATTGCCCCCCCTTTCGCTTTTGACCCTGCCACTAGTGGAACGCAGCCTCCCAGAGGTTCTCTGGAACTGAATCCAGCCCTCAGGCTGAAGGAGGTTCCCTTCCCTGGGTTAGAGACTGGACCAAAGACTGAACTTTCCCCCTGCAGGGCCTGAGTTCTGTTGTTAAGACTTGCTTTTCCTTATTCCCAGATTCTTCCTTAATTTCTTAGGAACAGTGATTACAAGCTTCTGATCTTGAAGCATCACATAACTCAAGAACACTGTATGCTCTTATGGAGGCCAATAAAACATCACCCGTACTTTAAAAAAACCTGTTCATGACTTAGTGTGCACACAGAACTATTAGTTTATCTAATATTTCACCATTCTCTGTTCCTTACATACTTGGAAATCCATTCAAAGTTCAAGTATGTCCAGTTTTTTCAATACAAAGTGCTTGACATAATGGGGACCGGAACATGCAAAACCGTCCTTTCTTCTTCTTAATGTGCAATGCACTTTAACACCTTAGGTTTAAATTGGTGTGTTTCCAGATCTCCTAACAAGTTGTTATTCTCCTTGGATTCCTTTTGAAAAAAATGTGGTGTTTCCCATTATTCAGCCCAGGAACATCCGGCTCCTCCCTTGGCCCACACATGTGCGTGCAGACGCACCGGCCGCCTGGGGAAAGAAGTCGTGGTGTCATCGGTTCCCCCGCCCCATGGGGGTCTGCTGATTTGCCCCCTCACCCTGCAGCACATGGGCGGCCATGTTATCCAGACTTGGTAAAAAGCGTGGCGGGAGTCACTTCCCAAGCACCCCAGCACCCATGGCTTTTGTCGGCTCCTTGGTGGTCTGGAAGCCACCCCCCCCCCGCACCACGGATCTCGTTAGGCTCTGTGCACTGCACAGATTGGGCCAATGGGCGAATTGAGCAGCTCACGACTGGCCTGCGCGGGGTGGGGAAGGGCAGCCGCTGTAGCGCCTCTCCGGGGGATTCTGCAGGCCCCGTCACTGCACGGTGAGCTGCAGGGGGGCCCCTTTGCCCAACATTTCTGCCCAGCCCCCATCATTTGGTCAAAGAGCATAAAGCAGCTAATGTCCCTTCACTGAGCTGAGGTGGGGGAGCAGAACAGGGGCATGGGAGGGGCACGCAAGGCATGATGGGATGGGATGCATGTTCTCAGCATGATGGGATGGCACTGGAGGTTGGGCTCATGCTGCAGGCAGGGTGAAAGGCGGGAGACGGCAGAGTTGTGCAGTACCCAGAAAGGTATAAATTACTTCTTAGTATCAATGTTACGGCCACGACACAGATGTGGCATCTTGTTTGTGGCATCTTGTTTATCTCAGTAATACTGACCTTTCTGGCTGCACCGAGATGCGGATCTTCATTATGAACCGTGGTTCCACTAATTGATGGAAAGCATGGGTCCCATCTGTTTTTAAAGACATCAATCCATTGGTGTCTTGTCAGAACCTTAAAAAGATTATCCTCATTTATACACTTATTTTCTCATCAATTTGTCGATTTGTTAATGATGTTATCCTCGCCACCACTCCCCTTCCCCTCAAATTGGTGTCAGGTATTAGCAGATGGCCTGTACCATTTACTATCAGTTTAGGATTGTACCATATGAATGTTATGTATGTATGTATTTTCTATACTGGCCATAAACTTAAAACAGCTATCGGAGCAGTTCATTTTTGCTTGCCTAGCATGGCTGCGTCTTTGGATTTGTGATTCTAAAACCAGACCATTATAACATGAAGTACTGTATGTTTATATAAATATACATTTTTAGTTCTAAAGGCATTTCTTGGCAGTGCTATTCCTTGATAAGCCTTCCTGTTCATTTCTGCTATTCAGCTAAGCCTCTTCCCTCATCGCAGCTTCATTAAAATTGTCCTCCCATTCCCTTGGAGGGGCCATGTGGGTGTGGGGGGACATTGGCTCAGGCAACTAAAACGAATGCCCGACTAACAGAGGGTTTTGATCATCTCCTGGGGAAATGATGAGTGTCTGGAAAGGCCCTCATAACAAGGGAAGAAGCGGGTGTTTCTTAGAGACTAGACTACAGCCCGCCCGTCCTTGGACAGCCAAGCTCCAAATCGAGTTTTGATGACATCACTCAGAATTTAACTACTGAAACTGTCAGCCCTTAGGATCAGCAGTCCCATCATGGTCAGGATCTGGCCAATCTGCACCCATTCATAAAAACTGAGAAGAGAAATCTTATGAATGGAGTGGAGATGGTTTGTGCTTAGCTATGTTTTTTTTAAAATGACATTTATTTGCAGGTGCCGGAAAGGCAGAAAATCAGTGACTGGCTCCTCATCTTACACAGAACAACCAACTGCTGACCAAAGCGAGCATCTCCCACCTCCCAAGGTTTGTCCTTTATCTCTCCCCACTGCTGCTTCTGGTCAATCCCTGCCAGGACTTCAGAGGCATGAAGGCAAAATGGTGGGCCTTGGGTGGACTTCTGGACTTCCTGCTGGGCCTGGAGTACCCGTTTCCCTTCAATTCCCCCCATGCCCCCTGGCTCAGTGCCGGGGTGATGGCCACAGTTTTAAAAGGGGAATAACAGACTTCATGAGGAATATGGAGTCCCGATCAATCGTTTGAGTATGAATCAAAGGATCCAGCCTTTGGTTGATCATAATGAATCACTACCGAACCTTCGTGTATAGAGGCAGTATAGAGACCTTGGAGACAAACATCCAAGGAAGGTTCTTGTGACCTTCCTGAAGCACCTGGTCGGACACCATTATAAACAGAGACCTGGTCTGGATTGAGTTGGAGACTTGGTCTGTTCTAGTAGGAACTCCACTTACATTCCTGTAAAATTTTAAAGAGTAGGGCTGCGATCAGGTACTCAGGTATACAGGTGAAATCTGAAGAAGAGGGTTTTCTGTGCACAGCATTGCAGCTCTAAAAAAACCTCAAAAGGGAACTTTAAAAACAAAATTAATTATGAAATCCTAAAGTCAAGTTGCCAAATTTTACCAACTATTATGCTTATATGAAAATTAATTTTAGCTCAAAAATGCGATGCTTACTTCTTGAGGTTGCCAGATTATATTGTTTGGGGTGCTGAATTTGGTTTAGCTCAGTCCATAATGCTGGGTCTGTTTGTTCTTAAGAATTCGAGTCCTCTTCATGGTTAGACTGTAAAATGAGAGAAATTCTACTTTTTCTTTCCAATGCTGACTTTCTGCTCCCTCATAGGATTCTCACATCATGGGAGGTAATGAAGTTCTGGAAATGCCAGAAAAGACAAATGAAGCCATTTACAGCTGCCCAGACGATCCCAGAGAACTGCATTATGCATCTCTTCAGTTTAATATACTGAAAACAATACCAGAGTCCCTTTCAGAAGAACCCCAAACAGAATACGCTGAAATCAAGGTCTCCTAGTCGACAAGTAGCAGCAGCTCTGGGTTTTTGAGTTGTCCTTGGAAAGACGCCCTCAATGCACCTCAGGTGAACGGTCAGGTTGCAGGGGCGGCTCCGGGGTTTGTGCCAGTGGACTCCTGCTGAGATGTGGGTCCTCAGCAGGGGCCCAGCTATGTCTCCCCTTAAAGCTAGGCCTGTCTACAGGGAAATGGAGGCGGCAAATTTAGGATGATTCATGGCTCTACCCGGCCAAGTGCATTGCTTCTGATCTGCTGCAGGTGCTGAGACAAAGCTTCTTCCTTAGCCCTCCTCTTTTCTTCTGTACCTGCTCTGGGGGCATGTTCTCTCCAGGACTGGGAGCCACGCTATCTAGGGTGGCCTAACTGTGCATCATCCTCTTTAGCTTGACCTGCAACTACTGGATGCGCGTGCATGCAGGTGTGTCTGCCAGGCACAGCTCTCAGTGGTGGCATGGGTGCATAGGTGTGGCATGCAGGAGGCCCCGGGTTCATTCCTGAACCCTCCAGCTAAAGGGTCTGCAGGGCAGGGCGGCCAGGTATTCCTGCCTGAGGTCAGGAGACACCTCCCCTGTCAGAACAATCACTGCTGGAATGAGGGGCCAAGCAGCCGTGGCTGCTGGGGGCAATTTCCTGCACACAGTTTGCAGAAAACTGTTTGTTGCCTGCCATGCAAAAGACGCTCCCACCTTCTGCCTTTTGTTTCCTCCCTCCCTTCTTCTGGTTAAAGGTTCCAGGACAAGCCAGAGCAGTCCGTGAGGCATCTTTCCCCCAGAGCACTTTTTCCCAGGCATCCTTCCTTGTCTAGCTCCTGCCTCTCCAACCCAAGAAAGGCTCACAATTGGAAGCCTTGCAGTAGGTAGGACCCCCGAGAGGCTTCTCAGAAATAGGGCTGTGATGCTCACATTTTGCCGGTGACTGAGATCTCATGGCACATGCCTGGTGGGGTTATTTGTTGCGACTGCCCAGGTGCCTGCAGGCAGTAGGAATCCCCTTTGCGGTAGCCACAGCTGTTGCGGGCCAGTGAATGTCGGACGTTTTGCATCACCGCCTGTCTGCTGAGAGACAGGGAGTGGGCAAGACCACAGCGTGCTTTGAAGGAACCGTGTGTCCAGGTTCTCTGCTCCGAGCAGACAGAAAATGCTCTGCCTGGACGGACAAAGCTCAGCGCGTATCTCTTGGTCTTGCACCGGCAATCGACTCAGCCCAGGTTCCTCTGCAAGGAGTTTGGGAGAAAAGATAGGATAACCTACATACACACCCAGGAGAAGTTCCTTCCTGAACGGATCCAGCGCCCAGCACTTAGAGAGCATCGAAATGTGCAGTGAAGACTGTGATATGCTAGTTTTGGGTTTTCAGGATGCAATTGTATCAATTGTGTCCTCAAACCTTGTAAGCCCCCGAACCTGGAAGTTTACAAGCACCCAATGTGGAGCTGGAGGAACAATGGGGGTGCTCCCACTCTGCATTTTTGCCAGACGCTGTTTGCAGCCGAGGCACTGTGGAAAGGGGAGCGGGGAACCCAGACTGCTGTCTGGGTGCCTCATATCTTGACAGGCCCACTCTCCTCCCCCCAGAACACCCCCTTTGCCCCTCTTGGAGGTCAGTGTCCCAGCCCTTCAGAGGCAGCTGGTGTGGTTCCGTCTGCATCCGTCACTGGGTGTATTTGTGCGAATCGGAGCATTAGTTTCAAGTTCCGAGGTTGGGCCTCTGTCTCCAGGTTCTGCCCTGGGAATCTGAATTCTCCCATTTCACCCGTCCCAAGAACATAGGATTGCTTTCCCCCATTCCCAGTGGCCTTCTGTAAATTTGGGCTTCTTCCCCATCTTGGCTGTATCATTGCCATGTTTTCTTTGTAAAGGTCTATCTATTTTTATCTTGTAAATTGCAACTGTGTATTGTTCATCATGATTTGTAACCAAAAAAGCAGCAACTGGTGATTGGGAAAAACAATTGGGACTGGAAGAGTTTAAACGAATAAAGAAATACTAAATATCCAAAGCACTTTGGGAGGAAGACGGGGCAAGGGAACTGGAGGGGAGGCATATATTCTACAGACTACCTGTCAGCTCCCAGGGGGCTGTTTCTGTGACGATGCACCTTGTCTGGCGATTCCGATGAGTCGGTTCTCGCTCGCAAGCCTGGCACAAGCCCCTTGCTGTGCAAACCAGCGCTTTGCCTCCTCTGCAAATAATCTGTGGAGCCAGCTGCCCTGCTCGCCGTGTGTGTGTTTGTGTGTGTGTGCGTGTGTGTGCGCACAGGCAGGCTGCACAATGTCGCAATGCTGACAGCCACAGAGCCGACCTTTCTTTGGAAGGTGCGGGGAATAGGATGAGTCAGTGTGAGGAATCACACAGCAACAGTGACATCAGCTGGCCAAGAAGGGACCGGAGAGGCGTTGTCTGGGCAGAGCAGCAGTGCAAGCTGTCCAAAGAGAGCGTGTCTGGTCTCATGGATGTGCCTTATACTGAGTCTGCCGCCTTAGTCTGTCTACTCGGATGGGCAGATGCCCTCCAGGGTCCCAGGTGAAAGCCTTCTCCATCTCCTCCTGCCTGATCTCGAGCTCAGAACTTCCAAGGAATGCCAGTGGTTTCATTTGAGTCCGTCACCATGGCCTTCTGCATCCAGCTGGGGGCCCTCCTTTGCACTTGCTTAGTCGATGGCCATTTTCCTTAGAGGTCTCCTGTACTGCTTAAAGGCAACACGAGGGTGCTGATTCGCAAGGGGGGAAATTGGGGCAGGGGATGTGTGTGAGCTGATTGCAATATAAGCAGAATTTGATTCATTCTCCGGCTGTTTTGCAAAATACTGGACAAGGAACACCTCTGGAAATACCCCGTGAAGGCATACCTGAGCTCTGTCTGGTCCTTTTAATAGATTCATGAAGGTTGAGACCATGAATAGCCATTCCAATCCGCACGCATGCATTGAGGGTGCTTCTGAATAACATTTTCTCCACAATTACTTGGCTTCAAAAGCAGAATTTTAGGTGGGGTGGGGTTCAGACAATATTATTTTCCATCTGTAACCCTTCTGTGTTTTTCCACTGCTTCTTACTGGTTGGGAGATCCGGTGCTTTTCTGGCTTTTGTGCAGTATTTCACCCCGTCTGGTGGAAATGGCTCTCTTGAGCTGTAGTTGGGGGTTAGGTTCTTGTTTTATTAGACTTGCTATTAGATTTGCCTTCCGTGCATCCCCATTCCTCATCCCTCACACCACTGAAGTACGACCCCGGAGGGTGTCTGAGAATATCTCAGATGATCTAGCTGTTGGGCTGAAGGAGCTCTCCACCCTCTGGAATAGGCATGCAATGCCTTTGGGGAGCAGACACAACCGTTCTGGGTTTCAGTGCCATCATCTCTCTGGCAGTCTGTGCCCCCTCGGCTTCCCACACTTCAGTGACAGCCCAGGGAAAGCCACCAGGAGATAATTGGCCAGGGGGCCATTTCAGGTGCAGGTGACCAGAGGATCCAACAGCGAGTGGGGAAGCCAACACGCAAGAAGACGTTCAGACCTGGAAGAGCAGATTTTGGCACAGTGCCACCTCCATTTGGCCCATGGAGCAAAGCAGAACTCTTCCCACCTTCCCGCTAGCATTGCCGAGCAGTACACAGCCAGCACTGACGTCGTTTCGGCACACACAGCCCTTACCTAAAAAGGGAAGAAGTGGGGTTAGTGCCCCCCACCCCAGCTGTGAATCTGACATGTGTGGAATAGTGGGGGGGCCCCCCCCCCCCCCCCGCTGGAGAAGTCGGATGGAGTGGCCATCCTCCCCCGATTCCTCCAGGGAGGAACATTTTGAAAGGCTGGTTGCCCTCGGCTCTGCTTCTGTCCCCATCGACCATGCGCTTCCTCTCTCCCTCTGGGCATCCTGCAGAGCAAGGCAGGCGGAGGAAGCTGGTCCACGTCCTCAGGCAGGGCAAGGAGCACAGCGAGGAAGACTGACAGCCGGCCCAGGGCCCAGGGCTGCGAGCCCCACAGAGTGCAGGTCTTGGCAGGTGCCCAGCAAAACAAATTGCTGGTGCTGGCCCTGGCAGCCTGCATTTCTGGCTTGTAAGGAGGTGTTTGTTGCTCACCCAGGCCAGTGAGAAGCGCTTTTCCGCATTTACTGAAAAGCAACACTCTGGGTAAGGTTAGGACACAAATCATGAATGGACGGGGTGTGAATCTGTCAAACATACAGGCAAGATGACCGCTTTGGAGTTGTTTGCTTGCTGTGATTCACTCTGGAGTCTTGCATGTTTGGGATTCCCACTGCCTCCCCACATGGCCCTGGTTGCCTGCCCAGTTCCTCCTGCCAACCCACAGTGATTCAGTGGAATGCGGCAGGCACATCATGACATTTCCATGCAGGGATGGGCAAAAGACCCGTCCTTTCTGTTCTGTGTCACCCTTGCACATGTTATCCCCAAAGTCTGTTCCATCCCATTTCTGCATGTATTCATTCCTTAATAATAACCCACATTAAAATTTAATTTAATTACAATTTAATTTAATCAAGACATTCATATCCCATCCTTTCTGACGAACGGCTCAGGACGGCTTACAATTTATTTGATTTATTTATTTATTTAAAAAATTTCTATGCCGCCCGCCCCCATCGCAACAAATAATTAAAATGGTAGATATTAAATCAACATAAAAACAACACATCATAAAACTGAGAGAGAGAGAAGAAAAGAAGAAAAAGAATAGAAAATGCGACTGTGGAAAAAGATCTTAAAATTTCTAAAAGCCTAATTATTAAAATGTTGGTTGAATAAAAAGGTCTTTACCTGGCGCTGAAACGAGTATAAAGTCAGCTCCAGGCAATTTGCATTCAAATACCGTTTTCAGTGTGTTTTCTCTCAGTGAGTATATTTCTACTCACAGTCTTTCTGTCAGAGTGCCAATTCACAGACACGTTTCTCGCAAACATATTTTAATATGCTTTTGAGCCAGGAGCTCAAAAGTTCACAAGTCCTTGGAGACATCTGCATTCTAGCTGTACTCCAGATGTGTTTCACCATGACATCTATCATCCCCAACTCGCGTGACCACTGCATGATAGAAATTGCCATCTAGCACAACTGGAGGGCAGCCAGGGCAAACCAAGTTGTGGGCCTAAACAGCCTGCTTTTGCTTCCCCATCCCAATGGATCCACACCGCCATGGGACCTGTTGGCTCCAATGTCAGTGGGATACCACATCCACCCTGGCTTTCAGCCTGAACTTCCAAGAAGCTATCTGCGGTACTGAGTCTTATCCCCACAATAGGTTCAGCACCATGAATAGCCCATTTGGAGTTCCGATTGAAACCTGGAGTGGATACACACTCCACTGGTACAGAAAGCATCAGCCACTGCTGAATGCCTCTGATTAAAAGTTTTTTTAGCTTGTTATCAGCGGCTTCACCATGCAAAGCAAGGGAAACCCCATTAGGTGGCGCTGTGCACAAGCCTATGACGCCCTGAGTCAGCTGGAGCAGCTGCAGAGGTGGGTTCCCCCCCTCCTGTGTCTGCCTTAAGCTGTTTGTCAAGGCATGACCAGGTGGGACTGCATTGCTCAGGAGGGTCTGGAAGCGCCTGGGGAATCTCCCTTCCAGGCACAGAGCATGGTTCAGTGCCCGACTGCTGCCTGGGTGCTCCTTTATGCAAAAAGGCCAAGGAAATCTGACTGCACTTTCCCAAAGTCTCTGCCTCTGTAAATGTAACCCAAGCTTTTGGAACCCTTCTGGAATGCCGCTGCTGAGCCAGTCACTGCAATACAGGAAGTACGTTCTGAGAAGCAAGTTGTCTCTCTGCATCGGCAGAGTGTGGTTCCTGCATCCCAAGTGACATTTCTGCCTTTTCCCAACAGTTCTGAGTCTGTGCCCTAAAATCCATCAGCTTGAAGCTTTTCCCAGTGGAAAAATGAGGAAAGGGCTCAGCAGATCAGTTTCCACCTCTCTGCAACCCGCTCTTGAAGGCTTGGGGTCAAAACAAGCCAGAGAACCTGTACAGAGCAGAGGAAGGCAGAAGGTAGACCTCCAGATGCTGTGAACATCAATTCCTGGAAGCTGCTTCCAGCATGGCAGGCAGGAATATTGGGAATTGAAGTCCAGCACTGTCTGCTGCCCCTGATACAAGGCAGGCTCTGCCAAACTGCTGCTCTCCAGGAGACTTGAAGCCTCTCTTGGTTCTGGTTTAAATGGATGGGATTGGCGGTCCAAGGACACCTGGAGAGTTCAGGCTGGGGAAGGCTGATAGAAGGTGAGCTCCAAGTTATGATGAAGCTTGGCTTGTTAGCCCAGAAAGGCCTGAGAGGACCTCGGAGGCATAAGGGAAGTACCGAAAATCCTGCTGCTGCCCAGCCTTGCATGGTTGCTTGTGGATTAGCTGCCTTGGAGTCAGCCTCTGACCGGGAGAAGCAGCTGCCACCACTTCTCCTGCTTGTCACTGCAGCAAACTTTCTCCTGGCTCAAATCTAGGCTGTTCCCATTTTGGGAGGTCCCCAGGCCAGATGCCCTCAGTGGGCCGCCTCCTGCTCCCTGCCATTGCCTTCCCATCCTCCGTCTACCTCTGAGCTCAGACCTCAGTGGCACGCAGAGTAGAAGGGCACAAGGGAGAGCCACTGGCCCCTTCCCTGAGGCCAGCTACTCCCTCCCACGATGCCTTTCTCCAGGAGAAGGAGCTGGAGGCAAGAGCAGAGAGGAGCAGGTGGTCAGCAGCAGACCTCAGCAGGAAAGATGCCCAAAGCTGCCAACCTCTAATGCCCGCCTGGCCAGCATTCTGAGTTGGCAGAGCTTGCAAAGTGCAAAAGGACAGGGCTTATGTACCAGTGTCCTCTTAAGCTGCAGGCCTTGTTCTTTTGAAGGACATTTGAGAAATTGGCTTCAGTGTGCTTTTTACCAGCACTTGCTCAGTTGGCATCTCCCGAAACTCAGCACTGACCAGATATTACCTGCAGTTGACATCTGTACATTTCTGAGCTTGTGATGTTATGTGCGCCCCCAAAACAAACGCATTTGGAAAATACATGTGTTTTAAAAGGTGCATGAAAAGTGTGTACATACATGTTTTAATCTATGGGAGAAAAGTTCATACATTTGAAATGTGCTCACTTGAGCAGATGAGCATGAAAATGCACACAAATTTTGATGTGAAAAAAGTCTGATATGGGCATGAATCGAAGTGAAGCCTGAAGGTGAAAACCAGAGAACCCCAAGGAGCTCAAATTTTACAAGTGC